CCTCCTCCTCCTCCTCCTCCTCCTCCCTCGCTCCCTCGCTCCTTCTTCCTCCTCCTCATCCCTCGCTCCCTCTTCTTCCTCCTCATCCTCCTCCTGCTCCCGGGCGGCTCTTCCGCCCGAGGCTTGTGTATATTTCTCCTCCTCCTCCCTCCTCTTCCTGTTTCCTCCTCCTTCTCCTCCTCCATCCATCCTCCAACCATCTTCCATCCTCAGGCTGGCCAGTCGGCTCCTCGGCGGAGCACCCCACCGCCCCCTCCTAATCGGTCGGGAACTTTCGCTTCGCGTGTCGCAGCGGCGACCGCGGCGACACGGCATGCCCTTCGAGCGGAAAGCGTGCCGCTGCGCTCCGCGGGGCGGAAGGCCAGGAGCAGCTGATGTCTTTGCATGGCAATGTTCCTTCTCGTTCTCATGGTCATTATCATTATCATTTACCCTCCTTCTCCTCGTCCTCTTCCTCCTCCTCCTCCTCCTGCTGCTGCTCCTCCCCCCCCTACTCGTCCTCAATCCTAGCACATCAGTGAAACCAGGCTCCGTAGAAAGGGCCCACGACACAGAGTTTCAAAAACATCATCTGGTGTGTGACTTGAGCGCAATGCAGTAGCCAACGCCTCTCAACGACCAGAGATCTCGTTCAGATGGTTGACTACTTCACCCGTGGGCCCCCCCTGGACTCCTGGCACATGGGAACCCCTTCGGGCACAGAGCTGCAGGTGTTTATCGACGACCCTGTCCTGAGACAGCAAGGACCAAAAGGTCCTGGCAAGCAAGCTGCAACCCTCGGCGGTCAGGCTCGCGGAAATCGTCCAGGAGGACTTGGCATGCCAATTCGCTCGGGTCACATCATCGAACCGTCAGCTGCGGAACAGTGTTCGGAATGCTCTTGGGTAGTTTGCGGATCCCGAAGGTACCCATGCGGACACGCACATTGGGACGGATGCCACTGCAGCAGCGCCGATGACGCGAATCAGTAGAAGGCTTGCCACAGCTACGCTGTGTCGTCATTTTGTTCGGCACCGCGGGAAGAGACATCGTATCTGGGCGGTCAAAGGTGCGGGAAGCGACACACGGAAGCTATGTAAGTCTGGGCTCCAGCGGGGATCACATGTGGGAACGAAATGGTTGGGGTCGACCCTAAAGAACTACCAGCGTCACAATAGAGAATCCAATCGGACCTAGGACAGACGCACATCCTTCGAAAACATGAGACCCTCCGCCGGCCAAAACACACAGAGCAGCCAAGGGCACCCTCCCAAGAACGCAAAAGAACACCCAACAAACACCAAAAACATTAGGGTGCCCTCCCCGAGCCGACCTAGGTGTGCCCTCGGTCCGGCTGTACCTCGAGGTAGAAGGACCTAAGTGTGCGACGAGAAGTCGATCAATATCCCTAGAGTGCTGAGGAGGCCCTTCGTGGAGAGGAGCTCTAGGACCAGCGCTCACTTGGGCCACGACGGTCTAGAGAACGCGCGCCCAACCAACTTTTCTTCTGATTCTCGAGACCTGAAGAGACTAATTGAGCCAATACTAGCTGCAACCCAAGTCACTTGGCAAGCCGTGAGAGGCCCCCCGGGGGCTGCCAGTCTATTCCTCGTTCGTTTCTCCCTACATTATTCGGGACGTCCGGGGAAAATCAACTACCCGCACCACTTGCACTCCAAAAATCGTAGCGCAGAGAATGCAGGAAGCCTTGGACAGTCACATGCTGAAGCAAAAAGCCAGCAAGCCGGGCTGGCCCAAGGAGATGTTCGATGTAATTACTGGGCTAGCACTTATCGCACACCCGTAGCTCGATAGGAAAGCTCGCTCGCCACTCACCATATGTGTTAACGTAATGCATCCAGAATCGTACCTGATTGATCGCAGCAGGATATCAGATGGAGCCCGATTTGGGATATAGTCATGACAATGAGAACATCATACACAGGCTGCTGCAATGACCCAGGTCAGCTCAGGTGCGCGAAGGTTTTCCGAGCGTGAGTGGAAGCAGCTGGAAGACCTCACGACAGCCTTTCCAGGATTTGGCTTTCAGTTCTCTCCAGGTTATAACAATGGAGCGCCCAATATATATGGTCACGAACACTCTCAGATCTCGGACCAAATCCATGAGATCGCAGCAAGCTTTTCCGGGCATCGTTCTCACTGTCGCGTCTTGTCCCAAGGTAGGAGTTCATGAGGTATATCCGCCGACACCCGCTTGCCAGGGGTGACAAGGCGTGTGGGACTTTTAGCTGCGCCCCTCCCCCTTCTCCCTTCCCCCAGGGTCCAGCATCGCACCCACGGGGCTTCCGGAGCCTTCAAATTGACACCCCATAGCCTCACAGATGCCCGAGATGCCATCTCAGCTGGCTCATGCTGGGCTCCAACACGCCGAGGAGAGCTCAAAACAACGAAGGTGGCCGCGAGACTGTCTAAGTGGCCTGCAAGACGCCTCAAGAGAGCTCAAAGAGGACCCCCAAGAAAGCACTCAGAGGCAATAGTCGTCTCAATCCTTCCGGGAAGCGTATATGTTTACTATGATCGCCTCTTCGGTCTCGACAGCGTCCAAGACTGCTCAAGAGGCCCCCAAGATCGCTCCAAGACTGCCAAAGGAGCCCTCAATATGGCCCCGAGACGGCTCAAAATGGCGCCAAGGCGGCCCAAGAGTCGCTCAAGGTGGCTCAAGAGAGTCCCCACAGGGCCCTAAGAGGGGCCCAGAAGGCCCCAAGCGGCCCCCCAAGAAGACCAAACAAGGCTCCCACGAGGCCCCCCAAACGACCCCGGGACCCCCCAATTACCTTCCCAACCAATCACAACGGCCCCAAAAGGATTCACCTGTGGACTTCGTTTTTCCGTTAAGGGTGGGCGGAATGGCGCAAGCCTTTTGAATAACCTCGAAGGATGGGCTGCAATGGCCCTCGATGGGCATGGTGACGTGCTTGCCTACAAGTTAGGGCGATTGGGACCAACCTTCCCTCCACCTCCCCCGCTGCTGAGCACTGTGCTCTGCTTGCTGCTGGTCCTGTCTCCGACCCAACAGCCCCGGAATTGCGCAGACTAGCGAGGAGTCAACGACCCTCACAAGAAGCTTCGTTTTGCACGAACCGATTTTCACTGCGCCTGTAAGGTGCTTCGTAAGGTGCTTGGTATGGCCGCCGGTGCCTCGATCGGCCCAAGGAACTACAAAACCAATACTTACGTAGATCGAGACAGCCTAGAGCAAAGCAGACCCGAGCGGCGGCACGCCTCTGGCAACAACGCAGCAGACAGAATGGCCAAAGTTGCAGTCAGCCAGAAACGAGCTCCCAGTATCGCCGAGATCGAAACGGCCGACGCCGAAGTACAGCTTCCCACCGAGTACTGACGATACGTTCTAGAGGCCCTGCAGTTGTGTTGTGGCCCACCATCGACCCAGCCGCGGGCAAGACAGGCTCACCTGAAAAGTCTTGAAGCCAGCCCACACGGGCGGCGGCAGCAGGGCCCTCCTGGAGAATCGAAGCCCCCCCCCCTTTCCTCTGAGGCTGGCTCCTTCCCCTCCCCAAGAGACCCCCCCGAGGAGGGCCCACCGATGGGTACAGCATTGGCGGGGCTCGATGCGTGCAGCCTGCAGAGAAGGTCGTGGGAGCCAGCGACGCCTCAACGAGAAGAGAGACATAGAGAGACAGATAGAGAGGGAGAGAGAGAGAGAGAGAGTACGAAACTTGCCCTGAATGTTGCTTGTAATGCTCAATTTTAGCAACCCAACCGCGTGGGCACAACTTAGATTTCTTTGGCTACGCCGACGAGGCTGTCCCTTGCAGTATGGTTTTGTGCCGCAGACGCGGCTCCTTCAACGAATCCAGTTCCCGAGGCTTCCAGACGGACTGCTCAGGGGTGTGCCCGAACAGTGGTAGGCCATGCAGTCGCAAAGAGCCCTTGCAGGCCAACACCCCAACGGCCGAGCAGATTCAGCTGTGAATTTGAAGCCCCCCCTGTCTCTCGCCCATGTCGTAAAAGAGCTGCGCGGAAAAAGCCAGGCAGCATAGTGCCTTCTCCTCAATGCCTCATCCTTACTGCCCCCATCACCGGCGGCGAATGTGTCAACGTGTCCATATCCATGCCCTCGCGGTCTGGATTTCGAAGCAAGAACCCGCGGATACGCAGTCGCATGGATACATTCCGCGCAGAGCACCCGCGAACAAATACGCGCGAGGCCGTGGATGCAGATATGTTTCCCGCTCGAGGGCGGCCGCTGGCTCCTCCCTCCCGTCGGTGGCAGCCCCCAGGCCCGCCGGCTTGAAGATGCTGAGGCATCGGTCCTTGCCCTGGCCGAAGGACTGAGAGGTGAGCCCCAGGCCCTCGGCGAGCTCGTGGAGGAATTTCCTTGGCACTTCGCATCCTTCCTCTTCTCCCCCTCCTCCTCTTCTCCTCCTCCTTCTCCTCCTCCTCCTCCTCCTCCTCCTCCTCCCCCTCCTCCTCCTCCGCCTCATCGTCCTCCCCTCCTCCTCCTCCTCCTCCTCCTCCTCCTCCTCCCTCCTCCTCCTCCTCCTCCTCCTCCTCCTCCTCCTTCCTCTTCCCCCCCCCCACGTCCCCCCCCCCCCGCTTCCTCTCTCCTTCGTCCTTCCACTCCCCCTCCACCTCGTCCTCCTGCTCATCCTCCCCCCCCCTCCTCCTCCTCCTCCTCCTCCTCCTCCTCCTCCTCCTCCTCCTCCTCCTCCTCGTCCTTCTCCTCCGCCACGTCCTCCTTCTCCTCCTCTTCTTCCTCCTTTTGCTCCTTGGTCCCAAGTTCGGCTACACAAAAAAGGGTTGGGACCGTCAGGCAACTGTGCGGCGTGTTGCCACCCCGGCGGGTCCTGTTGGCATAGGTGCTACGAGTGTGATGCGCACGCAGCCCTGAGACGGGACCACGTTTCGGCGAATGTTTTGTGTAGGGCCCGAAGGGTGAAAGCGTGGAGTTATGAGGCGGGCGAACTTTTTGCGAGGGGGATTTTCCCTGACCCCAGCCCCCTGTTCGAGCTGCCCCTCAGGGCTCAGGACCTCCAGACTATTTTCTGGCACCACCCGAGGCCCGAGTCGGGCTTTATGACTGGCATTTTATTTCTGGACGGCTCGGCCCTCTTTCCTGGATCCACCTCCCTATCCAGGGCAGGGTGGTCTGTTGTTATGTGTGACCGCTTTAGCGGAGTGCTGGCGGCCGCGTACGGCCCTGTCTCTATGGACCAAGGGCCCCTTTTCAGCCATCTCGGGAGACTGAGGACTATGCAGTGCGCATGCTCTGTCAAGTCGCCATGCCTCCATTCGAGTTGTATATCAACTGTAAATGCACAGTCTCGACGCTCTGGAGCGGCCCAGGAGCTGGAGCGAGAGCGGGGAACCCTCGGGCCCACATGTGGGCTCCCTTTTGGGCCGCTTTTGAGGCCAACGATTTCACGGCCCACAAGACTAGGGCCCATTGCAGCACGGTAGATGTGCAGAACGACCGAACCACCCTCTGGAAGAAGCGTGGCAACAATGCCGCGGACGAGTTCGCGAAGCGAGGTGCCACCCTCACTGGAGTGGAGGAGAGCGAGTACCATCTTTGGCGTGGCCTGGTCGAGGCCTCGAGGGAGGTGGGGCGGTGGAGCGGTCGGTTGCACGCGTTTGTGGGGGACGGAGAGGCTTGCCAGGACCATGACGATTTAATGGAGTGCTATGTGGCGAACCGCGGGCTGGTAGAGGCCCCGCCGAAAGAGCCAGAGGCCCAGCCTGTAGAGCTGGGGCTGGCGCCTGCGGGCGTGGAGGGCCCCATTCTGTCGGCTCCTGCAGAAGGCATCGCCGAGCACCGAGAGATCGGGCACAATTTCCACGGACACCCGCTCCTGCACGCGACAGTGTGTGCCAGGTCGGGGCGAGATGCTGGCAAGGCCGTCCATGTTTGTTGCGCGTGCGGGGCGCTCTTCAGCTCCGAGCGCCCTTCCAAGGGCCTCCTCCTGCCGTGCCTCAGGGAGCTTGCGGGATCGGGCTTGAAGTACCAGCTGGCCCTGACAGAGGCTGGCAAGTACCTTTCCTACAAGGCTGGTCTGAAGGACCGTTGCCTTGATCCCCCAGTCGGTGTCCCGCTGGGGGTGCGGCTGCATCTTGCGTCGCTTTTTGGCTCTGGTGAGCCTGCCCCCAGCGCCTCGGATCGGGACGTGGGGAATGGGGGGCTGCGTGGCGTGGGCACGTCGGGTGGGAGGACACCCCGCGATGAGGTGCTGAGGGCCTTCGGCCTCCGAGAGTCCGACCTGGCGGCCACACCTGCTGATAGGGGCCAGAGTCCTGCGCAAGGACGCAGACAGTGGGCCCGAAGGGGCCCACGATTTTGACTTCGAGGAGGCCTCTGAGGCCTCGAGCGACGGGCGCGAGGCCCCCGAACGACTGGCTTCAGGCCGCTTGCTCCTCTCGTCCTCCTCCCCCTCCCGCTCCCCCCCCGTCCCCGTCACCGTCCGCTTTCGCGCCCCCCTCACCCTCCTGTGAGACTACTTCTGCGCAGCGCCGTCGGGCGTCCCAACCCGCGCTCGCGCGCCTGCGGCCCCCCGGCGGGGCGGACGGCCGGCCCGGCGCACATGCAGGGGGCCCCTGGACGCCACCGGGGTGCCCTTTCGGAGAGGGGGAGGGAACGGGGGAAACAAGGAAGGGGGAAAGAATGGGTTGAGCCGCCGGGCCGCTCATGGAATGTCGTCGCCCGTGCGGGTGTCGTGGTGTGGGGCATGTATCGATGGACGCAGCGTGCCTTGTCAGCGACGTTGTAGTAGGCTCCCGGTTGATAGCGATGCAGCTGTATCTCGAGCGGTTCGGCTTATGATTGGCCCTTCTCACCGTCATCATGTTGAGGTGCCACACGAAGGGGCATGTTGTAGTTTCTGTAAGTAGGCAGCAAGCAGGCCCCTCATACGGCGGTGCGCAGCGGCGATGCGCTATTTGTACTCGTCGTGTGAGATACGACCCGCGTCGAATGAGAGGCGGCCCGCCTCGCAGACGGCCCCTATGATGCGGATCCATGGCTGGCTTATCTGTCCCATTTGTCCTGGAAGTTGGCTGCGATACTGCGTGGGTATTGTGGTTTGGGTTCTTCTGGTGGCCGTCGTAGCTGAGGCAGCTACGGAGGGATATATCGGCGGACCTGGTCTGCTGGTGGTCCTCGCATCTGCGCGGCAACTTCCACGTCGCTATTGCTGGGGCCGCGTGGTAGTGGTAGCGTGGCGTCGCCCCTGCTGGTCGAGGTAGCTGTTTCAGCCAGGTGGCAGGAAGGCTGCTGCCAATAGCTTACGAAGTTATGCCGGTAGGCCTCATGGCTCAGCTGGCGATCCTCGGAGCCCTGCCCGTGGTCCTTGAGGCCCTGCTTGTGGTCCTGGTAGCCCGGCGCGTGGTCCCAATAGCTCAGCAGGTGGTCCTTGTAGCTCTGCTGGTGGCTATCCATGCTCATCAGGGAGCACAGCTCGTCGTCCTCTGCGGGAGGCTCTCATAGCTCTGCTCGCGGCCCGCGTAGCTCAAGTTGTGGCCCTCGTAGCTCCACGTAGCTCAGCTGGTGGGCTTCGGAGTTATGATTCTGGTCCTTGAAATTCAGCTCGTCGCTCTAGTTGCTTCACAGGAGGCCAAGGTGGGTCTTCCTGGTTGTGGCCTAGGTAGCTCAGCAGGTGGCCCTCGTAGGTCTCGTAGCAGTGCAAATTGTCCTCGCAGGTCAGCTCGCATTCCTCGTGGCTCTGCCAGTGTCTCTGGTAGCTGTGCCTGTGAGCCTCGAAGCTCAGCTCGTGGTCCTCGAAGAGCTGCTGGGGGCTCAGGTATCTCTTCAGGTGGCTGCAGTAGCTGTGCCTGTGGTCATCGCTGCTGAGACGGTGGGCATGGGAGCTCCGCTGGTGGCGATGGTAGCTCTGGCGGTGGCCGCACTAGCACTGAAGGTTGTCCGCGTTGCACAGCTGGTGCCACCGGTAGCTCAGCTAGTGGTCCTCGTAGCTCAGCTGGTGGCTCTCCTAACGCAGCAGACGACTCTCGTGGTTCAGCAGGTAGTCTACTTATGGTTTTCGCGGTTCAGCTTGCAGTCTTCGTTGCTCAGCTCGTGGCTCTCGTGGCTCTGCTGGTGGCCCTCGTAGCTCGGAAGGTGGGTCTTCAAGCTCTTCTGGTGGCTCCCCTGGCCATGCCTGTGGCCCTCGTAACTGCGCTCGTGGTCCTCGAAAGGCCGCTGGTGGCCCTGGTGGCTCTGCCGGTGGCGGTAGTCGCTCTGGCCATTACCCTCGATGCGCAGGTAGTGACTCGCATAGTTTCCCAGCTTGCCCTCGTAGCCCGCATTCTCGTAGCTCAGCTCGCGGTCCTCGTCGCTCAGCGTGTGGTTGTCTACTGGTGGGTCTCGTAGCTCAGCATGTATCTCTTGAAGTTTTCCCGGTGGATCTCGTAGCTGTGGACTTGGCCCTCGAAGTTCACTTTGCGGTCCCCGGAAATCGTCTGGTGGCTCCGGTGGCTCTGGCGATGGCCGTTCTAACTCTGGTTTTTGTCCATGTAGCACATCTGGCACCTCCGGTAGCTCAGCTGGCGGTCCTCGTGGCTCAGCTCGTGGCTCTCCTAGCTCCGCATGTGGTCCTCGTGGTTCAGCTGACAGTTCTCGTAATCCTGCGTGGGGCTTTGGTATCTCAGCCAGCGGCATTCGCTGCTCAGTTCGTGGCTCTCGTGGCTCTGCTGGTGGCCCTCGTAGCTCGGAGAGGTCTTGAAGCTTCTCTGGTGGCTCCCACAGCCATGTCTGTGGCCCTCGTAACTTAGCTAGTGGTCCTCGAAGGCGCGCTGGTGGCCCTGGCCTGTGCCCCCGAAGTTCAGGTAGTATATCAAGTAGCCTTCCAGCTTGCCCTCGTAGCCCTGCCGCTCGTAGCTCAGCTCGCGATCCTCGTCGCTCAGCTTGTGGCTGTCGCGGCGCTACTGGTGGGTCTCGTAGCTCAGCATGTAAGTCTTGAAATTTTCCCGGTGGATCTCGTCGCTGTGGACGTGGCCCTTGAAGTTCAGTTTGCGGTCCCTGGGAATCGTCTGGTGGCTCTGGTGGCTCTGGCGGTGCCGTACTAGCTCTGCTTGTTGTCCATGTAGCACAGCTGGCACCTCCGGTAGCTCCGCTGGCGGTCTTCGTGGCTCAGCTGGTGGCCCTCCTAGCGCCGCAGGTGGTCCTCGTGGTTCAGCTGACAGTTCTCTAGTCCTGCGTGGGGCTTTGGTATCTCAGCCAGCAGCATTCGTTGCTCAGTTCGTGGCTCTCGTGGCTCTTCTGGTGGCCCTCGTAGCTCGGAGAGGTCGTCAAGCTCTTCTGGTGGCTCCCGTAGCCATGCCTGTGGCCCTCGTAACTCAGCTAGTGGTCCTCGAAGGCGCGCTGGTGGCCTGTGCCCCCGAAGTTCAGGTAGTGGTTCAAATAGCCTTCCAGGTGTCCCTCGTAACCCTGCCTCTCGTAGCTCAGCTCGCGGTCCTCGTCGCTCAGCTTGTGGCTGTCGTAGCTTTACCGGTGGGTCTCGTGACTCGACATATAGGTCTTGAAGCTCTTCTGGTGGCTCTCGTAGCTGTGGAAGTGGTCCGCGTACTTCAGGTCGCGCGGTCTCCAAGAATCGTCTGATGGTTCTGGTATCACTGCTGGTGGTTGTATCAACCCAGACAGCACGCTCTCTTCGTAGTCCCCGAGGTCCGCGTCGGAATCGTCGGCTGCCAAGGTTGTAATCCCTGTGGTCCTGGCGGTTGTCGTAGCCATGCGGCCCGTCGTAGACCTGGGGGCCGTAAGAATTACAAGCCTTTCTCGAAAAAGCACTGTCGCAGCAGCGCTCGTCGTAGGCGGCGCGGCCGTAGTCGCACTCGTCGTAGGCAGCGCGGCCGCTGGGCCGCTCGGTCGCGTCGTCCCTGGCGTCGGCCCTCGTGGCTTACATGGTGTCGCACTGTGGCTGCATGTTACGCACATTTCCCTCGGGTTGCATGTTGCGCAGCTCCTCCTCGGGCTGCATGTTACGCAGCTCGTCCCGTCCTGCGCCGTTCTGCTGTGGACGCTATCGCGAAGGCTGATGTAACGATGCTCATGATGTCGTTGGAGTGTGATTGTAGCCCGTGTCGGATAGGGTAGCCCGTTCTCTTCATAGCTGCATATGAGCGTACTTTTCTGTGCGTGTATAGCCTCGGCATAGTAGCCAATAGTATCCACCGAGGTGGGTAAGTCCCGTAGCCGATGTTGATGCCGTCCAGCTTGTATCTCGTCAGCTGGTGGATGGACTTCCTGTCCCGGATGTTCACTCACAATTGATTGATCACCCTCTTCCGGATGTTCACCTTCTGATGGTTATTGTATACTTTGAACGCGCGCCGCCATCGCGGCAACGCGCTCGAGCCCGCCCCCCATCCCGCGGGTGGTGGGGAGCGCCCCCCCCCCCCCGCAGGGGCCAGAATGGCCCTCCTCCTCCTCCTCCTCCTCCTCCTCCTCCGCCTTCTCTTCCTCCACCTCCTCCTCCTCCTCCTCCTCCTCTTCTTCGGCACGTCGCCCCTGGAATCAGAAACGTCGAAGTCTCGTTCTTGCTTCCGCCACCTTCCACAGGAGCAGCGGCAGGGGCGGAACGTCTCAGGGGGGGGACGAATCGACTTCCCATCGCCCACACATCGCCGATATGGGGCCTGATAGCCCACCCGGGCCAGGAATGCTCAGCTTCGCAAGTGGAGGCCCATCGCCATAGTCGATCTATCGGCAACGCACCGCCGAGTCAGAATGGAGTTCCCCCCCCCCGAGCCAATCCCCCCCCCCTGCTGTGTTCCCTCACGTCTTGAGGGTTCAGGGGCTGCCTAAGGGAGCCTCGTTGGGGTTGATGGATTTTGATGGCCCTCCGTCGGCGGCCACAACGACTCAGTTGGATGGAGGCGGCGCGCGCGCCGAAGGCCGAAAGGTCAATGTTTGATGGGGGGGCACGAGCCGACGCCGAAGGGGGGCCCCGAGCTCTGTAGGCGAGCTCGTGGCAGAGCCTCCTGGGCAACCGCGGGCGGGGGGGTCCAGAGAGGGCCTCGCCTTCGGAGCGCGTCACCCCCGGCGGGGGGCGGCGCACGGCTGGCGGGAGAAAGACGGCAGCGGCTCCGCCAGCAGAAGTCGGCGGAAGGCGGCGGAACCAATAGTTTTTTTTTCCCCCGCGCAGCGAATACTGTACACAGTTTCGACTCCAGCGCTCAGAAGCACTGGGCGAATTTCTGGCGTCCCGGGGACATACATACGGTTTGGTCGGTCACACCGGTTCAAGCTCCATGTGGAAGCGAGACGCCAACATGTTCGGATCCAATGTCTCTGTGGCTGGCTATGTCGAAGGGGGTCATGGTGCAGACGGGTCCCATAGATCACCTAGCTCTGCGAATCGCGCCCCAGGATGCGCGGTTATCTTTTCGCCTTCGCGCCCTTGCGCCGCCCCCCCCAGAGAGGGGTAAGCGCCCCGGCCCGGACCGCGACGAGCAGTTCTCCTCACGCTCAGGGTGAGCCAGGTCCTGGAACCTACACTTTCCCCGGGCCTTAGCTCTTCATCCTGCCATCGTTTCCTGGCAGCCTGGCGGCTCCCAGGGAGGGCCCCAGGAGCTCCGCAGACGGCGGAGACCAACCTCCCTGGGCAGGACCCCTTCTACTCGTGGCGACGTCCTCTCGAGGCCGGAGATGGTGGCCGGCATCGCCAGCTGCGACTCGGGGCCCGCGGCGAAGCTCTCCAGCAGAGCCCTCAGCTCCTCGCGCCGCTCCTCGGGCAGGTCCGCGGAGCTGGGAGCGCCACCGCCGGAGCCCTTGCCGCCCTTCCTCTTGCCCTTGTGGCCGCCGCCCTCGTGCCCCCCCTGGGCTGCGGCCCCCACTGGCTCCTCTAGGGGGCCACATGCGAACCCTACCCCATACCCCCCGCGATTTCTGAGGGGGGGGGTGGGGTTCACTTCGCTCGAGAGCTCCCGAACGAAGTGAACCCCACCCTTCCCCTCAGAAATCGTGGGGGGTAGGGGTAGGGTTCGCATGTGGCCCCCTATCCTCCTCTCTGTCGGTAGCCGCTCCAGGGCCCGCCGACCTGAAGATGCTGAGGCAGCGGTCCCTGCCCTGGCCGAAGGACTGGGAGACGAGCCCCATTCGGAGCAGAGTGAGTCGAGGCAGCGGCAGCTGAGAGTCGGTCCCCGGACCCTTCCCGGGGTCCAGACGCACCAGTTTTCCGAGCTGCGTCCAGTCGTGGCGACGAGAGCCCCCCCCCCCCCCCCCCCGAGGGCCAACTACCGCTGTCCAGACTCGCACTCCTCTGGCACATGCCCTCGGCGAGCTCGTGGAGGAACTTCCTCTCGAGGCCGGAGGTCGTGGCGGGCAGCGCCAGCTGCGGCTCGGGTCCCGCGGCGAAGTCCTGCAGCAGGGTCCTCAGCTCGTCGCGCCGCTCCTCGGGCAGGTCCGAGGAGCTGTGGGCGCCGCCGTCGGGGCCCTTGCCACCCTTCCTGCGCAAAGGGCGCCTGCACACCACCATGAAGGGCAGCGTTATGGGGGGGGCACAAGCTCAGGAGGGGGGAGGCATCGAGCTGGATTAGGCAATACATCGCCGGCACATGGGCTCCCGATAGCGAAGCCTCGCGTTCCTGGGCGGGGTGGGCTGTCAGACCAATATCGGCGATCAGTGAGCTTTTCGCCCCCCAACCGTTGTCCTTGGGACTGTCGCGCCTGGCCACGTGCGTCCCTGGCCCCAAACTCTTTTGGGTCTGTGCACCGCTCTGCCCAGGCATTCAACGTCGTGAGACAAGCAATGCGGAATGGTTGTCGCCGATTCCAGCCTCTGGGGGCCCTCGACTCTGACGCGAAAAATATATCCGTATCCGCGGCCTCGCGGGCTCGACCCCGGTGCCGCGGCCCCGCAAATACGTGTGTTGTCGCGGATGCCCCGCGCGGAAAATATCCGTGCGACTGCGTATCCGCGGGATCGCCCCCCGGAATCCAAGCCGCTCATGCTCGACGGGCCCAGGGACCGTCGCGAAACCGACCCAAATGGAAAGTCGGCCGGGGCTTCTGGGGGCTCGCCGTCGCCAAGGCGACATCTGCCTCGAGACCCCCACTCGAGGCACACCAAGACGAAGCTAGGACGAGGATAACATCGGGTACGGACAAATCGAGAGAATCTCTGAGATCCGGCGGATCTGGGGGATATATTGGGCGCCGCGGCCTTCTGAGCCTTCTGGAGCGCTCTGAGAGCGTTCTCATCTGCAACGGAGTTATCCTCGCCCTCGCCCGTCCGACGCACAGTGGTGCTCCCTCCGCTCGGAGTCGAGCAAACTGGTGGCCTGATGCCGACCACTCCTGCTCCCCCCCCCCTGCGGCCTGCGGGCCGCAGCCCGTGACCCAAACCCCGGGGGGGGAGGGCAACAGACCTGCGACGGCCGCTCTCCGGCCGCCTGCGCAACGCAAGCCCAGGCCGCCGGGACTGCCGGGCCGGGACTTCCGGGGTGGGCGGGAGGCCAGAACATCGGATCTCTGGGCGGCCGGGCGTGGTGGCTGTGCGCAGACGCCCTCCGCGGGTCTCCTCTTGCCCTTGTGGCCGCCGCCCTTGTGGCTCCCCCTGCCAGCGATCATGCGCAGCATCGCCTCTTCATTCGTCTCCCCTGGCGCCCCGCCGCGCTCGCCGGCGTGACCCATCAGATGCGCTCCCGAAGGGGAGTGGCGCCAGCCATGTCGAGGAACCGAATTAGACCAAGGGTGCTACGGGTGGGCAGGAAAATGATGATGGCGGAGATCGGGCAGGAGGAGGATGTATCCAGGGGGGGCATGTAGTGGGGGAGGGATGTGAGGAGGAGGAGGAGGAGGAGGAGGAGAAGGCACGCGAGGGGAGGGGATGAGAACGCAGTAGGTCCCGATCAAGCCAGAAGAGGACAGGTGCGGCGAGCTCGTGACGGCTCGTAGGGTGGGGCCGTCGATGACCGAGGACGTTCGCAAAAAAAACTGCGGTAAATGTCGGATACGGCATGAGCAGGCTCGGAGAGCAGACGCCGAAGAGTCCCTCGAACAATTGATCAGCGGCGAGGCCGCTGCATCAACATCGTGGCCTCCATAAGCACTATTCAGAATCTCTGAACTCCCTAAAGGAGGACATCGAAGGGGAGGGATATTACAGGGTGAGAACATGAAAACATTCAGAGGGGGAAGCGAGTAGGAGGACGATAAGGAGGAGAACGAGGAGGAGGAGGAGGAGAAGCGAGGGGATGAAAACATATTGATGGGCTGATTCACGCAAGATTGGGAATCAAGCCAGGCGACGACGCGTGAGGCGAAGTCATGACAGCGATTGGGAAAAGTATGATGGCGAGGACCAGGAGGATGATGAGTAGAGCAGTAGCAGCAGCAACATGAGGGAGTAGGACAAGGAAGACAATGGGGAGGGGGGAGGCCGTAGGAGGGGAGGGAGGGGGGGGGGGCGTAGCAACGAACGGCAGAGAAAACCAAGGGGCAATTGGACCAACATTGCAGAGACATCAAATCATCACAATCAACATGCAGCGCCTACATCTGCAAAGACATCAGCACACGCATCACTGGACGCTGCACCAAACTAACAATGAAGCACTCCTCGTTGTTGTTCTCCTCTGCCTCCCCATCCTTCTCCTTCTCCTCCTCCTCCTCCTGATGATGATGATGATGATGATGATGCTGATCATCATCATCATCATCATCATCATCATCATCATCATCATCAGCATCATCATCATCAGCATCATCATCATCACCATCATCAGCATCATCATCGTCATCATCATCGTCATCATCATCGTCATCATCATCGTCCCATATGTTTCTCTTCCTCACTGTATTTTTCCGACGCAAAACGCACCAGGCGAGCCTGGAGTCACGCGAAGGCGAACCTGCAATAGGGCAGACAATACGCCAAACCATAACCTGTGCAGACACTGTACCGCTGTCCTGCAAACGTAGTCTAGACTCGGGACCCAGATTATCGTGCCCAATGAAGGTGTGAACCGCAATGTAAACCTGTTCTCCCCCAGCGCAGAAAGCAAGCTGGTCATAGACACTGTCCGCTCCAAGGAAGCGCACACACAAACACACACACACACACACTCACGCACACACACTGCGGGGCCAGATGTCGTGACACAGACATGCCTCGTGAAAGGCGGTCCTGATGAATAGAGGGAGGAGTTCGATGGGAGCCTGCTCTTGTCTTTTCTCCGCTCCCCATCCTCCTCCTCCTCCTTCCCTTCCTCCTCCTCTCCCCTCTTCCTCCTCTAATGGCCTGTAAGTTTACGCTTTGCTTGGGCCAACGAGTTTAAGCAGCCGATGCGCGTGCCAATCGTTTTTGGTAACCACGCTGTCCACCCCCTTCTCCTCATTATCATCCTCGTTCTGCCCTCCCCCTCTCTTTCTCTTTCTCACTCTCTGTCTCTTTGTCTCTCCCTCTCTCTCTCTCTGTGACTCCAATTGCTCTTCCTCCATTGGTTTCCTCTTTCGCTCTATCCATGTGGAGTAACGGTCAGCAAAATTGGAAAGACATGCCTGTAGCCTGTGATGATGCCTGGAACTCCAATCCGACCAATGCAGAACGCGAAGGTGTAGCACATGAGCATTCTCAAGGCGTTCCTGATGTGGTCCCATCTCAGGAGAACCTCGCCCAGACGGCTTTATGACTTTGCAGTTCCACGACGTCGAAATTCAGTCGTCTCCCAGTGCGCTGAGCCTCTCACAACTATCCCTCAAACTGCTGTGAGCTCGGCCCCTCCACCACAAGCTCGGCGTATGCGCCAACGTGTGGTGCCAGAACAGACGAAGCTGAGTGCGCAACTGGCGGGTGCCGCTCTATAATCTTCAGTCGTCGACGCTGGCTAGTGCAAAGCAGCGCCAGAGGGCACTTCGCCTGTGATGATATTTGGCTTGGGCGCAGCAACTTGGGAAGCACGCTGAATGCAAAACGACGCAAGCGAGAACGGGTGATCGATGTCGACGGCGTTCGGAAGAGCGAAACCCGGAAACGCATGAGTTTCCAGCTCCGCCGGCCCACGAACCTGGCCGAACTCGGCACGTCCCCCTGGCTGCTGCTATGCTCCTCGCGCAAGAGGGCCAAGACGACATCAGGCATGGGGAGCACGAATCGACCCACAGAACCAGCAAGATACGACGTGGGCTGCGCGGTTTGCGGACTACTTCCAGGTCGCGTTTGGCGCACCACCATCACCTTTTTGGTCCTTTCTCTGCCTACGCGTCCTCAGGATGCGCTGCTTGCTTACTTGAGGGGGGTGCCATGGGACCCCAAGGGGTCGGCGGTGCGGCTGAAGCCTATGAATCTGGCCGAACTCAGCGCGTCCCTACCGCTAACCTCACCATCCTGAAGATGGACGGAACTCTGCAGAAACTCGCGCCGGCGCTTGTGGAAGGTTCACACGCCAGCCGGCAGATCAGACGGACCAGGGTGGCAACCTGTTACATTTTTTCGCCCCCCAGCAGTACAGCAAATTGCATAAACATATAACGTTGGAATTCCGCGCGGGTTTCTTGGATCGGCGCTGATCGGAGGCTTGGGAACGGGCACCGACTCCAAGGCAAGGGGGGTGCTTCTACTAGGGGAAGATGAAGATGATCCCAGGTTTTGGTTTTGGTGGTAATACTTCGGCCATCTAGGAAGCCCGAGTACCACTACCGAAGTGGGGATCGTCGTCCCTCGGTGGAGCGCACACCACCCATATTGGTGTTGGTGCCAACATATATGCCTCCAAGCTGAACCCCCTCCCTGGCGGCGCGGCGCGCGCCAGGGGCGCGCGCGGCGCGCGCTAAGGGCGGCGCTGGAGGCGCCGCCAGGGGGGCCCAACGCCGATTCAAGAAATCCGCGCGGAGCTCTACAGGCGCATGCTTCTGTAAGTTGTTGATCTTCGAGGCCCGCTCCCCGAGATGTGATGGAGTGGAAATCCACAACTCCGTGGGAACTCAGCCGGCCCTGTCGGCGTGCGTGGCGGGCAGTTCGCCTGCCACTCTCGTTCCGCCCCTGCGTTCGTCCAAGCTCCGTCGCTCGGCGGCGACGCTACGCGGGGCCTCACCCGAAGCTTCCGACTCTAACCACGCTCCCACACGTGGTGGTCAATCTGCACCAGCGTTGATTTCTGACACCGCGGGGATCGTTCTAACTTGAACGATCAGTCGTTTCCGAGACGTCAGATCATTCATCATCGTCAGAGTCTGGGTCGCCGGCGGCGTCCAACGTCGAACGCCAACGGCGGGGTCACCGCCAGTCGACACGGCGCGGACCTACCGTACCTGAGCGTAGCCCGTTCTGGTTTTCTGAGACTCGCTGACTGCATCCATCAGCATATTGGAAGAAGCAGTCCCGATGGGGTGGTCCTAGGGTGGTCATGGGAGACGCTTTTCCATTCGATGCCCTCCCCCCATTCCCTGCGGTCACCTGGGCACCTGGGACTCTCCGAACTCGCCAGCCCGAGGTGAATCACCCTAGGTCATAGGTCGTTTTCGAATCGACAAGAAACCCCTTCCCGTTGGACCCTTCCCCGCTGGGATGGCAGCCTGGGACTGCCGAGGACGAAATCGAGGAACAAATTCCGCCGCGATCTTGCACGGATTCCTAGGTCTCGAACGACGGGCCCCTCCTTGGAGCGCCCGATCGCTGGGCGGCAGAGGGTATGCGATAGTCGCTCTGACCATACGCCTGCTCACGCTAGAACTCTAAGAGGAGGGCGGACTTGGGGTATGGACAACAGTCTGGTCTTGAGACCAAGTGAGGGCAAACAAAAAGGATACTCATATACTTTCGATCGCCGATAGAAAAATAGCGATCAAAATCGAATCGGCAAATCTGACCGGGTCGGAACTTGCGTCGGATCGGGCCACATCGGCATAGGGTCGTACTCAAATCGAATCGGCCGCGCCAGGATGCACGATACCGCCATACAAGCATTCGGCCGCACCCCATCGTCGGAATGTCAGAATCGTATGGGGTCGGGCAGGTTGAAACCGATATCGAAGCACACCGATCGAAGCACAAGGATCGGACCGATATCGAAGCAGAGCGATCGGACAGGGGTACGGATTGAACGTTGATGGGGCTGTGCCCAGACCTTCACGACGTGACTCCCGGAAACCGAGACAATTTCCCCAGGACTGATTATTCATGCCGAGGCCTTCTTTGACGGTCCCGGGGCCCAGCAAAGCCCTCAAAGACCAAGACTGCCAAAAACCTTCCATCGCGATTTTGTTCACGACGCGAGGGGGTGCCCGGTTGTTTTCGGGCCATAGCTCGGGACGCCGGCGGCCGCTCGGAACGCTTCGGGCAAACCCTGGTCCGCTCCCGAGGAGGCGCAGCTGCTGAGAAGTATCCCGAGGCTGCAAAGCCTCTGTCGACCGACGAACCGCCCGAATAACTTGGACTCCCTGAACGTGCTCGGCAGTCATCGCGCTGCCATAAGGAACGTTGAATAGCGAACGAAGGCCCTTTCTTGGCCACGGCGAGCCTCGGCCACGAATAGGTACCCGGACCTACGGCCCGTAAGCCAGAGCCCCTCCTGAGCCAAACATGGTCCTTATCTCAGCGTCTCGACAGTAGGACTGTAGAGCGCCGATCGAGAAAGCGCTGGCCTACCAATACGAGTTCTCACAAAAAACGTATCACCCAGATAAGTAAGGCAGTCTCAACAGGCCCCCCAGTAGTCCCGGCTGGCCTCACAACAGGCCCCCCGAGTTTCCCAGGCGGTCTAACCCTGCTGGAATGCGGAGTGCCCCAGCGGCGCCGCCAGAGGCTGCGTGTGCTGAGATCGCCCCAGGCTGCTCCTTTGGGGCCTTTTGATGCCAGCCAAGACTTCTCGGGCGGCCTGTTGAGGCCCGCCAGGACTACCTGAGGGGGCTGTCTGCGCGCAACCCGAAGCCTTCCCAACATGGCTGATATATAGTTTGGTGAGGGTTCGTATTGCCAGGCCTGTCCTCTCCTCGTTTCTACTCTCCTCATCTCCTCCGCCCTCTCGGCGACCGGGGGCTCCACAGCGAAGACGCCGAGACTTGGAACAATGCGGGTTTGGAAGGGACTCGCTGTTCCTGAAGCGCTCCCATGATTGCTCCTCGAGCGCTAGTCGTGCACCCAAGCGCTGAGGGGGCTGTCTGTGCACAGCCCGAGGTCAGATAAAGGGTGGTCCGTGAACAGAGCGCCGATCCACGAGGGGGCGTGCCGCTCGGAGGCCGCGGGCGGGGCGCCTTGCCGTCCAGCCAATCTGCAAGGCCAGCACGGCTCGCCTCGCTGACGCTGATGCCGCGGGCGGACCTCCCGAGGCTGGGGGGCCTCATCGCCCCCCCTCATATCCTCTTCCTCCCTTCGCTCCTTCGCTCGCGTTGGACGCTCGCGTGCCCCGCAGGGCCGCACGCCCTCCCTGCCAGGCCGCCCGGTCAGAGGCCCACTGCGGCTGATGTCCCGCCGCCTGCGAGGGGCCTTCCTGGCGGCCAGGGGCCCTGGCACGGGCTGCCCGCCTTGCGGGTGGCCTGGCGCCCGGGCGCCCTGGGGAAGGTGGCCTCCCACGACGGCCCTCGGAGGAAGCGCCGTCGGGGCGGCCTGCGCGGTTCGGCCGGCGGCTCGCCAAGGCGACGCCGCCGGTCGTGGCCATTCGCTCTTCACGGCTGCGCTGGGCGTCCCCACTGCGGCGGCGGCCCACGCTGTCCGCCTGGGGCGCCCCTTGGAGGCGGGCACCCAGCCGCCAGGAGATGGGGCAGTCCCCAGCGCCAATGGGCAGTGCGCGCCAGGCTGTCCCGCTGGTGCTGCCACCAGATCTGCTCGCCAGTGGCGAGCGCCTGGCGGGCGCGGGCCCGGTGGAGAAAGGCCCCCGTCGGTTGAGCCGACTGGGCGGTCGGCGACGTCGGCTCGAGGGGCGACCGGCCCAGGGACCGGCGGAGGTGAGTGGGGCCCCCCCCAGGGAGGGTAGCTCGTGGCTGGACTGGATCCATCCCCTCTCCCCCTCTCCTCCTCCTCCTCCTCCTCCTCCTCCTCCTCCTCCTCCTCCTCCTCCTCCTCCTCCTCCTCCTCCTCGCCTTCCTTCTCCCCTTCCTCCTCGGCACTCCTCCCCTGGTGTTCCAACGAGTCAAGCTCTCATTCACTCCCCCCGCCCGGGCTGGGGCGGGGGACTGTGGCGGCGCATGGGCGCCGCCTTTGCGCCGTGGGCCTCGGTCACAGGGTTGACATCCCGCCAGGTCCCCCCCTGGCCAAGCGCCCTTGCACTGTTTCGGGGGCGGCAGGGTGCGCACGATGACAAGATTTCCCGAGTCCGGTGGCAAGGCGCCTCCGTCATAGTTTCGGGCCTGCGGGGAGCAGTGCTCCTGGGCACGGTGCGGGATTCATTTCCCATGCCGCTCGAGTCTATGTTTGGTTGGTTCTCGTTGGGCCTCGAGGCGCGCCGCCTCAGGAGCCTCCAATGGAGGGGCTGGCGCGCTCGCCCGTGGGGCAGAGCACCCGGACCGACAATCTGAAGCCATGATCCGCCCCCGCTGCTGGCGCTCATGGTGTAAGCCTGGCGCAATCACAGAACTCTTGGCATAAGCCTCCTGGTCCTCCAGAGCTTCAAATCCGCCGACCATGTCGGCGTTTGTGAGACGTTTTTCGGTCCGATCGTCGTCGCCGTCGCCGCTCCCCCCCCCCCCTTTCCCTGGGCCCTGCTCCTCCCAACGAGTCGGAGATCAAACAGCGTCGTAATTGATTCGGAAGGCAGCCCCCTTCCCTTTGTTCCCTTCTCTGGCGGGAGGGAGGGGGGTCCAATGGGGGTGTCCCAGGGTTAGAAGCCTCCTAGATGGGGTCCGAGTAGATCGGGTCGAAGGACCGCGCCGCATCGCCAGTGCATCGCCGATGCATCAGCGACGTCGGCGAAGCATCCGCGACGTCAGCGTGGGGAAAATCGGGCTCCACATCGAGCCGCATCGCCGATGCATCGGCGATGCGGCGCGATCCTCCGACCCCATCTACTCCGACCCCATCTAGGAGGCCCACGACGGCCCCATGAGACCTCTAACAAACCAGGGGAGGTCAAAACTAAACACCTCCTGAGATAAAGGGGTCCCTGAAAATCGCCAGCTTCCCAACTGATGGGAAGGGGATCCCTCGATGCTACAGCGTGGGGGGCCCCATGGGGGTGTCCCAGGGTGGGTCTCAGGTGGGGGGCCCCAGGGGGGTCCCCGGGCCCCGGGGGTCGTGAACTCCCCCCGGGCCCCCCCCCCCCTCCCCTGTGGACAAAAGGGGGGTCGGGGGGCGGTCCCCCTGTGGACGACGGGAACTCGCTCGGCGCGGGAAGGGTCGCCAAAGCAGCGTTCGCGGCTGGATCGGACGGCTATTTTCGGCAACCCCGCCCGCGCGAGACTTGTCCCAAGAGGTGTGGGGTGCGCTTTAATTCTGTTTTACCATCACCTGGCACAGCCGATAGAAATCTTTCGGAGGGAGCTGGCGGAAGCCTTCTGGGGGGAGCGTGTGGGCCGTGGGTTGTTCCAGTCAGCTGGGGCAACATGTCAGATCCGTTTCGAGGGAGCGGCGGGAGGCTTTCCGGAAGCCTGAGTGGGTAGTGTCCTGGAGGCCAGGAACAGTTGGGGGCTGTAGGGGGGGATGGACGGGGGCGGGATGGACGGGGGGAGCGCTCCAGAGTTGGCCGTGGTAAGCTTCCCTTGAGCCCGTCTTGGGGGGCTGTGCGGCCAGGAGTCCCGGGAGCAGTCTTCAGGGTGTCTCCGAGGCTGTCGTATGGGGATCTTTGGAAGCTCCATGGGCGCCCTTCAAACGATTTGGGAGGCTTCTCGGGCCTGGCTGGGCGTCTTTTCGCCGGAGAAGCGAGCGATCGGGAGAATATCGATAGCTTGCCGTCCTCGTGGCCCTCTCGGAGGCCTTATGGTAGCCTTGTGAAGTCCGAGTGGGAGGAGAAGAAGGCCCAAGATGATGGAGCTACAACCGCACCCCAAACCTCTTGCGACACGCTCGGTGCGGGAGGGGTTGCAGAAACAACGTTCCCAGGCGTCTGCGGCTTGATCGGACAGCTATCTTCTGCACCCCCTCCCGCGCGAGACGTGTCCCAAGAGGTGTGGGGTGTGGTCTTTTACAAGCATCTGGTGCTTCCGAGGCCAATCGACATATTTTCGAGGGAGCTGCTGGAGGCCTTCCGAGAGCCTTTGGGGTGCGGATTTTCCAATGGGCTGGGTGGGGCCTAGGAGCACGTCAGAGCCGTTTCGAGGGAGCTGCTGCGGGTCAGCGTCCCAGAGGCCAGCTGGGAGCCTCTGGGGGGCTTGCGGGGGCTTGCGGGCCGTGGAGGGAGCGGGATGGGCGGGGAACGCTCTAGAGTTGTCCCTGTTGGGCCTCCCTTGGGGCTGTCTTGGGGGGCTGCTCGGCCGTCCTCGGAGTCCCCGGACCCGTCTGGAGGGTCTCCGGGGCCGTCGCAGGGGCTCTCTTCGAAGTTCCATCCCCTGGGCGCTCTTCAAGCGATCTGGGAGGCTTCTCGGGGCGGGTTGGGCGTCTTCCGGCTGGAGAAGCGATCGTAAGAGGATGCGCAGAGAAAAAAACATAGAACTGCAATGGTTGTTCGTTCTCGTGGCCCTCTCGGAGGCCATATGGGAAGCTTGCGGAACCTGGTGGGGGCCTTCTCGGGCCGTCTGGGAGCCCCCTTGCGCTGCAAAGGGGCGCTCTGGGGGCCTTTCGGGCCACTCGCGGTACTCTCTCGGTGCAAGTCGTCGGCGCCGCACGAGCGGAGCCATCGAGGCGCCGCCGCCGCATGGGGGCTCGCTTGGGAGCTGCCTGGGCGCCTTCTGGAGGAATTGGGAACTTCGCGGCGAGGGTTGGGCATTTGGCGGCAGGAGAAGCGATCGCAAGAGGAAGTGCAGAAACACTAGATGACCTCAAGCTCAATTTTCGCCTCCCACATGCTCGCTGAGCAAAGCCAGCGACCGCTGCCACTGCGCGCCTTCCTCGAAAGCGCTGCTCCCAGCGCTGTAGCTGATGACGCCCAGCTCCAGTCTTGCCTGTCTCATTTCTCTGCAGCAGCCGCAGCACCACAGCCCGCTGACACTGCTTGCCTTTCTCGCACGCGCTAAACACTTGACGTTGGGGTGTATTTTCGCCTGCCACATCTGACTGAGCACCGATAGTCGATAGTGCCCAATGCCATTGCTAGCTTTTTCCGCATGCGCTGGCAGTCGCATGTAGTGTCCCTGGGAAAGTTTCAAGCCTAATGTCAATATTTCGTGGGGTAGCTGCAATGCTGCGCTCCGTTGCTGGCTTCGAAGACACTTCTGGAATCACGCTTCGAGGGAGACAGCGTCTTTAAGAGACCCTCGGCAAATGTGCAGCATCCAATGAAATCCACGGCGGCTTGAGCACAATATGGATGGAGCCGAAACGGCTTGAGCCAAAATGGCTACGGATGGGAGGGGGCGGACCAGGACGTCCAGGAAACTGGAAACGCGCGTGGCACGTGGCAGGATCTTCGTGTGGAACGTCAGGTGGCCACGCGCTGGCCACACACACGCGGAAACCCTGCGTGCCCGGCCACAGCGGGACCGAGCGCTGGAAAACCGCCCACGTGCATTCAAATTCTGGGTCGTCCAGCTTCGCGCCTCGCGGCACGCGATGTGTGACGCACGATGACCTTTGCGCCGTCACGCCCCCGCCCTGGAGAAGGCCGCGTCCCCCACATTCTCTACCCCAGGCCGCGATGCGCGAAGCTCGATCACAGCGCATCTGTTTATTCCCCGCCATATCGGGCGTTCTGGGGGGGAGGGGGCGGGGAACGGGGGGGGCATAACGGAACGACTCCCCCCCCAGACTGCGGTGCCAGACGTCTTGCGGCAGTGCCGGGGACGCACTGAGGGGGGAAGCGTTACACATGGCGGGGGCAGGGCGGGGAGGGTAGGGGGCATGACGCGCGTCATGGCCCATAGGGTAAAAATACCCTCTCTCATCTTCGCGCCCCCTCGGGTGATGGAAGTACGGCAAGTTTGAGTCGTGCCGACTTCGGCGTTGGTTTCTGACACCGCGGGGACCGTTCAACATTGAACGATCGGCCGTTTCCGAAGCGTCCAAATCGTTCCACATCGAACGATTCTGGATCACCCGCGGCGTTCAACGTTGAACGCCGGCGGCAAGGTCGCCGCGGGTCGACACGACTCGGACCTACCGTACGAGGCCGGCCGCGTCGTGTACAATCCTCCGGCCTCCTGCGGAGGCCGGTGGCCTGCCTCCGGGGAGGCAGCCCCAGGGGCGGCCGCGCCACGCGCGGGCCGCCCTCCCAGGGAGACGGAGGACGAGGATCACTCGTGGTCTCCAAACCGGGTGGTGAGACACCCGGTGGTGACCCCGATTCCCCAAAAAAGAATTCTGGGTCACCACCGGGTTTGGGGACACGCGGTCGCCACGAGGTTTTGCGTTTCCTGGGCCAGCCAGCGCTCGAAAACCATTACCCAAATCGCCCAAAACTCACCACCGGGTGTTCTCACCACCACGTTTGGGGACCACCAAGATCAGGGAGAGGAAGCGGAGCACTGCCGGGGTCAGGAAAGTGGGGGCGACTCTGAGGTCCAGGGGTTGCAATTTCTTCACACCAGGCGTTTTCGTCCAATCTCGGGACCGTGGGCCATCCTAGATCGATCTGGCTCGAAAAATGCGACAGGAACTTGGGACCTAGGGCGCCGGTCGTGACTTGTTGCGATGCTGCAGTGGTTTCGCAACGTCGGATGTCAAGGAAGGATGGCGGGGTGGTGGTGGAAGCTTCGACTAACACCCGCGCGGGCACGAAGGGGAAGACGAACGAACGGCCCAGCGCGGCTGCCACGCCTCTGGATGAACTCTAGCATGGCCGCGTCTGGCAGGGCGTCCGGCTTCTCCACCACCTCCAGTGCGGCGGCAACACCAGCAATATCGCTGGCACGAAACGGCCCATTCCTGAACTCCTGAGCCCCAAGAACATGTCGTCGCTTGAAGGGGGCAGCTTTTACTTCCGCCGGCTCCCGCTGGACGCCTGCAGAGAACCACATTTTCTCCACGGCGAGCACCCACCACCGACAGCTGCACAGCATTCTCGACAAGGCAGCGCCACCGCGTAACCCTAGCCCTGCCAAGCGTCCGTGAGTTAGGAAAGCTAAAATGGTGACACTCCCATTTCCTTGACACGTTCGTGATCGTTCGTGGTAGTGCTACTACTCAACAAAAGAAGGTAGCAATTTCGACTCGTACTGTCCCCGGCGATAACGAAGTTCGGCCTCCCCGCCCCAGGCCTGGACGCTCGTTTATTCAGAACGGATCCAACCACGCCGATGGCCCACAGGGGTCCGCAGACCCCACATGGGCTTCTCCTCCTCCTCCTGCTTCCTTCCTTCCTTCCTTCCTTCCTTCCTTCCTTCCTTCCTCCCTCTTTCCCTCCTCCCTCCTCCTCCTCCCTCGTCCCACCTCCCTCCTGCCTCCTCCCAGCCTCCTCCCTCCTCCCTGTTCCCTCCTGCTTCCTCCCTCCTCTGCCCTCCCTCCTCGTCCCTCCCCTCTCCCCCTCTTCAAGGGAGAGCGGGCCGCGACCCGTCTCCGCCTTGCCCAGCTTCGGGACGCCAGCCACCTCCAGCATGTACCTCACGGGGTCGTTGTTGCCGTCGCCGTGGTCGTCGTGGGCGTAGCCGTGGTCCTCGTCCTCGTCGTCGTCGTCGTCGTGGCCGTCGTTGTCATCACCGTGGTCGTCGTCGTTCTCCTGCTTCTTCGAGGGGGGATGAGGGGGACAAACTCGATGAGGGAGGGGAGAATGAGAAAGAGGAGGAGCAGGAGGGGGAGGAGGAAACTCGGCGAGGGGAGAAGGAGGGGGGATGAGAAGGAGGAGGAGGAGGAGGAGGAGGAGGAGCAGGAGCGAGGAGGAGGAGGAGGAAGCGCGAGGGGGAGGGGGGGACGATAATCGTGAAGGATCGAGGAGGATAAGCGAAGAGGAGGAGCACGAGGAGGAGGAGAGGGAGGAGGAGGAGGAGGAGAATGAGGAGGGAGTAGATGAGGATGATGATGCGCAGACGATGCGGCGGAGGTGGGATCGGGGACGACGTGGGATGATGAGAGGAGGAGAAGGAACTTCGAGGAGGAATACCGATGAGGACGGAGAGGTACGTGCATGATGAGAACGGTGGAGGTGGGAGGATGAAGAACAAGGAGGATGAAAGAGGGAGATGAGGATGATGAGGCGGATGGAGGAACGAGGTGGAGCAGGAGGATGAGAAATGAGGATCGAGGAGGAGGAGGAGGAGGAGGAGGAGGAAAAGGATTGATAAGGTAAGGACGAGGTTCGCTGCCGATGGAGGGAGGGGAGGAAAGTGCGAGCACGGGAACACTAACCGGATCCTTCCAAGGACGTGCCTTTTGCAAGGAGGAGGAAGGGGAGGGGGCGAGTGAGGAGGAAACCGCGTCTTGAAGTGGTGCGGTCCTTGTCGCGCTGCTCAGGCCGCGCTGCCCGCGCCACCAGCGGCCGCCTGGTGCCTCAGATGCGCGGGGCCGGGGTCGAGGGAGAAGTCGGCGCCGTCGGCCAGCTCACCGTGCAGGATGCCGTCGGGCCCGGAGTTGTCGGAGCAGACGTCCTGGGCCCGAGTCGTGGACTCCGTCGGGCACCGGCAAGCCACCTTGCACGAGGCCAAGGGGGTCACCGTGTGGGGACGAATGGAGAACTTCAGGCGATACTGCTTCCGCGGTGTCGGCGTCCAGCTGGACGGCGGGATTGTCGATGCCTGCCTGCATGATCAGGAAACGCTAGCTCGGTAACGCTGCGTTTGATCGCACACCGCGGGCTCACGCGGATGTCGCCGTGGGCAGCCATCGCCACGGGGTCGAAGCCGTCGGACGGGGAGTCGGCCGCATCCAGCTCGCGGGCATCAGCATCATCAATATCATCATCACAAAGACCATCATCATCAGCATCATCATCATCATCAGCACCACCATCACCATCACCACTATCATCATCAGCATCCTGATCAATACCATAATTATCATTAACAACAAATCAGCGGCATCATCATCAGCATCGTCATCACCATCACCATCACCATCATCATCATCATCATCATCATCATCATCATCATTCTAGTAATCATCACCAGCATCATCTCCATCACCATCATCATCACTACCACCATCAGCATCATGAGAACCATCGTCATCACCATTGTTTCTACCATCGCCAGCATCAGCGTCAGCATCATAATCATACTCAGCATCACCATCATCATCACCATCATCAGAAAATAATCACAAGCATTATCCTCAACAACGCAACAATCATCATCAGCATCAACGAACTCATCATCATCATCATCATCATCATCATCATCGTCGGCGTCGTCGTCGTCAGCATCACCATCATCGTCATCGTCATCGTCATCGCCATCATCATCATCATCATCATCATCAGTATCATCATCATCATCATCATCAGCATCATCATCCTCATCCTCATCATCATCATCATCATCTCATCATATCCATCATCATCATCGTCAGCAGCACCATCATCATCTGCATCATCAGCATGACATTATCATCGCCACCACCAGCATCCTAATCATCGTCGTGGCATTCATGGGACGGCTCGATCATCAGCAGACCCAGGCGGCGTGGCTGTGCGGCCGACCTAGTCGATCAAGCCCGCAACGACGTCCCCAGGAGGGGCAGCAACATCAGGCAAGTCCCCTGGAAGGACCACCCCGAAGGCGCAACGGGCCAGGCACTCCCCCAAGTCTCCGTCGAAGAGGGCAAGACTGGGCGGCAACTCCTGATCCGTGGAGTCGTCGATGGGACGTGCTCCGTGCTCGCATAGCTCGGAAGAACAGGCCTCCTGTTCGGACGCTCGCAAGGCGTCGTGGAATTCGGGATGAGGGGCAGCCTCTTCCAGTGCAGCGGCCTCTTCGAACTCTTGTCCGAAAAGCGCTTCAATTCCGTCCTGCGCCGCGATGAGCGCGTCGCGGTCGAAGCCCATGAACTCTGTGTGAGAGGAGGTGCCGAGCATGTAGTCGAACTCGGTGCCGTGAATCATGCCACCCTGGCAGATCGGGGGAGCTTGAAGGGCAGCATCTGCTTGAGGATCGGCGTCTGAGCTGGAGGCCAGCGGTTCGCCCTTGTTCTGCATTGTCTCCAGGTCGGTACAGGTTGCAAGGAGATTCTGCCGAGCTCGCGTGGCTCTCGAGACGGGTCCGTTTGGGTCCTGCGCACGCTCGTCGGGTTCGAGGATAGAGAACGGCCCTACAGCGAACAAGTAGAACAGGAAGGCAAGTCACTCCGCCAACGGTTGGGGCAGATCAGGCGCCAAGGAATCCATGTTCTCCTGCAACAGGCCAGAGCCAGGCCCTGTGCAGTCTCCACCAGAGTCGTCAACAGCAAGGTCACCACCCCCTTTGCCACCAGGTCCGTCGGGTGGGTTGCGCAAGCGCTTATTTGCACAGCGCTGCCCTGCGTCTGCAGTGGGTTCAGGCCATGTGTTGCAATGATCTCTGGCCGCGCAGACATATAGTTGCACCAAGCTGTCCTGGGTTTGCAGGTTGCGGCGCCATCAAGGGGGTGGCGCGAGGGGGGCGGCCTTCTATGAAGGCGAGGGGGGCTTCTTAAAAGGCAAGAGCCTGCTTAGGAGGGTCCAGAGTCTCCTAGGAATGCCTCGTAGAAGCCAGGCGGGCTTCTAGGAAACCTGCCTACCTTCTTATCCCCGCCGCCTTCTCAGAAGGCCGCCTGCCTCGCGCCACCCCCTGGTGGGCGCCGCCAAGCAAGCACGTTGGATGTCATGTCATCGTCGGTCGGCCAGTGGTGGTTGGCTCTCGCACTTCCTCGTCGAGAAGGTCGGGGTCAGCCCGTCCGGTTCGTCTGCCAGGCGGTGCACCACCAGCGGTCGCGCTCTCGAGAGGAGGAGGAGGAGGAGGAGGAGGAGGAGGAGGAGGACGACGAGGAGGAGAAGGAGGAGGAGGAGGAGATGGAGGAGGAGGATCGAGGTGGCGGGGCGGAAGATTCTGATAATTTCCTCTGCCTAGTTTGCACGTCCTTGGCCCCTTCGGGTATCACGAATTCTCCGATGACATCCAGAGAGCAGGAGGAGGGACAGGGGGGAGGGAGGGCAGGAGAGGAGGAGGGGAGTGAGGAGGGGGCGGGCGGGGGGAGAAGATGCCAAGGGAAGAGGAGGAGTGCGCTCTGGGCAAGAACAACCATGCACACCCGCCCAGACCAGGGAGACCTTGGCCCAGCTGGCCGACCCATCCCCCCTTTGGTGAGAATGGATGCCGTCTCCTTCGGGTTCCGCAGCATCCATCCCCACCTAGAGGAGGGACGCTGGGAGAGGTGCCCTACCCTGTCCTGGTCGGGGTCTGGGGTGGTTCGGGCGACTATAAACGAGGAGGGAGGGGAACAATGATTAATGGGGGTGAGGAGGAGCACGGTGCGGCAGAAAGGCAGGGCGGTGAGGACGAGAAGGGGGGTGCAGATGCAGAGCGTGGCACGCCTCCGCAGCGGGCCGACGTCTGCCCGCTGTCCCCTGGCCTCCCTCGGGGCACTTCGCGTACTCCGCGACGCCCGTGCCGTAGGACTTGATGGAGAGGCAGAGCGCGTGGTCGCTCAGCGCGCCTCGCCAGCGGTGAGGCAACCGAGGACACACGGCGGAAATGGCCGCTGCAACTGGGACCGATTGCAGAGGACGCCCGAGAGGGCACGGGTCTGTTCCGAGGGCAGCCCGTGCTATAGGCATGACGTGAAGCTCGGCGGTAGACACGGCACAAAAGGCACACCTGGTACGACCCGTCTGCAGGTCACCTAGATTCGCACTTAGGCAGGTTGAGGCAGGCCAGGTCAGGCCTGGCCATGCTGAGCCCGGACAAGCTGAGACTGAGGCAATCTTCGCTGGAAGGCGCTGAGCTTCGCTGAGAGTAGCTCGACTCGGTGAGCTCAGCCCGATCGGGCCAGGCCACGCAAACACCCATCACCCTGCGCACAGCGCAGATGCACCGCAGGACGCCGCTCGACATGTCAGCACCCCCCAACGACCCGCGGGCTCAACGTGTGGGAGGCTGTGGCGAACCGAGACACCGCACCACCAAGTGAGCACATACATCTGAGGCTCCGGCAACACTGATTCCCAAACAGATGACGTCTCACTCTGACATCTGCCGCCTTCCGCTGCCTCTGCGCCGACTTCCGCCAGCCGACACGCCGCTTTGCTTCCGCGGGCCTCCGCAGAATGCGAAGCCCCACCCCGACTCGGCTTTCCGTTTTCGGGGCATACCTCGGGTCTCCAGCGGCCGGTTCGCAGAACGCCCTCGGCGAGGCGCAGCTGCCGGAGCGCATCCCGGGCCTGGAAAGCCGCCGAGACCTGACGAAACCTGACGAAAACGTCCAAGCGCTCCGAACTGACGCAAACTGACGACCTGACAACACCGGCGAAACCTTCAGAGGCGTCCGAAGACTGAAACGACGCCGAGGACCGACAAAGATGCCCCACGACCTCGAGCAACCGCCCCGAGGTGGCGAGGCCCTGTCTGGAGCGCGCCGGGTGCGCAGCATGGTGCGCCCGGGCCGAAGGCCCGAGGCGGAGAAGCACAGCGTGATGCGACGCGGCCCGCCCTCGTGCGGGCTCGCCGTGGGCAGGAGGAGGCAGCCCTCACGATCCTCCTCCTCCTCCTCCTCGTCCTCCTCGGTCGACCTCCTCCTCCTCCTCGGTCCTGCTCCTCCTCCTCCTCCGCCGCCTCCTCCTCCTCCTCGACGTCCTCCTCCTCCTCCTCCTCCTCCTCCTCCTCCTCCTCCGTGATCCTCCTCGAGCCTCGGTCCTTGCTCCTCGGCCCTCCATCCTCCTCTTCCTCCTCCTCCTCCTCCTCCTCCTCCAGCTGGTGATGGTGGTGATGATATTGCTGTTGCTGACGCTCTTGCTGTTGCTGACAGTTGCTGTTGTTGTTGATGCTGCGGCTGCTGTTGCTGTTGTTGCTGATGCTGTTGCTGGTGTGGCTGCTGAGGATGGTGAGGATGATGGTGGTGCTGATGGTGGTGATGATGGTCATGATGATGCTGCTGGTGATGGTGGTAATGATGAGGAGGCTAACGCTAATGTTGCGATGATGCTAATGGTTGTGCTGCTGCTGATGATGCTGATGATGATCATGCGGAAGAATGCGGAGAAGGACGATGATGATGAGGATGCTGATGATGATGCGGTTGATGATAATGCTCATGATGATGAATATGATGCTGATGATGCTGATGGTGATGTTGATGAGGATGACGATTATGATGCGGATGATGTTGACCATGCTGCTGCTGATGATGCTGATGTTGATAATGATGTTGATGATGCTGTTGCTGCTGATGCTGAATGCTGCTGACGATGAACCATGATGATCATGAGCATGATCATGATTGCTTTGGTGATGAGGGTCGTGCTGATGCTGGTGGCGGTGGTGATGATGGTCATGCTGCTGATGATGATGGTGATGGTACTGATGATGGTGATGAGGATGGCGACGAAACGGCGACGGCAACGGCGACGGCGACGGCGACGACGACGACCACGGCAAATTCGCGCCACGACGACTTGTGCGTTGGCTTCTGACTGCGCGTGGATCGTCGAACCTTGAGCGACCGTGGCTTTCCGATAAGCGAGGGTCGGCCGATGTCCGCCTATTCCGGGCCACTGGCAGCGTTCAGCCTGGAACGCCCGCGCAAGAGACTCCGCCGCGTCAACGCGGAACGAACCTACCGTATTCTTGCCGAGTTCGAAGAGAAACATCTTCTGAGAAGGGCGCCGATGACGCCCCTCCTCGGCATGAAGGAAGGGGGCCGAAGGGAGAAGGGTCCTGGATCCTATCGGGCTTCTCACTGGGATCGGCTCCTCACCCCGCGCACCTGTTTCACAGCGACCAGGGCCCGTGGAGGGCCGAGGGAGGGCAAAAGCCATGACGAACTCAGGGCCCGTCTTTTCCCCAACACCACATATATTTTCCTTCATTAGAGCATGTGAGAATCACCTTGAGCGTAAGGTTTCGGATGTCCGAGCTTGTTTGGGGGATCGGCGCTAGACCCACCTCCCTGACGCACGTAGCGCGCTAGGGGCGGCGCCGGAAACGCCGCCATGGGGGCTTCAGCGCCGATCCAAGAAATCCACAATGACCGCACAAAGACCATGCGAATGCCGTTTTTCTGATTCATGGCGACACTCCTATCCCGGGGTGCGTCCTGACCAGAGCTTCGAAACGGAATCCGACCGCGGTGAAGAGAGACTCTTGGGAGGCTCAGGCATCAACAAGAAAGCCAGGGGAACTGCGAGACTCATACGCCCCTGCCTCCTCCTCCTCCTCCTCCTCCCTCCTCCTCCTCCCTCTTCCTTCCCGACTTGCAGGCCCGTCCGTGTAGCTTAGCTGTTTCTAAAGCTTGCCTGGCCGAGCTGTATGCGAACATGATGGGGTGAACGTCTGTCTGTCTAGGCAGGGAAGCGGCATCGCTGCTCGCGGGACGGTTGCGGTTCATGCGTTCGCGCTCACAGCCCATTGGCTTTGTCCCCCCGGCCCCCCAGCATCGAAGTTCAAAGTCCTCCTCCTCCTCCTCCTCCTCCTCCTCCTCCTCCTCCCTCCTGCCAAGAAATGAAGACAACAACCATACACTTTGGGAGCTCCGCGCGGATTTCTTGGATCGGCGCTCGGTTCCCCCCTCCCTGGCGCGCGGAGCGCGCCAGGGGCGGCGCTGGAGGCGCTGCCAGGGGGCTTCAGCGCAGATCCGGCCCGTCGAACATGTATGCTCATGCTTGCATTTCTTCTTCGAGCACCCCCTGTGCGCTGGGTGGGGGCGGGGGGGACGGAGGCCTGACGGAAGCCCGTCCTCGCCGCTGCCGGCCCCTTCCGCGTCGCGGAAGGCCGCCGCCAGCTCCGCCTGCGCCCTCTCGAGCTCCTCCACCTGGGCGGCGGGCAGGGGATGGGCAGATGAAGAGGCCAGGCTTCTCTCGTGGTTAAGGGCTTCGGGCTGCGCGCAGACAGCCCCCCAAGCAGTACTGGCTCGCCTCAACAGGCACCCTGAGTAGTCGAGGGCGGTCTCAACATCCTGGCGCGGCGCTTTGCGCCCCAGGGTTGGGGTGGTGAGACCGTCCCGGATTACTCGGGGGGCCGGTTGAGGCCAGCTGGGACTACTCGGGGGGCGGGATGCGGCCAGCTGGGGCTACCTGGTGGGCCGTCTGTGCGCAACCCGAAGCCTTAGCAAGCGTCTCTCGCCGTTTTCTTGACTTGCATCCACTTCGCATGGCTTCTCCCAGAGTCGGAGGCAGCCAACACCGCGCGTGAGGCGCTTCGTGCTCTGTGCTCGTCTCCCCCCTTCGCCCAACAATGCGAAACCATTTTGGCTCAAGCCGCCGTCCCGGGCCAGGTGCCGTTTGCAGCACTCAGGGTGCTAACCCCAAAAGATCTTTAATGAACCCCCGGGCAATAATGGGAAAATGAATAATTTGTCCGCCAGCTTATTGACGGATTGGGACCCCGACAATAGTTGGAAATTAATTATTCTCGTCGGCGGATGCATGAGAGGTCATGAGAAGTGCTTAAAAATCCCGTCGCTCAACGCCTGCAGGCCTCCTCCTCCTCCTCCTCCTCCTCGTCGTCCTCCTTCCTCCTCGAGTCTACGAAACGGAGCCCAGACCAGGGGGGGGGGAGGAGGAGGAGGAGGAGGAGGAGGAGGAGGAGGAGGAGGAGGAGGAGGAGGAGGAGGAGGAGCAGGAGGAAAAGAGGAAAAAGAGGAAAAAGAGGAACAAAAAGGAAGAGGAGGAGAAGGGGGAGGGGGGAGGAGGAGGAGGAGGGAGGAGGAGGACGGAGGGAAAGGAGGAGGGAGGGGGAGGAGAGGAGGAGGAGGAGGAGGGAGGAGGAGGACGAGTTTCTATTCCCAGCCGAGAGCTTAGGGGGGGGGGGGCATCATTAAAGACCCTCTGCGGCTAATTCTGACCACCTCCTCACGGGAAAGCTGCCATGCGCGCCGCCCCCGCCGGGCACCTCCCGGCAAGCGCAGGTGGCCGCGCGCCACGAGGTGTTCCCGACCGGCGCTGCTGCAGCCCACCGAGACCGACGCTCCGTGCTGCTGCACGGAAGCTCGGCTACGAGGCCAGAGTCGGCCGCCGACCTCGCCTGGGCGACGTAGCCAGCGTCGCCACCGCAGCTGGCCCCGCCTGCAGAGGTCTGCCCCTTCGCCGTCTGAGGTGCCGCCTGCTCGTGTCAGTGTGAATCGTTTTGGACTCAAGCCCGTTTGTGGAGCTGCTGTACCTGATCGAGGCTCATCGTCCTCCTGCTGGTGCTGCCGTTCGTTATCCTGGGAGTGCCGCGGCCGCTGGGCTGGTGCCGGACGCCTACCCATCGGACGTTGCTGCCGCTGGCGCGCGCGCCCGCGACCCGCCACCACAAGGGACTCCTGATCTTGCTTGTTTCGGGTATCTCCGGAGCTGCTGCCCCTGCGCCGACATGGTCGCCTACGTTACCTCTCTACGTGCGGCCTGCTCTGGAGCGGGCTGCTGCTGTGGACGCGGATGAAGTTTGTGCACTACATCATGCTGACCCTACAGTGTTTCCAACTGGCGTTAAGCCTTCAGAGACTTTGGACCCAATTGATCTGGACCCTGCTGCTGTTGCTGGTTCCGCGCAGGCGCCGGCGCGCGCCCTGCCGCTTGCAGCGGCCGGACGGCGGCGGCTGCGCCTACCCCCCCACGGGCGCTGGCCGCGGCCCTGGCGCCAGCACCTGTCCTTGCGGCAAAGCCCCCAGCGATGGCGCCCGCGACGCCTGGCCTCGCTACGGTTTTACTCGGGCAGAGAGTGCTAGACATGGGCTTGTGCACGGGCGTCGTGAGGTTCCTCGGCAACGTCAAATGTGCCGACGAAGGCCCGCTGGTACGCGTTGAGCTGGACGTTCCCATCCCGTGCCAGCTGCAGGAGCTGTACTGGCAGCGCGTTGCTCTAGACCGAGATGCCGCTGCTGCTGGTTCCGCGCCGTCGCCAACGCCGTCCTGCCGCCTCGGGGCTCCGAGTATGCGCCGGGGGAGCCGTTCCCCGGCGCCCCTGGCGGCGGTTGAAGAGTCTGGGCGTTCCGCTCCTCGGGCCCCACTGCGCCGCCGAGTCCTGAGCATGCGGCTGGCGCTCGTGTCCCTCGGCCTGATGCCGTCACCGCGTCCGGGCGCCCCCGGCATGCTGCCGCTCATGTTCCTCCAAGTGGCGCTGGGCGTGTGCCGGAAGATGCTGACGATGGCTTGCTGGGGAATGATGATGGCGTTGACCGCGAGTCGGGGGACGGTGGCCTTGTCGCGCAGTACTGTCGACACCGACTATTTTAAAGATCCATGGACGCTAGGCGCGACAATCGCCGCTCGTGAGTTTGTCGTTAAGTAGGCTCGAACGTGTGAATACGTTACCCTCCAGCCGGCCCCCTGTTCGAATATTCAGATTGCAGTGGAAATGGCTGCGTGCGCATCGAATCGCAATCGTTTCAACTTCCCTCGTTCAATGCGAGACTGTGACATCAGCTGCTCGCATCGATGCTCTGGCGAATGATGATATGTTTGCTCGGCACGTGCGTAGGTGGGCGCAGCCAGGGCCTCTGCCCACTCCCCCGCCGCCCACGCGCAGCCCAGCCGACCCAGTTGCACATATAGCTCAACATATCGCGGCCCCCCGCGACTGGCATGATTGGTCTGTCCGAGGCCCCCTCCCTAGGAGGGGGGGGAGGAGGAGGCTCGACAGATTAGCCATTGCCCTCGCCGCGCGCTCCTCCCTCGGCTTCGCGCGGGGATGATCGCGTCGATGTTCCGTCGTCGTCAGGTCGTGCGTCCCGGGTTGGGGGCCAAAGATAATCGTCCTCACCTTCTCAGGAAGCCGGGCTGCACGCCTGAACATTAACGTCGTCGTTCGCATGATTACTCGTCGTCGTCTTTGTGCCTGCAATGTGCAGCACTGGCTGACAAGGAGCGCGCACGTGACGGAGGTCTTAGGCCTGCTTCCCTAACTCTACCCTCCCTCTCGTTGCTGCCCTCCTCCCGAGGCTGGAGGTTGTTAGATCTGCGTCCCAATTGTATTCTCCCCTTCTCGATATCATACAGCCTCCCTCCCTCCCTCCCCTCCCCTTCCGAAGGGCCGAGTGCCAGCGATACCGTAATCGATCCTGTGTACCACCCGGTACCTGCCCAGCTGCTTGATTTGAGGAGAGTGGCATCTCGGAGGGAAAATTCGGGTATGGTGGGGAAGCACCGCTCTCAGGGTTCCTTGGCGCCCGTGCTGGATCCGCTACTGGCCTCGCATTGCCTGTCAGCTGTAGTGCCACTCTCGATGGCAACGGCCTCCGATGAGCAATCACGCACGCAATCCAATCCTAAGCTTTGACCGCTCTCCATCCCTCTTGCATGCGGGGACAGCAGGGGACCACAATCACATCGAAGACATACCCTTGGGAATGTCTTGCGCATGCCGAGGGTTGTCGGAACACAGAAACCAGCTTCGTAGCGGTTGTGGTGGATGTGGCGTCCCATGACAGCCGAATCGACCACAACCGCAACCACAACCGAGGTGCTCATGTTGATGTCGGCGGGTTCTCCCCCGAGGCTCGAGGGACCCTCCCGAAAAATCCACTTAGTTGTGGTTGTGCCCAGATTCCACCCGCACAGGTGCACAGTCGGATCGTGCGCGACCCTGTCGTTCCTGGGTTGCGCCGCGTGCCTTCACGTCGTCGCCGACACAGATTATGCCGCTCGCGTCGCTTCGGCTGGGTCGCCCTCCAGAGGCCAGGCAGAGCGCGCCAGCGCGTCTGGGGACAAGTCTGCAGCCTGCCAACCCTGGGATGCATCCAGGCAAGTCCCTCGCATACAAACTCCGGCCCGCCTCCAGCCTTGTGATGCTGATCGCGCCGGCGGGAACCTGCCAAGGTTCTCGAACCCATGCCTCCTGCTCCGTGATTTGTTCAACAAGCGCCCGCCCGGAGCTCTCGGCACCTCCCCCAAGGATAGATTTGTCCCAACCCTCCCGTGTTGAGATGGGTCCTCGTTTTACATCTGCTGCGCCTCTGCTCTCCGCATCCACCTCCCTCCTTGCCCCTGCTCTGCGCAGGTATGTCAACTTCGGTACACCCCTCGCTCGTTTCGTTGCTGCATTGAGAGCCCTACTTAGCGCGACCGCATGGCCACGCCGCCTCCATACTGGAACGCCGCTCACACGCTTCGTGGCCCTAGGAAGCCCCACCTACCGTCTCAGCGGGCGCGACCGCATGTGGTGCCGCCCAGATTTAGGTATACCCCTCACACGTGTCGTAGCCTCAGGGGGAGCTCCACACATGGTCTCGATGGGCACGACCGCATGGAGGCGCTGCGCCCATCTCGGCACACCTTTCACACGTTCCGCTGCCAGTGGGGAACTCCACATGTGGTCTCAGTGAGGGCGACCGTGCGGCGCCGCCCCGATTTAAGCACACCCCTGAGGTGCCCAGTGAGGTGCTCCAGCTAGCGCGGCGCCGCGCCCACCACGGAACACCCCTCACACTTTTAGTAGCCCGCAGGGGGCTCCACCTAGTGGCCCAGTGGGCGCGACTGTGTGGTGGCACCGCCTCCACATCGACACAATCTTGACAGTTGTCATGCCACTGGGGAAGCTCCCTTCAAAGGCCATGTAAGCGCGACCGCATGGCGGCGACGTGCCCAGTTCGGCACACCTCCCGCACGTCTTGTGCTCCTGAAGAAGGCCCATCTACAGTCTCAGTGGGCGCGAACGCATTGCGGCGCCGCCCCATTTCGGTACACCTCTCACGCGTTTCGTGGCCCCATGAGGAACTCCACTTACGGTCCCCATGGGCGCGACCGCATGGCACAACCAGGCACATCCCGGCACGTCTCTTACAAGTTTCGCGCTCATCGGTGAGCCCCAGCGATGGTCCCAGCGGGCGCATCCGCATGACACCACCGCGCCTATCTCGGCACAACCCCACATGTCTTGAATTCCTTGGGGAGCCTCTTCGATCCTCGATCATAGGTCCTTTTCTCCTCGATCCCTGGAAACCTTCAGGGGTCTGTCCAAGCCAGTTATCTGAGCCGGGTACAGCCGCGGTGACGACGGCCTTGAGAATCGCCAAAAACCTCCAGAACGACGAAGCCGTCGACGACAATGGCGACGAGAATATCCAACGACGTCGTCGACGACGACGCACATTGAGTGTACTGTCTCAGGGATCTGGTAAGCGCGGTGGGCGAAAGGAGGGGGGGAAGAGGAGAAGGAGGAGGAGAAGGAGGAGGAAGAGGAGGAGGAGGAGGAGCGCCTTGAAATGAAAATGGTTGCCGGAAGCAATACGAGCGCGAAATCAAATAAGTGTACAATGCGCGCAGGGGCTCGAAGCGGCTGCCGTGGACAGATCGACGACAGGTGCACGAGTCAACGACCACCCCGCTCCTCGCCCCACTCCTCTGAAAAGCGTGGGCCCAGGCGGACGGCAAGCCACATCGGCTCGCGCACCAAGCGCCACTACAGCGAAGGGTCACTCGTGCGCGAAGCCGAGGTACCCCCCCGAGCCTCCAGCCCGCCCTCGTGGGGGCGCTCGGGCCGCGGGCTGGCTCTCACTGCGGCAGGGTCGTGGCCTCAGGCAGCTGCAGGACCGTGTACGATGCGCGCACCGCCCCGAGCACCTGGGGAGATAAACTCTGTACGCCGACGCTTCTTCCGGCCCTGCACTGAAGCATGCGCAAGAACGCGGATCCTGGTGCATGCGGGATCCTGGTGTATACATGTTTCGCTGTTTCCCTGGGGAACGGAACAAAAAAGTATACACCACACCACCCCGACGTCGTCCCCGGCCCTCAAGAAGTCCTGGAATTGAAAAGACAGCCCGCCACTGGCAGTGTACATGTTCCAATTTCCGATGCACCTTCTCGCGCGGAGCCGGCAGCAGCTCCGAGATCACGCGAACCACTGCCAGGGCCATCTTCGCGGTGAGCTTGTCCCAGGCCAGCAGGCGCGTAGCGACGACGTAGAAGATGGTCCCGTAGAAGGCCATCGTGACGGGGAAGACCTTGCCTTTCATGATGGGCTCCAGACCCTCGTCGGGGAGACGTGAGACTCGGGTTCGGGGGACTCGGGTTGGCCTGGCTGGGCCACCATGAAAAGGACGCAACCCAATCTGAAATTTGACGCGAACTCCCGCTGCAGACATCCCACGGAAAACCGGAACGTCAAAATCCACGACGCGCTCGTCAAAATGCGTCGGCAAACCCGAGTTCCGTCGTACTCGAGTCTTATGCTTCCCCGACCTTGCTGAATGGGATGAACATGCCTCCGCACCCGCCCAGGAAGCCGCAGATCAGCAGGGCGGCGTACGGCTCCGAGAAGAAGCGCGGCTTGGGTCCGACGTCCTCGAGGGCGGCCGCCTGAGCACCGATCTCGATGCACGCCACCTGCTGGTGCGTACGGAAGACACCGAACACGAAGAGGAGGAGCATGGACACCGGCTTGCTCTGCGTCAGTTTGGCCCACTGGACGGAGACCACCGGCATGTGGTACGTGACGTACCATGCAGCGATCAGCATCCAGAAGAGCGTCTCTTCCAAGAAGACGACTGGACTGCGGCCAACCATAAGAGGCGCGAGGAAACCACCTCCCATTGCCGCAGCTCCGCAGGAGACAAGCCCGACCGGCCAATATACACCCTTTACCGCTCCACGCGCATCATTACAACACTTGAGCATGTGCACTGCCATTGTTGCCAAGAAAACGTAATCCGATTTGTTCGTGAACGTGAAGAACTCCTTGAAAGTCGCCCCGTGGTAGATCAGGCTTCCCGCATACGCCACCACGACCACGATGGCGGGGATAGTGACATCGGCGGCTTTCGTATCCATGGCGATGCACGCGCGGAAGGCCTCCTAACTCGTAAAACCGCTGCTCGAGATTGAAAAATGCTTCGGCCAAATTGGCCTCTGAAGCGGACGAGGACCCGTGTAAACCCAAGGCTGATCAACAATGTTTGACTAAGCCCTCTCCAACCTCCCTCTTCATAGGCCCCTAGAAGGATTTATTGCCACTGAAGAGAATACCCCGTTTAGAGACAACCGTTTGAAAATCCTGGAGCGTGCCAAAACATAATCCTCGGGACTCCAACGCCACGAATAAGCCTAACTGCTGTATCTTGACGATCCTCACTCGCGGCAGAACACCATTCCCGGGACTTCATGACCGCGAATCAACGTAAATGCTGCACCCTGGCGCTCCTGAACCATTGCGAAAGACACCTGCTGGCACGCTGACCATGAGAGTATGTGGAACTCTTGCATATATTTAAAACGAATATGCGCGGCGTTCTGGCGAGAACCACATTTTGAAAAGGAGCCGCCCTCAATCCGCGGAGCTCTTGCACGATGTTGAATACGCGTGTGAGCGGCGCAGCAATAACCACATTAAAAAAGGCCCGCCCTCAATCCGTGAAGCCCTTGCAACTTGTTTAAACAAATGTGCGCGGCGTTGAAGCAAGAACCACACTTCGAAAACAGCCCGCCCATAATCCGTGAAACTCCTGCAACCGTTTAAAGCGAGTGTGCGCGACGCTGAAGGGAGAGCTACATTTTGAAAGCGGCACGCCCTAAATCCGCACAACTCTTGCAACCTTTTTGAAACGAATGCGCGCGGCGCTCAAGCGAGAACCACATTTTGGAAGCGACCTGGCCTCCATCTGTGAAACCATTGTCAATGTTAAGCTGCAAGATCATAGATGGCATCGGAGCCTCAGGCGAAACGACCGGCCCGCCCTTCCGACTGGCCTCGGGGTGCAACAGGGATGAACTACTCTTATATATATATATATATAAAAGGAAAAATGAGCGGAGGGGGAGGGAGCATCTGAGATGTCTTGGAGAGGAGAGGGGGAGGAGGAGGAGGAGGAGGAGGAGGAGGAGGAGGAGGAGGAGAAGGGAGAGAAGTGAAGGTGGAGGATGGGGGAAGAAAATGCAGGGTGGCAGGAGCATGGGCAGGAGGAGGAGGAGGAGGAGGGGAGGAGGAATAGTCGTTTACGACGCTCAGTGGAAGCTCCTGGGACGGCACAGTCGAGCGTGGTCGAAACATGGCCACAGAACCGCGGGTCCAGAGCACGAGCCCCGTCGCCGAGTACTCAAGGCCCTATGGAGATACCCAGAGCGAAGGACACGCCGGGGTGAAGGGCCCAAACACGAAGAGCACCATGGCACCCCTGCAGGGCAAGGGCCATCTGCACATCTCCCCCCGGACATCAGAACTCCGTCAGTGCGGCCGTGCCCGGGCCCCAAAAGTCTCGGCCCCTGCCCCAAAGGGCAGTTCTCCGCCGCGGGTTCATTTCACTGCCCCGGGGCCCGAGAACGGCTTCTAATAGGCCGAGAGTCAGGGGGACGTAAGACCTGGGTACAGGGGACTCGGAAATCCCCGACGAGGTCGTCAAACAAATGACGAGGCCGAGCCTGCATTTTGACGAGGCCTCCCGCTGCAGACAGCTCACGAAACTCCTCCTCGTCAAAATCCGAGGCGCGGTCGTCAAAAAACGATGGCGAACCCGAGTCCTGGCAAACCCGGGTCTTACGCTCCCCCGAGGAGAGGAAAGGAAGCCGCCCGGATTGAACAAAAGCCTTTCGCCGAAGTCTGGGTAAGCGCCCTCCTGCAGAACTGGTGTTGCTCCTCACTCCCGTGCTGGATGCAAACTCTCTGATGTGGCACACGGCGCCTGCGATGTCTGGAGCCCCTGAAACAGAATTTTGGTACGAAGGAAACGAATCGTGGTACGGTGCCGGCGACTGGGACGGGTACGGGGCGCACGCGGGGGGCGGAGCCGGAATGGGGCCGTCGACTGGGGCAGCACGGGGGGAATGCCTCTGAGGCCTCTTGGAGCATCGGGGGTTGAGGAGCAGGAGCAGGAGGAGGAAGAACATGGAGGGCCAGTGTAAGCCCAAGACGCATCAACGATGTGGCAATACACCCTCCCTTCCAATTTCCTCTTCACAGGCCCCCACAATAATGGTTTTGCTTGGGGGAAGGGCCGCGTTGGAAAACAAGCGTTTGAGAACCCTTCCATGGTGCCGAAACGCAATTCCTGCGACTCCAGCGCCGCGGTCAACGTGACTAGAGCGCCCTGACAATCCAAAGTCGTGCCAGAACGCCAAACTTGGAATTTCAACACACCGAATCAACAGGACTGTTATGCCCTCACAATCCAAACCCATGCCAGGATAACCATACGGATTCTTGAAAAAGATTGGATAAGTATACTTCGGATGTGAACGGCGCTGGGCGAGAGCCACATTTTGAAACAGACTGCACTCCATCTGTAAGATTGTTGCAACATTGAAAGACACATGTGCGCAACACTAGGGCGAGAACCACATTTTGAACACAACCCACACTTCCTCCGTGAAGCTGCTGCGAACTTTCAAAGCGAATATGCGCGGCGCGAACGCGAGAGAAACGTTTCGCAAAACAAAAAAACGCCTTCCGTTTCATCAACGAGTTGCTGCAAGCTTTGAGTGCTGCGTCAAGGCGAGAAAGATATTTTGAAAACGGCCCGCCGTCCATCTGTGACGCTGCTGCGCATTTCAAGATTCATCATCGTACATTGAGAACCAATCTGAAGCGAAGATACGCCCTACCGACACGTCTGGAGGCGCGACAACGAGAATCTCTGTAGAAGGGAAGCGTGATGAAGGAGGAGGAGGAGGAGTAGGAGGGCTCGCAATTCATCGCCCGAGGCAAGTGCGCGGCCTAGGTCCGTGGGACGTAAGACGCGCTGAAATGAGAAAAAGAGCAGTGACATCTGGGGACATGTTCTGGCCCGGGTGATGATATCCCCCCCAAGTCATTCTTCAGATCCGACTCGCGAAAAATCACGACCGGAGCCCTAGACCCCATCCCTCTGCTGCATTTCTCGAGCCCGATCGATCTCTGATGGCCCTGGGGGGCCGAAAACGGGTGAAAACGTTCGACGCCCAGATCTGAGGGATCGCCCACCCTCTGTGATAATCGAGAAAACATGCCCATACCCGCGGCCTCGCGTTCCGAGCCCCTGAGCCGAGACACCGCGGATACGGAGCGCTGCTTCGCGGATCACCAGGGGGACCGCATACGTGCGACAGCGTACCCGCGGGATCGCGACCCGGAATCCAGACCGCGAGGGCGCGAATACGGATATGTCTTGCCGTAGCTCGGGCCTCCATTCCCGGTGTATTGCTCGGTTTCGTGCGTGATTTCTTGGCTCGATGATGCAGGGTGCTCCTCGATGGTCCTCGCCGAGGAAAAATGCACACGCCCGAGCGATGCCGAGATAATCGCCGCTCGTGGCCCTTGTCCGAGCCCCGGGCCGCAAGCTCTCCGAGAGGGCGCGCGGCGCCTCGTCGTGCAGGCAGGCGGCCTCCTTCTGGTCGATCTCGCTGCTCACCTGCCGCCGGAAGCGGCCGCACCGCCGCGGCGCTCGGGCTGCCCTCCACTGGGCCTGCGATCCGCGCCATGAAACTATGCACACAGACGCCCCCCGACGAGTTGTGCATGTGCCTTCAAGGAGGGCGGCAGTGTAGAAAATCGCTGGCTCCAAGTGGTGACTTATACACCGCCACCGGCCCCTGAGGCCGATGAATCATCCATTGAAGGGTGTCGGTGTCAGTGTATATTTCTGTGGCGGAAGTCGGGAACTTTGGGACCGTGTGTCGCCGCGGCGGCCCCGGCGACACGTTGTGCCCTGCGAGCGGATAGCGTGTCGCTCCGCTCCGCGGGGCGGGAGGCTCAGAAAGGCTCGGAAGTTGACGCTTGGAGATGGGCAAGTGGACGGCGTGTCGCGGCGAAGCGCGGTGGGCCAAAACCAGCGGAACGACACGCTATCCAAAAGATACCAAACGGAATCGTTCTGACGAAGACCTCCGCCCTGCGATCCTGGCTGGGCACACTGGGCTTCAAGCTTGCGTGCTGTGCCCGTGGTGGCGGGTAGCGGGAGAAAGGCGGCGCGCACACCGGTGGAGTGTGGCCGCGGCGCCGAACGGATGCGGCGAGGAAGAAGTGAGGAAGAACTGGTGGCGCGCCCAGGGAGGGGAAGGCAGAGGGAGCGGGCCCTCGCAGACGGCTCAGACGGCCTCCCTGGCCTTCTGAGAAGCTCGCGGAGCCTGTTCTCGCAGGGGGGCGAAGGGCTTCGAAGAAGCCCCGATGCCTTCTGACGCCCTCTCACTTCCCCCCTCGGCGTGCCGCCGAAGCTCTGTTCACAGTCGGCGTTTTCACCAGGCCCCACCGGGCACCTGCAAGCCCCTCACAGATCGACCCCGCTCGAGAGGTGCCGCAGAAAAGGTGGGATCTACGGAGCTCTGGCCGTGATTTCTTACGTTTTTGCAAATGTTTCGCGCCGTCGGATCTCAGGGATTGCCTCCTGGTTTCCCCGTGGCGCTTGCTGGTGGTGGCCACCGGTCAGCGCTCGCGCGCGGCGCGACGCCGACTCGGGGCTCGGTCTGCGCGCGGCGCTGCCTCCTGGGCTGGCATCCGCTCAGAACAATGTCATAATGCGAGAGGTGCAGGATGCGTTTTGGGAGTTCCAAAGGAGTATCTAACGGCCCTCGCTTCTAGAGCCCGCGCGGAGCCATCGGAGATCTTGGAGATCCTGGCGCGTATGACCATCATGGCTTCTTGATCCTATGATGAGCGTCGGGCGACAAGGGGCCCAACCGACCCCTCTCGTGACCAACACTTTCCGTGACGTCATCCTCCCCTTTCAGGCTTCCCTCCAGCCGCATACATACGTCTTGGGCTGATGCAAGGAGGGACGTCACGAAAAGGGGTTGTCTGCTAGGGTTGGGTTGCTGTTGGGGCCTGTATCTAGAGCCGTTACATGGCGGCCGACACAACTGTCCGCAAATTCTGCCAATCTGCGGATTGCAGCCCTGAGCATGTCGTCGGCGGCAACAGAAACACACAACACTTATACGCCGATTGCATTCTGAATAACGCAGTTCTCCGGGCCCTTGCGGGACAATAGGGCATCGCAGACAATATGTATTGCATAGCATTGGATTTCACAGCATTGACACTATCTCGATGACATTGCCATGGTGCGTGCACTCAAACATTGCCGAGCATAAGGAACACAACATATCATCGACGCCCTGAATGGTATCATGATTTCTGCGACTGTGGGGCGCTATCCCTCACATTAAAAATGACCCCAGGGATGGGGCAACAATGACGGATGACGGGGGAGCAGAGGGAAGCAGGGCGTCTGAAAAACGGCCCTGGTCGTTTTCAGGCCCTGATGGGCTGCATTGGACCCCTATGGCGCGACGAGGAGGACAAACGCGAGGAGTGAGGTGGAGATGAGAATGAGGAGGAGGAGAAGGAGGAGGAGAAGGTCAACAAAAAGGATGTGGACACCAGTCCGACGTCGCGCTGGCATTGGCATGCGCTACACGCTGCTCATCCGTGCCCTCGCGCTCGTCGGCTGTGGGCTGGGCTCCCAGAAGGACCCCATGAGGGACCCAAGGTACCCCAAGACAGTCCCTGGAAGGCCTCGCAGAGGTGGGGAAATGCGGCCGCGTTTCCCCACATCGAATCGAGGTTCCTGGGGAGACCTTGGAGCCTTCTTGGAGGCTTGGTGGGGCCCTCTGACATCCCTCCCTTTTCGTTCTCTCGCCCTCCCTCCTCATCCTCCCTCAAGTTCCCAGTGCCGCGCGGTGCTGTGCATTGCCGTTCGTGTACGAGGCAATCCACAGATTGTACTGTCATGTGCGGACACATGGTCCCCACCCGGGCCCCATCCCCCAGACTAGGCACCGAGGTCGGGGCACCGTCTGGTTGTCGAGCAGTGGTCGTGTACAGTGACCGAATCCACAAATTATACGGTCAAATGCGGACAAGATTTTCTGGGAGACCGTCCGCAAACTGTACTGTCAAGTGTGGGCAGGGGTCCCTGGTCCACAGATTGTACCGTCAATTGTTGACAGATTGCCTGGGCCTGTGCGCGCACAGTCTGCGGACAGGGGGTGCGCCCCACGGGACAATCTGCGGACACGCATGCTGTCCGCAGATGGTCCTGGGGTCGTGTCTGGTGCACACGCGCAGGATCCACAGATCGAGGGTGGGGCATCCGTATTACCGGCGCCGAATCCACAAACCGACGGGGAGAATCTTGACAGCGCGCGCCGAATCCGCACTTCGAGCCTCTTGGTACCCCCTTTCGGTTTCCTTGGGGCCCCCAGCCCCAGGCCACCTGGGAAGCCCCCCCGGGCTCCCAGGAAGTCACCGCGGTATGCGAGCCTGGAATTGCGAACGTGTCCCAGGCGAAACGGGGCAGACCACTTCAGGTGTGGGCGCAGAGTCGCCAGGAAATCTCAAGTGGAACACGGGCTGGACCACCCCGGGGGCAGGGCATATCCGAGCCCAGAGTTGCGAGAACGTTTCGGGCGAAACGGGCTGGCCACCACCTCGCGATCGGCACCTCCTCCTGCTGCTACGCTTCCTCCGCCTCCTGCTCCTCCGCCTGCTGCTGCTGCTGCTGCTGCTGCTGCTGGTCCCCCCCTTTTTCCTCCCGATTCACAAGAAGAAGGACAAGGAGAGGAGGGAAGTCAGGGCCCCAGGGAGCCGCACAACGGACGCTGCTGACAAGCATGAGTAGATCGAGTGTTTTCGTTCGCGGACCGCGCGCCTCGATGATCCAGCTGCGCCGCGTCGGAAGCGCGCGCTGCGAAATTAGCGCTGTCACCTGTTGAGTGTGGCAAGATCAACAGAAGGGTTTGGGCGCAGGTGCGCCATTGCACGCCAGAGGTGCTGGATGACGCCAACCCTGCGTCGCTGTAGCGCGCGATTGCGGCCGACTTCACAGGAACACGAATGTTGCCCATCAAGTTTGCCAGGCGGGCGCGTCGCCGCTTGCCGAGCCGCTTGGCTCTCCAGCTTGTCCGCGGAACCAGATCCGCACATTGCAAGAATCTGCGGACTATGGCGGCTGGATAGACATAGCCCTATAGAGAACATGGCGAACAGACCCAGAAAACAACCCAATGCTAGGGGTCGGTGAGGTCGCCCCTGACGGGAGCCAAATGGGGCCTTGCGCACGGTGTCACGGCGCCCCTGCGCGGTGGCCTTCGCGGGCCGCCAGCGTGGCACGAAGCGTGGGCAAGCGGGCGCCGCCGTGCGGCCTCATGCGGCCAGCTTGCGCGCCAGTGCCCGCGCAGTCGGCCGCGCATGCCTCCCAGTTGCACGGGTTCCGCCTGCCAGCAGGGGCCCAGACTTCGGGCTGATTGAACGCGTCGACCCTGGCGTTTGTTCGTCGTTTCGGCCTCCAGGGGCGGTTCTCGGGCCCGGGGACCTCGAGCAATGGATCGAGGATGGCAAAGTAGCCCTGAGGAAGGGGTCGAGACCTGTGGGTCCCGTAGATCGAACACACTCGATCCGTCGAATCTCTGGAAAGGAATCCATCGGCGCCGTAGCAGGCTCCACATTCTTGAACCTGGCTCGGTTGGTGTCAGTCGGAGGAGGGCCAGTTGAGACAGCGGCGCCTCTCTCGCCCAGCCCAAGTCCGCTCAAAGCGGGTCCCTAAACCCCTGCCAGGGTCTATTCTGACCAGTCGATGCGGATCCAGCCGTGGCGAAGAAAAGCCTCCAGGAGGCCCAGAGAGGACGACAACCGCCAGGGAAGGCCCCCGTCCACGTACGGCGAGATCTCGTCGTGACGACCCGGGCGATGGTGTCTAACACCGCGTGGACCGTTCAACCTTGGACGATCGGCGGCTTCTCCATCGCCAGATCGTTTGATATTTGTCCATTCCGGGCCATCGGCGGCGTTCCACCTGCAGCGCCCACGCTCGGGTCGCCGCTGCGTCGGCACGACCACGAGCCTGCCGCACGCACCGCTTCCATCCAGGGTCATCCCGAGCCCCGGCCCCGGCCCTGGCCCCGGCCGAGGCCAGGGGGCTCTATACCTGAAGATGACATGGTCTGACTTGTCCTGCATTTCTGCGGCAACTTATGGCAGCCTCCCATGCCTTCCTGTTGGCTCTGTCCTATCGGCGCTAATCGACGCTAGTCGACGCTGAATTGACGCTAGTCAGCGCTAGTCGACTCCAATCGACGCTAATCGACGCTAGTCTCCAAACGCTGGCCGACGCGAGTGCACCCTAAAGACGGAGTTACGAAAGTACATACGGGTCCCATGATCTGCCACTGAACAAGATGGGGCCCTCGGAAGTCCGACCCTTTTTCCGCGGGCCAGCTTTCCATTCCAAAGCGTTTTCTTGACAGAGCAAGGGCCCGCCGAGGGCTCCCAGAGCGAGACAATTGACAAACAATAATGCGTGGCATTTTCCGTGTGCTGCAAGTCTCGCGTGGTGAACAGATGCCCTCTGTTGCAGCTTCTGGCACCTCCTGCCAACGGAGGCGGCCACAAAATGGGGAGCGTATTGGCGGCGGCGCCGAACCAGCTGCACGCAGCAGATTTCGTGACGCCCCTTTCCGCCCGCCCCGAGCCACGCACGGTGGTGGTGAACCTCAGGTGCCGTCTACGCAACTTTCAGTTAAGGGCGGGAGAACCACCCTCGTAAAAGCACCTCGACAAGCGAAACCCTTGAGTAAACGAACGTCCTGCAGGAGGGACTGGGACAGTGTAGGACTGTGTAGCAAGCGCAACTGGCTGTTTAGCAAACGCCAGTCATGTGAGCCGAGGCGGCTTATCTGATGTGCTTCCAGAAGGGACCGCAAAGAAAGGGTTTTTGAGACGGGCGATGCTGACATATCAAACCCGCCGGGCTTTGCGCGACCCGGGGGAACGCCGCGGAGGGGGAGGGCGAGGAGTCAGCAGCAGCCGCGGCAGCACGTCAATCCGAAGAAAGAGACCCACAGATCCGATGTATTGTTTTTTTCAATGCGGGGTCCCACGAAATCCCGACCCCTGTCCCCAGAGCCGACCTTGCCATCTTGAGCTGTCTTTTGTGACGGTCCCAGGGCCCAGCGAGGGATCCCAGAGGCCGACCACGACGAAAGACCTCCGCGATGAAATCTCCAACTGCGCTGGAGTTCTGGGAAACTGCCTCCCGAAAGGAGACGTGCTGCTGCCGCGGCTGCCGAAGCTCTGCAGGCCCTGGGAGGGCGGCCGGGCCACGCGCGCGCATGCGGGAGGGGCGGCTCCGTCTTCGTGATCTTCTTCTTCTTCGTCTTCGTCTTCGTCTTCGTCTTCGTCGTCGTCGTCTTTGTCGTCGTCTTTCTCGTCATACCCTTCCGGGTCGGCGGCATCGCCCGTAAGGCCTTCGTAGTAGACGTGCTGCTGCCGTGGCTTCCGCAGCTCCACAAGCCCAAGGAGGGCGGCCGCGCGCGCGCGCTTGCTCGCAGGCTGCGGGGCCGGGCAGCTCGCCGCCAGGCGCACCGCGTGCTGCAGCACCTGCCAGGCGCAACTGCTGAGCCGGTGGAGGTGCGGCCTCGGCTCGGGGCGCAGGTCAGCGCCAGCTGCCTCCTCCTCCTTGTCTCACAAGCGGCGATCGTATCAACATCCATCGGTGACTCCGAAAGGTGCGACTGGCAAAGGGTGTGATTTGCAACCCGCGCCTGGGGGGGTTGTGTGCGAGGACCTCGACAAAGATCTCCGCCGCGCCCCGACGAGGGCTCCTGAAACCTTTGGCGCAACGTGGTGACCCCTTAAGCCCCAACGGCGCCGATCGCAAACCACACCCTTGCGTAACCACACCCTTTGTCGCCGCTAGATGGGGTCCGAGTAGATGAGGTCGGAGGATCGCGCCGCATCGGCGATGCGTCGGCGATGCATGGGCGACATCGGCGTGCAGAGAATCGGGCTCCACAATCGGGCTCCGCATCGCCATTGCATCGGCGATGCGGCGTCGTCTTCCGACCCTATCTACGAGCGGCGATCGGCTGCACGCACGAGGCAAGAGTGACGTTTGGTGCGCGGCTGTAGGGGACCGCGGGGGAGGCCATATCAAAGCAATCCGAGCGCGCAAGCCAGTGCTGGTAGGACCCCTTGTGCACCCGCAGCAAAGGTCACTCTGGCGACGGGCCACTCATACGTGCAGACGAGGCGATCGTATCCACATACACGCCCTCAAGGTCTGGACTCCGGGGGGCAATCCCGCGGATGCGTGGTCGCACGGATACGCTCCGCCCGGGGCATCCGCGAAAAAAAACGCTTGTGCCCGCGGCGTCGCGGCCCAAGGGCCAGGCCCGCGAGGCCGCGGATACGGACATGTTTTTCGCTCACGATATCCCTTGGCACAACCACCTCACAACCTATTCAACGAGCGATTTGTGAGCTACTTGCATGTACTCGGGGAAATGGCTCAACTCCCCACCACTCCTCGCAGGGCCCAGAAGGCCACGGGAATCACATCCTGGAATTCTTCGGCCAGGGGGGTGAACCTCGCCTGAGCAACCTACCTTGCTTTGGCCTGCCGCAACCTCCTCCTTCTCCTCTTAACGGCACCCCGCTCAAGCTGCGCGCCATCCGAGAGACGCGAAGAGAGGTGTCTTACGCATGATGGCATAGCGACTTTACGCGTTGGCTTACGCGGGCCGCCAGCGCGGCACGCTGCAGTGGAAACGCAGACGCAGACACTGACGCTCGACCTTACGCGGGCCATTTGTGCGCGAGTGTCCGCGCAAGTGGACCCGCTTCTTCAGTCGCTCATCTTTGGGGGGTCCTATTCTCGGGGGCAGCGTGGCAACGCGGCCGCCAGCCGAGAGGCAGAAGGGCCATCCGGTCATCTCCGTCTCAGTTTGGGGGGGGGCATGTTGTCTTGCTCCACGACGCTCAGAGCCCCTGAACGTCGCCGAGTGTTGGCGGCGCGCACCGGGGGGTGGAGGGAGGGGGGAGAGCTTCTTAGAAGGAGGCTGCTTTGTTAGAAGGCGCGGGCCTCACATCCGTGGATCAGGCCCGCGCCTTCTACCCCCCCAACTCTGCGAGTGGCTGAGAGGGGAGGTTGCTGAGGCGCTCAGAGCCTCTCGACGCTCAGCGACGCTCAGAGCCTGTGAGGCTGTCCCTGAGTCAGACGCAGCCTCAGCAATGCTGGAGCAGGGACGGTCCTCCCAGAGCAGTGCCCAGTGGTCAATACTTCTCCCCCCGCTCGTTCTCCACAGACGTCCACGGCGACACCAATGACCAAAGCCGAGACCCGACGGACCCAGTCGCGAAGCCGAAGCTGACCTGAACGGACGCACCGAACGCAGCCCAGAGCAATGCAGCGGCACATCAACCGACCGAATCGAACCGGCCGAATGCAGCCGAGTGCGAAGCAGCCGAATCGACCGAGCCAGACACACACACACAAACCGATAGGAGGGCGAGAGCTATGCACATACATCGACACTGGCCAAGACCATTCTGGGCCTAGGATTGGGCCAATGACGGACCGTGCGGAGACCTCCGAATCCCCAAAAGCCTCGTCGCACGGTCCGTCACCCCACGGCGTTGGGACCTTGGAAGCGCCCGTTGCCTGAGACATCCTCGCAGAACGACCAAAGTCCCAAACCCGTGCGCTCACCCCGAATCCACGCTGACTCACCACACGGTGTGGTCCTTTTTGTCTGGTTTTCGGGCCACAACTCGGCTCTCCAGCGGCCGTTCGGGACGAAGATGGCACCCCCGGAGAGCCCTCGGCGAGGCGCGGCTGACGGAAACCATCTCGGGATCCGGAGACTTTCGGCAACTCCCGAAAAAAATGAAAATCCCCCCTGAGCCCCTCCCCGCTGACTCACCACGCCGTGTGGTTACCGTCTCGTCTGGGGGCCCCAGGTGCATGTGCCCTCACGCTTGGCCGCAGACGTACTTACCTCGATCATGGGCCAACGCCCGACGCTGGCGGGTCCGAGCCCGGGCCCGCGCGCCTCAGGTGGGCGCGCCCCGCTGCAAACGGACGACGACAATGGCCGCGATGCCGACGACGATGCCGACGAAGACGACGGGGCGCGGACGGCAGGGAGGGGAACACACAGGGACGCAGGGAACGGCGGCATTTTGCTTGTTGGCCACTCGTCCTGCTCCTCCTCCTCCTCCTCCTTCTCCTCCTTCTCCTCCTTCCCTCCTACTCCTTTTCCTAATCCTCCTCCTCCTCCTCCTCCCTCCCTCCCTTCCTCCCTCCCTCCCTCCCGCCCGCCCGCCTTCCCTCCCTCCCTCCCTCCTTCCCTCCCTCCCTTTCTCTTTCCTCCTCCTCCTCCTCCTCCTCCTCCTCCTCCTCCTCCTCCTCCTCCTCCTCCACCTCCTCCTCCTCCTCCTCCTCCTCCTCTTCCTCTCCCCTCCCTCCCTCCCTCCTCCCTCCCTCCCCCCTCCCTCCTCCTCCTCCTCCTCCTTATCATCATCATCATCATCATCATCATCATCATCATCATCATCATCATCATCATCATCATCATCATCATCATCATAATCATCATTATCATCATCATCATCATCATCAGCATCAGCATCAGCATCAGCATCATCATCATCATCATCATCATCATCATCATCATCCTCATCCTCATCCTCATCCTCATCCTCATCATCATCATCATCATCATCCTTATCGTTATCATCATCATCATCATCATCAGCATCACCATCATCATCATCATCATCGTCATCATCACCATCATCATCAGCATCAACACTATCCTCCTCCTCCTCCTTCTCGTCGCCATTTTCATCATCATCAGCATCATCATCAACAGCATCATCAGCATCAACATCATCATGGTCATAAGCATGGTCATTGTCATGACCATCATGATTATCAACATCATGATCAACAGCATCATCAACATCATCATCATGATCATCACCATCATAAGCGTCATCAGCATCATGATCATCAACTTCATCACTCCCATCAAACATCATCATGAGCCTCTTGATCACCATCCTCATCCTCATCCTCCCCCCTCATCACCATTACCATCATCATAAGCATCACCATCAACATCATAACCATCATCATCATCACCATCGTCATCATCATCCTCAACAACATCAACATCAGCAGCATAAGCAACAACATCATCAGTGGCACCGTCATCATCATCAGCATCACCACTCACGTCCCCCTGCTCTTCTTAGACGTCGCCGTCGTCTACTCGTCCTCACTCCTCCTCCTCCTCCTTTTCTTCCTCTTCCGTCTCCTTCTCCTCCTCCTCCTCCTCCTCTTCCTCCTCCTCCTCCCCTGCACCGCGCGCTCCCGCGCGCTCGCTCGGGGGGGGGGGGGGGGGGGGAGGAGGCTCGCTCGTTCAAAGTCGGATGTGTGAGGTGCCATTCTCGTATAATCACGGAAGATGGACGGGGGAGGATGTGTAGATGGAGACGAAGAGGAGAATAATCAGGGGACGATGAGTCGAGGAGGACGAGGACGAGGAGGAATACCATTCTAAACCCAAGGTCCACCAACGATTAAAAGCAAATCGTCTGGAAACCTTCAGCCGTGCCACAGCACCACGCCTAGGACTTCAACGCCTCGAATCAACGTCACGATTGCGACCTGACGATCCTAAACCGTGCCAGAACACCGCTTCTGGGACGCGAACACCGCGAGACAACGAAACGGTCGCGCCACGACAGTCCCAAATCGTTTCCAAAAACACAATTCAGGAACGTCAGCCATCAAACATATTTGGAGCTGTTGTAGCTGTTAAGATGATTGTGCGCAACGCTACGGCGAGAGCCACGCTTTGAAAAGGAACCACCCTCCACCCGCAACACGCTTGCAAACTTTTGAGACGAATGAGCGCGGCGCTAAGGCGAAGGCCACATGTTGAAAACGGCCCACCCCCCATCCGTGAAACCCTTGCAAACGTGTAGTGACGAATGGTCGCGGCGCTGAGGCGAGAACCACATTTTGAAAACGACCCGCCCTCCATCCGCGAAGCTCAAACAAACTTGAAAAACGTGCGGGGCGCTGAAGCGAAAACTACAGGTCGAAAACGACCCAGCCTCCATCCGTGAAGCTCTTGCAAAAATGTGAAGCGCATGTGCGCGGCGCATCCACATACATTTCAAAAACGGTCCGCCCTCCATCCGTGAAAACCGTGCAAACGTTTGAAAAGCGCGCGAGGCGTTAAGGCGAGAACCAACATTTGAAGACGGTCCGCCTTCCACCCGTGAAACTGTTGCAGATTTCAAGCATCAGGGTCAAAACAGGCAAAATAATCTCAGGCGAAACGTCCGGCCCGACCTACCCGCTTCGCAGTGCGACAAGGGAAATTCGTCTAGACGGAAAAGAGAGGTCGGACGAGACGAAACCAGACGAGGAGGAGAAGGGAGGGGGCGAGGAGGAGGAAGAGGATAGAAAAGGTATCCCTGGATGCACCAACGATGCTTCCCGTGCAAAGTTCTCTCCTCACAAATCCTGACCATCTCTTCAAGCATGCCGTCAACTGCCAGTAACACCCCCTCGAAATACGAACGCCTCATGGGCTCGCAATGCAAGGGGGAGACCAGCTTCAAACAGGTGGCACGCACCTCCCTTTATGATTTTAGCTGAAAGCTCGTAGTGGTTATCATTCGGAATTCACGAGCTGTCTGACAATCACCTTTTTTTATATATATACACATATATATATATATATATATATATTATAACTAGAACCACGCGCGCGCTTCGCGCGCGCTTAGGTTCTGTCGAGTCACAGACCCAGGAATCGTTGCGAGAAGAAATTGGTGACGCGAAGCGTCTTGGGGGCGTCCTTGGACGTCTGGGGTCTCCTGGGGCCTCTTGAGGGGCCTCCTGGGGGCCTCCTGGCGGCCTCTTGGGGCGGAAGGCTCGAGCTTGCGGTTCGTGGTCCCCCTCTGGGCCCCCTCTTGGGCCCGTCTTGGGGCCCTCTTGGGCCATCTTGGGCGCCTCTTGGGCCGTCTTGGGGCCCTCTTGGGCTGTCCTGGGGCCCTCTTGGAAGCTTCTTGGGCCGTCTTGGGGCGGTCTTGGGCGCCTCTTGGGCCGTCCTGTAACGTCGGAAAGCCCAAAAGGCAACTTTGTTGAAAATGTACGTTTTACGAAGGGAATGGGCCAATTTTTGCGTCTAGGGGCCCTCTTGGGACGCATGTTGGAGGCTTCTTGGGGCCTCTTGGGGGCGTCCTTGGACGTCTGGGGTCTCCTGGGGCCTCTTGAGGGGCCTCCTGGGGGCCTCCTGGCGGCCTCTTGGGGCGGAAGGCTCGAGCTTGCGGTTCGTGGTCCCCCTCTGGGCCCCCTCTTGGGCCCGTCTTGGGGCCCTCTTGGGCCATCTTGGGCGCCTCTTGGGCCGTCTTGGGGCCCTCTTGGGCTGTCCTGGGGCCCTCTGGGAAGCTTCTTGGGCCGTCTTGGGGCGGTCTTGGGCGCCTCTTGGGCCGTCCTGTAACGTCGGAAAGCCCAAAAGGCGACTTTGTTGAAAATGTACGTTTTACGAAGGGAATGGGCCAATTTTTGCGTCTAGGGGCCCTCTTGGGACGCATGTTGGAGGCTTCTTGGGGCCTCTTGGGGGCGTCCTTGGACGTCTGGGGTCTCCTGGGGCCTCTTGAGGGGCCTCCTGGGGGCCTCCTGGCGGCCTCTTGGGGCGGAAGGCTCGAGCTTGCGGTTCGTGGTCCCCCTCTGGGCCCCCTCTTGGGCCCGTCTTGGGGCCCTCTTGGGCCATCTTGGGCGCCTCTTGGGCCGTCTTGGGGCCCTCTTGGGCTGTCCTGGGGCCCTCTGGGAAACTTCTTGGGCCGTCTTGGGGCGGTCTTGGGCGCCTCTTGGGCCGTCCTGTAACGTCGGAAAGCCCAAAAGACAACTTTGTTGAAAATGTACGTTTTACGAAGGGAATGGGCCAATTTTGCGTCTAGGGGCCCTCTTGGGACGCATGTTGGAGGCTTCTTGGGGCCTCTTGGGGGCGTCCTTGGACGTCTGGAGGCCATCTTCAGCATCTCGGAGCCCTCTTGGAGGCCTCTTGGAAGTTTCTTGGGCCGTCTTGGGCGCTTCTGGGGCCGTCTTGTCTGACCGGGGAGGCCTCCGGCAAGCCCTGACGAGCCTCCGGGCCCCCCGGGGTGCACATTTGCGGTCGGGGTCCCGGCCCCGGGCCCCCGGACCCGGTGCGCCGTTATATGTATATGAGAGCCAACAACGCGTCCGAGCTGCGAGCTTCGAGGCTTAAACCATGTCGTGTGGAAACGTCTCCAGTACGCCACCATCCATCCGTGCGCCTGCTGCTGAAGGTGAACTCTACAACGACGAAACCCCAAAAACATCTCCTTCGAGAACCTCCCAATTACCATGAATCGCTCTCAGTACGTGTAACTGTTACAAAAGAACAAAGAACACAAACGCGGCGCTATGGCGATAGGCAGCTTTTGCCCTCCAGCCGTGCATCTGGTGGAACCTTCAAGCGTTCACGAACACAAATGGTGCAAATGTCTCTGGCAAAATGCCACGCGTGCCCCATCATCGCGCCTTGTGGTGCGACAAGAGTAAGGTCCTTGTAAGGAAGACGCGCGCAGATGGCGTAGAACTCTCCGAGATCCGACGCCGTGGCGAAATACAATAACATGATTTGCAACATGATGGGAACTCACGACTGGAACCTTGGGCCCAATCTTTCCGTGACACTTTCCGAACTGGATCGACCTGTGAGTGCCCGACGGCCTGAAACTTGGCGAAAACGCCTGGTGCGAAAATTTGCAACGCCAGGATTTCAGGGGAGTAATACGGCGGGGCTTCGACCCTTCTTCGTTCTCCTCCTCTTCTGGGGGAACGACGTCCAGCCAAAAGACACGACAATCACGGCCAACCCCTGCAACGTGGATGGACTGGCCTGGCCCGGCCGGGCTCCACTGGGGCGCGGGGCCGGAGGTACCGCAATGTCTCGGCGTCAGACCTGCGAGCATGAGGGAGTAGAGTCAGCACTCCTGGCAGCTTGAAGAATCGCGCGGCAAACCTTTCACAATTGTTTGGCGTCCAGGGTCCGCTAGCAAGCCCCATGACCTGTCTGTCAACGGAAACGGCAAGAAATACAAACGACAATGCCCCAAATAAAAGGAGATGGTTCCAGGGACTGGCTCGAAATAAACTAGTCGTCAGAAGTCTGCTGAGTGAGGGAAGGGGGAACGGAAACAAAAACGGGAAGATTGTGAAAACCTGGGCTCCTGGGTGGTAGTGCCATACTACCTGCTGAATGGATAAGCTGGCAGGACCTTCGCGCTCACATTCGAAGGGCAATAACCTGCGACTCCGCTGGGGGGAATCCTCTGGCCCTGAACAGGACCGACCACACGGTCGAAAACCCTCGATGGCCTGCAAGGTCACCATCCACCCAGCAGGCGATCTGGGGCGGGGAATCGTAAGTCCATCCTACTTTAATCCTACACAAATCCTACACAACCGCCGCCAACCAAAGACGACGAACGGAGAACGCAAGGAGGGGGAACGACAGGCGAGAAGGAGGGTGGCATACACGCACCACCGCACGCACAACGCACATCCACACACCACACGAGTCCAGGAGAAGAAGAAAGGAAACAATAACAGCTGCGGAAGAAATAAGGGCGAGGAGAGGAGGAAAGCAAGCAGAGCAGCGAAGGGGGTAGTGGCTACACGCTTCTCAAGAATCCGATAGCCCCCGCTCAGCCGTTCAGCAAATTTTCAAAATGGTGCAGGGCTCCTGCTGTTGAAGAACGTCCATGAATATCCACTCCCGCAAGGCAGCCCAATATTTCATGTGTGGCGGAGTTCGGAAACCCTGAACCCAAAAACGTGCTCATCTCTTGGAGGTGCATTTTTCACTTCCCCCACCTTCCGCCACCCTTCCGCCGGCTTCCGCCGGCGGAGGCGGCCTCGTTTTACTTCCGCCGACCTTCCGCCGCCCCATCCGCCGCCTTCCGCCGCGGAAGAGACGACAACTCCTTCTACTTGCGAAGGCACGGCCCTTTCTGCATGTTTACTGAGTGAGTGGGCAATTCCGTACCCCACCACCAAATGCCCAAGTGATGTGACGTGCTACGTTATGAAGTCATGTGCGCGTATGCCGCCATCCCCCAAAGCCTCATCCAAGGAGCACGACAGAGTTGCACGAATTGTATTTCCAAACGCGGTTGCGCAGCAAACGACTCGAAGGCCCACGAGACAAACGTAGCATATTGCTCCATGACGCTAGCCTGACCTTACAGGAATGGTGGCGACGCAAGCGCCTGAAAAGGCCCACGAAGTGAAAGTGGCATCTGCTCCGTGACACCTTGAAGCTGAGCAGCCGCCCGCTCGGTCAACTCTTCCGCTGCCGTCAGATTCTTTTCGATGTCCGAACAGGCACGCTCTGCTCCATTGAAGTCTCTGTCCATGTGGCGCCCCATACAACGGAAACTTGGTATCAATGCCAGCTGCCAAGCACTTCCAGGCGTATGTGCCGAGGGCGCGAGCTCGCCGACGGGACGATGCCGATGTAGGAGCCGTCAGAGTAATGGTCTCACTCGAGGGCGGCACAATTCCAGACTGAGGATTAAGCTGAGGCTCGCAGACACCTTGCATGACGACTCCCACCCCCAACAGCAAGGATGACCCGCAATCTCGTTTCTCTCACGTGATGCCCCTGACGTAAGAAAGACCATCCAAGAGAGAAATGAAATGCAACACAGCAGAGCACCAAAGATGTGTGGGCTGGGGGCGGTGTGATTCGGTGTCAGACGTGGGCCCTGAGAGCCGGTGATTGGGGGAGGAAGGACGAGGAGGAGGAGAAGGAGGAGCAACAAGGGGGGGATCGACATTGAGCTGCTGATGCGATGGCATCGTTCGAACGCGGAGCGGCATACAAGATGACTCACGCAATCAAGTCGGATAGCATCGGAAGGAACAGTGCATACTGAGCCGATACAAAAACGATGGTCGCAGCGACAACGCGCACACATGGGCGATAACAAGTTAAGCAAGACCTTCTGGAAGCTTCCTGATGGGCCGCCATGGTGGCAGCGTGAAGCCAGTCGTGCAAGTACCAGTACGTCGTGCCTAACCTGGATTATGCAAGCAGTATTGCATGGGGGGGGGGCATTTGGGTGCAATTGCTCAAGCCACCTCCTCCCCGCACAGCCCAACCAAGTGCGATCCGTAGATCTAGTCTGCTGGACAGGAGGCGTATAGCATGAACAGAAATGCCAAACAGTGGCAAGCAAGAAAGATTCCGAATCGGCAAGAGCAATGCGAAATACTGTGTGCAACCCTGCAGCCCGACCCAGAAAACGAGAAGCGAACATGACACCACTCCGCCGAACGAGGCTCGACAAGGCACTCAATTCGTAGGCACCACGCCCTTGGCCATAACTCGTTCTACATTCCTCCTCGTCCTCCCGATTCGCCTTCTCCTTATCTTCTCTTCCTGCTCCTCCTATTGCTGCCTAAGAATGCTCCTCACGTTCCTGCCTGGGCGCCTTCACAAGGGGAGTGCGAAGAGGGGGCGGCGGGGTTGGGAGTGTGAAGGGGAGCCAGGCCAGGTCGAACGAATCAGCGGAGCCCGTCCATTCCCACCCTCCCTCCGATCACGTAATTCGCTAGCCCAGCGGGCCAGAGGCGTGCTAAAACCTCGGGTACGAGGTAGAGATATGTCCAGTTCGCGCGCGCAAGGCGGCCCTTGGACCCCCCGGACGAAAAAAGTACCTGCCCAAAGTCCTGGCCAGGTCGGGAGCAGGGATGCCAGAACTCCTGGGCGCGGCCTTCAGTGCTCCCAGAGCACCCTAGGAGTGCCCCCTGGAGGCGCCATGTGGGGGGGACAGGCCCCGCGGCTTCAGGCCAAGAGCACGCCAGGATGGCCAAACATGTTTCAAGACGGCCCAAGAGGCGCCCAAGACGGCCCCAGAGAGCTCCACGAGGACCCTGAGAGGGCCCTAAGAGGCACAATTCATTGACTTCGCATGGATCTTTGAAAGATTTTGGCGCCACCGCCTTTCCGTCCGCCCAGAACGCTCCCAAGACAGCCCCAGGACGTCCCAAGAAAGCCACCGAGATGCTTCTGAGGAGGGCTCTCCAGGCCCCCGAGAAGGCCCCACGAAGGAGGATCCGAACTCACATGCCGAGCCCTCCACTGAGACCGCCTGCAGGCGCCCAAAGAGCCCGAAGGAAGCCCCCTGAAGCCCTGACATGATCGACCCACGGCCCCGAAAGGACTGTAGCAATGCGGGGCATGGCCACGTTCTCAAGACACCTGATTGGGCGACGGGCAATTGCAAGGCTGAAAGTACCGATCGTGATGTACCGTGTGCGGGATTGTGCTGTGCTGTGCCGTGCTGGAATGAGACGTGTCATGCCGCGATGAATAGCGTTGTACTCTACAGCGTTGTGGATCAAATCGCCCTTGGCATCCGAATCCTGACCGAACTGATCCTGATCTTAAGCTCGAGCAGCCTGGGCGCACAGCTGGCCCAGAGCTGGTTGCAGTCGAAACGTGTGGGACGCTCAATCAGCTCGAGCTGAAGATCCGACTCAACTCCGAATCGGGACAAGACGACACTGGGCGCATTATGGGATACGCCAAGGTACGTGCCAAGGCATATGGTTTGAGCTCACGGGCATACGGAACCCATGGTAAAGACATATGGCTTCGGCCCACGAACGAAATTAAACCATGTACGAACTCATGGTTTGAGCTCGCAGACAAGAAGAACCCATGTAAAACATGTGGCTTGGGCCCACGGGTGAAAAAAACCATCCATGTGAAAACTGATGGTTCCGGCACGCGGGCGAAAATACCTACTTTGAAAAACAACATAATGTTGGCTCAAGGACGAAAGGAACCCATGTACGAACAAGTGGTTTGAGCTCATGGGACCTCCTGGGGTCTCGAGGGGCCTCCTGGAGCTTCTTGGGGTTGGGCGCGCGGGCGAAAGGAACACATGCAAAGCATATGGTTTGCGCTCACGGGCGAAAGGCACCCATGTCAAAGCACACACGGTTTCGGCTCGAAGTCGGCATGAATCCGTGTAACAATAAATGGTTTCAACTCACGGTCGACAGGAGCGCACGTACATCCAGACGGTTTTGACCCACGGGCGAAAGGAACCAGGTAAAAGCACATGGTTTGACCTCACTGGCGACACAAACCGATGCAACACCAAGCATTGCTTGAGCTCACAAACTAAAGGAACCCAGGAGCAAAAAAACATGCACGGGCGAAACGCACCCATGTAAACAAAACGCACGGCTTGAGCTCACGGGCGACATGAACCCATGTAACACACACGGTTTGGGCTCTTGGGACCACCTGTGGCCACCTGGGACCTCCTGGGCCATCCTGGGCCTTCCTGGGCCCTCCCGAGGCCTCCTAGAGATTCGCGCAAGGAGCCATGTAAAACACAAAGGTTATTAGCTCACAGGCGAAAAAAAAACAATGTCAACCACATGCTTGCGGCCCACGGGCGACAACAATCCATGTAAACACACATACACATTGTTTGAACTCCCGGGCGAACGGAACCCATGAAAACCAGACGGTGCTGGCCTACTCGTAACATAAGCCAATGCAAAACCACATGGTTTCAACTCACGGGCGAAAATTACCTGTATTAAAAAACACATGGCTTGAGCTGACTGGGGATCGGAACCCATGTGAATTCGACCCCCGTGTAAACAAAAACATATGGATTGAACTCAACGGCGAAAAGAATCCCTGACACAACAAAAACATGGTTTCGACTGGCAAACGAGACCCGTGTAAGAACATGTGAGTTTGGCTCAAGGGCGAAAGGAACTCATGAAAAAACGCATAGCTTGGGCTCACGGGTGAAAGGGGCCCCTAGTATCAACACACGGTTTGGGCTTACTTGCGAAGGGGGCACCCATTAAAAAAACGCATGGTTTTCGCACTTGTGGCCACCTGGGGCCTCCTTGGACCTCCTGGGCCGTCCTGGAGCATCCTGGGCCGTCCTGGGGCCTCCTGGGGCCTCCTGGGGTTCCTGGGCCTCCCGGGGCCTCCTGGAGCTTCCTAGGGTGGGGCTTACGGGCGAAAGGAACCCATGTAAAAACAAAGGTTTTGAGCTCACAGGCGAAAGAAACCACTGTAAAACCATATGGTTCCCGCCCACGGGCGAAAGCAACCAATGTAAACAAATATGGTTTGAGCACACAGGCGAAAAGAGCCCATGTGAAAAAGACCTATTTCGGGCCCTCACAAACAAACGGAACCTACGTACAATCACATGGTTCGAGCCCACCTGAGGGAGGAACCGATGTGACAACACATTGTTTCGAGCCACCGGCGAAGAGGAACCAATGTAAACACACATGGTTTGAGTTCACGGGCGAAACGCACCCATGTAAAAAACACACTGGTTCGGCCCATTGACGAAAAGAGCCCATGTAAACATACACGGTTTGAGCTCACGGGGGAAGGAGCCCACTGAAAAACATGTGCTCCGCTCGAGGCATCTTCAACACATCCCCATAGGCGCTTCTTCAAAAACGGTGTTTCGCTAGAGACATCCTCGAGTATTCCGCGCGCAGCAGGACGCGTCATCCTCGTGCGGGCCCACACAAAATCAACGTTCTCTAATTTTCTTACAGATTTCATGTAAACTCCGATGCGCTCCTCACTCTGATTTTGGACTAAACGCGTCGCAAATACTTCTACACAAGAAAACGGTACTCTGTGGACCCCTTATATATACCGAGGAGCCAACAGGGTGGGGGCATGTTTTCTTCGAGCTGGTACGCATGAAACGCATTTTTTCAATTGGAAGTGGGACTTCACCATGTGTTCCATCGAGCGGAAATTCGCAGGCCCTACGCAAGTTGAGGGCTGGGGACCAAACTTACCCACCACAAAAAACATGGGCCTATGCCCTTTCCAAGAAACGCTCACCCGACAAACCCCTCAAGAGGGCCCCAAGAGGCGACGTTCATTGATTTTGCAATTGTTTTTGACAGAGCTTGGCGTCACCGCCTTTTCGGGCTCCCGACCGCCCATGGCAGCAACGGAGGCCACCAAAATCGTCCCGAGTCAGCCCCAAGACGGCCCAAACAGCCCCAAGACGGCCCAAGAGGCCTCTCACGATGACCCCCGAGACCCCACCAAAGGCCGCATGAGAAGGGATCCGAACTCACACGTCGGGCCCTCCTCGAAATATGCCCTTGAGACTGCCAGCCAGCGCCCTAGAAGCCCTCCGCCCCCTGGAACCCAAACAACTCCCCCGACAAAGCCCTAGAGGCTCCAGGAGGTCCCAAAATTTGTTTCCAAGAGGACCCGGGACGCCCATAACTGCCCGCGCAACGCTTCAAGGAAACTACCACGGCCGCGGTAGAAACTAACACGCAAGCACACGTCCGCGATGGAATAGTCTGGACTGGCGGAATGAGCGAAGGTACGCAACAATCTATTGCGACGCACAGTCGATACTGGGGCTGGAACGCGCTCCCACCTAGCAAACGGACGGCCCTCGCGCGCGGTCCCATTCCAGACGGGCCGTGCAAGAGCGGAGGTGGTGCTTCACAAAATCCGTGCGCGGCGCTACGGCGAGAACATGATTTAGCCCTCTCTCGGGCGGCCAAATTTCCGAGTACCGCGTCGGAGACGAATAGGCCGCGCCGAGACGGCACTGCAACTCTTACACGAGCGCAGCGACGCGCTTGGGCGAGGAAAGAATTTCGCCCGCTCTCGCAAGGACCCGTTGGTATTTGGGGAGCGGCGCATGCCTCGCGCCCGCGTGGGAACGCCACTTCCAGACAGAATCTCCATGGGGCGAAAGTGAGGGCGACGGGTCGCCCATTCGCACGCAGTCCCGCCCCCAACGACTTGGCGAGTGAAAACATTGTGCCGCGCTTTTGCGGGAGCGCCACTTTCAGGCGGAATATGTGCAGCGCCGAGGCACGAGCGACATTGCCGTCCGCTCGGCGTCGACGAATTGGCGAACGAAACATGTGCGCCGCACACAAGCTTGAGGCCAAGTCTCAGGAACAACTGAGCGCAGCGCAGGAGCGAGAGCCACATTTCGCCCTCTTGCGTGGGATGCGCGCCGCATCCCAGTCCTGCCACGCATGTTGTATCGCCTGCGACAAAACGTCCACGCTCAAAGAAGCACGTTGACTTGTCATGTCTTCCATTGGGTCGGATGGAACCACCCAGGTACGGTTGCTATCTGCCAGCTTGCCAGCTAGGTTGGCAAAGTAGGAGCAAATAATAATAAGAACCAGGGATGCAGGGAGAGTGCGAAGCAGGGTTGGGAAGGTGAAGGAGGTGAAAAGGGAGAAGAATGGGGGAGGAGAAACCGTTGATAAGGGGGAGGGGCACGGGGAAGGGGGGCCAGGGAGAGAAGGGCAGCCAGGAGATGGGAGGGAAGAAAGAAAGTGAAATAGAGAGAGAGAGAGAGAGGGAGGGCAGATCGGTCTCTGCGCCCTCTCGCCGTCGCCGTTCTTCCCGTCTTCGTCGTCGCCGCCGTCGTCGTTGTCCTCGTCGACGTCGTCGTCGTCGTCGTCGTCGTCGTCACCGTCGTCACCGTCGTCACCGCCGTCGTCGTCGTCGTCGTCGTCGGCAGCCGTCACAATCATCGGCAGCCTCACCGATGACCAAGCCGCCGTGGACGGCCACCGTCGCCGTCGCCGTCGCCGTTGACTCGGCCTTCGTGGAGGTCCGCTCGGGGGGCGTCCCATGACGCCCGCGCGGGGCCCAAACTTCCGACCCGCCCTTCCAGACGGGGCGCGCGCCCGTGGCGCGGCCTTATCGAGGGAGACCCCCAGCACCCCAGCGGGGCCCAGGAGGAGGGCAAAACGGCGCCTTCGACCACGCCTTCGACGACGCCTTCGTCGTCGTCGTCGTCGTCGTCGTCGTCGTCGTCGTCGTCGTCGTCGTCGTCGTCGTCGTGTAAGCAACATCGGCTCAAAATCGGGCCAACGCCCCGAAGGCCGCGCCCAGGCGTGGCGATGAGATCTTCCAGGCACGCACGTGAACCCCAGGAAAAGTGTGCATCGAACGCGCCGTCGCCGCCCTTCAACAAAGAGGAGGAGGAGGAGGAGGAGGAGGAGGAGGAGGAGGAGGAGGAGGAGGAGGAGGAGGAGGAGGAGGGGGGGGAAAGGCTGAGGAGGGGGAGGGGGGAGGGGCAGGCGAAGGGCGGCCTCGTCGTCGCCGTCGACTCTGGCTGTTGTTGTCGTCGTCGTCATCGTCGTCGTCGTCGTCGTGTCGTAGTTGTCATCGTCATCGTGTCGTCGTCGTCGTCGTCGTCGTCGTCGTCGTCGTCGTCGTCGTCGTCGTCGGCGCCGTCGTCCTCTTCGACGAAAAGAGGTGGAGGCCGCCAACGACGACGGCGACGACGACGTCCCCCCTGGTGGCGGGGCGCCGCGCGAGGTGTGTGCGGACGCGCCCTGGGCGGCCGAGATCGAAGCACTCCCACCAGGAGCACTGCACGCAGGCCTCGGGAACTCCTCTGTCCTCCGCCATCCATCAGCCTTCAGCCCACCCATTCTTCTCATCTCCACACTCTTCAAGCGTGCTGGGGGGTGCGGTAGGCTGGCTTATTTTGGCCCCAATCCTATGTGACACATCATCTGGCTGGAGGCCAAATATTTGGGCTGGTAGGAAGATCGTAGGGCATGTTCGCTGTTTCTTAAACTCTGGCCCGCGAGGTGTTCGTGGAACTGCAAACCACAAGCAAAAAATAGATTTGGACCCCCTCCCACTGGTGGCCGGTATATTTTTCAATCGGTGTGCGCCCCTCGACGCTCACGCCCTGCTACTTCTGTTGCCCGGGGAACTCCTTCTGTACAATTTGTTCTTAGGCACCCCGCACTACAACACCGGCTGCCGCCTGTTACCCCCCCCCCAGAATATGAAGGAACACGCTTTCGTTTGAGACTTCCTGGTGACATACTCGATAACAACGTTCTCGCAAAAGTCTTCCCGCAAACTTTCACATAACAGGCATTGCGCTGTCGCCGCTCAGGAATCGTGATCTCGCCGAGCACTTTTGCCCAACTCAATGCGGAATCGCCACCTCGCCCCTCAAGAATTGCACTATCGCTCTGGACATCCTCACACATTACTTAATATTCGTGCTTTCGCTGGAGGCTTCCACACCATGTACTCCCGAATCGCGCTTCAATGCCCCTCCCCCATGATCCGCCCGCTAGGGTCCACCCGTAAGAGTCAACTCGCCCGCTTGCTTGGAAGCCCGCGCCCGCTCGACCCGCCCGTTAGGGTTCACCTGCCCGATTCGCCTGCTCGGGCCCGCCCGCCCGACCCGTCCGTTTGGGTCCGCCCGTCCGACCCGTCTGCCTTACCATGTCGGGGTTGACCCAGGAGCTGGCATGAAAACGGAGCCCACCAACGTTCCTAAACTGGTGGGCGTCCGAGAGGGGGTCCAAAAGGAAGTTCACAAATCATGGCCGGAGGCATGTGCGCGGACGGGGGGGGGAGCAGGGGACGTATTGAAAGAATACGGGGGGCCCATGAAATCGGGGGGAACATCATGGCCCCCGCCATGATGTCCAATCGACCCAAGTCATCGCACCCCTATTGGACGCCCCCGACAAACGAAGAGTGCGGGAGTCCACGGCTCGGGGTGCACACGTTGAATCACACGTGGACGATAAAGGCCGAACTTGATCAACTGATTGATCTCCTGCTCATCCGCTTCACGACGCAGGCAGCCTCTCGGGCCAGGCCCGCTGGCTTCCACGCTCGACCGCCCCTGACTCGATCTCGGAGGCTCTGGCCCAGCGTTGCCTCAATGCCTCGGGCGCTCTTTGCTTTTTTTTTTCCGCTCACGACTCGAATTGGGTGCCACCTCCTCCATCCTCTCAACCCTCCGCAGTGCTTGAATCGTGTTCATCTCTACAAAGCCTCAGGAGGCCTCCAAACCCCTCCCGCCGTCGGGGGACCCTGGAGACCTCAGGAGACCCTTCCCTCCGGGTCGTCGTCGTCGTCGTCCATCTCCTCCTCGACCCCGTTGGCAAAAGCTTGTGGGACACGTTTGGCTGCTTTGGGCCTCGGGATGCCCCCAGGAGAGTCCAGAGTCCTCCGGAGGCACTCCCAGAGACCTCCAGAGACCTCTCGTGACGATCTGGTTCTCCTCCTGCCCCTCCTCCTCAGAGGTGCTGCACGGAGCGCGTTACTACCCTGCACCTCGCATAGCAGGTATGCGATTGTGAGAGGTGGGAGCTGTGCGCGAGAGTCTCGGTATCAGCGTGTTCGGTCTCATGTCACAACCCGTACATACGCGCAAGTCCGAGTCTAATCCTATCCTTCTTCGCCATCTTGCTCCCCTCCTCCTCCTCCTCCTCCTCCTCATCCTCATCATCATCATCCTCTGTGCCTTCTCATTCTCCACCTCCACCTGCTCCGCTTTGCTCTCCCTGTCCATCCGTCCATGCCCGTCTTGTTTTCCTGACTCGGCGCGTCCCCTCATGCGCTCGCTCCTCCTCCTCCTCCTCCTCCTCATCATCATCATCTTCCTCCTCTTCCTCCTCCTCAGAAAAACTTGGCCCAGGGATCCTTGCAAGTAGTCCAGGCCAAGCGTCCAGCTCTGCCTCCACAGACCCCAAATCCCAGACCTCCGACGTCATGCTTTGTTCACTACGCCGACTCTCAGACATCCAAACCCATTTCCCGGGACAAGCGTTTTTCATCATGAGTAAGTGCTTGACGGCCCTGGGGCCTGGCCGAGTCCCCCCCAAACCGAAAATTACGGGAAACTGCCAGTCGTGATTTTGTCATGACCCGAGGGAAGAGCATGCTGCTTCACAGGAGGTTGATGCCAATGAATGTAAACTGATTCGAATGAGCCTGATGCCAATGAATGCAGGGTGCGCAGTCTGAGGCGGCCTCAGCAACCCCGCGCCGCATCCAGTGGCTCCCTGGGGCGCTCCGCGCCATCAGGGCTAAAGTGCCGACACCGTCCAGGGTGCTCGTGCGCGCCTCCCCCAGCCTTGCCACCCCCACTCCTCCGAAGGGAGCAGCTACACAGCGCCACGGTCCTCTTCGCTTCTCAAGGTGCTTGATGTAAAATTTCAGCATTCTGGCAATATCGCCAGTCCAAGCCTGTTTCGGAATGTCGAGCTCTCGCTGCAACTGCGCGGAATACGAGAGAACTGAAGCTTTGAGAGAGCGCGCCTGTGGCGCACTCCCAACAGGGTGGGGGGTCCACCCTTAGCACCCTCCCCCCCGTGGAATTGCCCTGCCGGACCCCCTCCCTGTTTCCCACCCCTCGTAAGCAAGCTCCCCCCCTCCTCCCCCCCCCCCTCCCTTTCGCGCTCCGGAAGCTACCCCCTCCTCCCCCTTCCCTGTTCAAAGGGGGGGGGTGCTTTGCTACCCCTCCCCCCCCCCTTGAACCTTCCCTGCCTCGGAAGCTTCCCCCCCCCTCCTCGTTAATTTTTCCGCCCCTCGGAAGCTACCCCCCCCATCCCCTCCCCCTCCCTTTCCAGACGAGGGTGGGGGGGCTTAAGTACCTGGACCTCCCCTGCCGGAAGCCCCCCCCCCCTTGGGCTAAAGGAAGGGGGGGGGGGCTTGGAAGCCCCCCCCCCCGCCCCCTGGCCAAAGGAAGGAACGCCGAAGAACAAAGGAGCGCCGAAAGCCAACAGAGCGCCAAAAACCACAGAGCCACCGAAAACCGAAGGGGCGCGAAAGCCAGAGGGCGCCGAAAACCAAAGAAACGCCGAAAACCGAAAGGGCAGCGAAAACCAAAACGGCGCCGAAAACCAAACGAGCACCAAGAACCAAAGGAGCGCCGAAAACCAAAGGAGCGCCGAAAATCAAAAGCGCGCCGACAACCAAAAGGGGGCCGAAAACCAAAACCAAAAGAGCGCCGAAAGGCAAAGGTGCGCCAAAGACCAAAAGACGCCGAACACCAAACAAACGCCGAAAACCAAAGAAGCGCCCACCCCCCCAAAAAAAACGCACAAAATCAGGGGGCACCGAAAACCAAAGAGACGCCCAAACCAACGATGCGCCGAAAACCAGAGCAGCGCCGAACACCAAAAGGGCGCCGAAAACCAAACATTATCGAAACCCACAAGGGCGGGTTGCCGAACTTGAAAAGGACGCTGGAAACCAAAGTGGCGCCGAAAACAAATCGAGAGCCGACAACCAAAGGGTCGGCAAACACCAAGCACCGAAAACCCAAAAGACTGCCGAAAACCAAAGGAGCGCCGAAAACCAAAAGAACACTCAAGACCGAAACGGCGTGGAGAAACCGTACGAGCGCTGAAAGCCAAAGGGGCGCCGAAAACCACAATGGCGCCGAGAACCAAAGGAGCGCCGAAAACCGAAAGGGCGCCGAAAATCAAAGGAGCGCCGAAAACCGAAAGGGCGCCGAAAACCAAAAGGAGCGCCGAAAAGGGCAGAAAACCAAAACGAGGACGAAAACCAAAGATATGCCGAACACAAAAAGGTGCCTCGAAAACCAAGGATGCGCCGGAAACCAAAAGAACACCGAAAACCAAAAGGACACCGAAAACCAAAGGAGTACCGACAACCAGAAGGGCGCCGGAAACCAAAGGGCGCCGAACACCCAAGGGGGCGCCGAAAAACAAAAGAAACGCCGAAAACCGAAGAGGCGCCGAACACAAACGATGCGCCGAAAACCATCAGGGCGCCGAAAACCCAAAGTGGCGCCGATAACCACAAGGGCGACGACCACGAAAAGGGGCGCCGACAGCTTCGAAGGCGGACAGGGCGCCGAAACCCGAAAAGGCGCCGAAAACCAAACGGGCGCTAACAACCGCAGGAACACCGAAAACCAAAGAGGCGCCAAAAACCAAAGAGGCGCCAAAAATCAAAGGAGCGCCGAACACCAACCATGCGTCGAAAGTCAACAGGGCGTCAAAAAACCAAAGACGCGCCGATAACAAAAAGGACGTCGAAAACCAAACGGCGCCAAAAACGAAAGGCGCGCACGGGCAGATAGACGAAAGGCGCCACACACCAAAAGGGCGCTAAAAACCAAAGAGCACCGAACACCAAAACGGCGCCGAAAACTAAAGGGGTGCAGGAAACCAAAAGAGCGCCAAACACCAAGAGGGCGCCGAAAACCAGAGGACCGCCAGAATCCAAGAGGGCGCCGAAAACCAACAATGCGACGAAAACCATGAAGGGTGCGCAGCAAACAAAAAAAGGCGTCAAGAACCAAAGGAAAGCCGAAAACCACACGAGCGCCAAAAACCAACGGAGCGCCGAAAACCAGAGGCTCATCGAACAACAAAGATGCGCCGACGGCCCAAAGTGCACTGAAAATCAAACAGGCGCCATAAACCAGGCGCTGGAAACCAAATAGACAAGTACGCCGCAAACCAACGGGGCGCCGAAAACCAACGAAGAAAAGTAGCTTAGAAACCCCCCTTCAGCCAGGGCCCTCCTTCGCCCTCAGCGAGGGCCCTCCAGCCCTTCAGCCAACAGAATGAGGGGAGGGGGGTAGCTTGAGAAGCTCCCCCCCTGGCTTATCCCGAGCCCCGAAAATTATGGGGAGGCGGGGTAGCTTCCAAGCCCCCCCCCAGTAGCCAGGGACCCCCCCAGCTGCAAAATGCAAAAAAAAGGAATGTGGGGGGTAGCTTCGGAAGCCCCCCCCTTTGAAAGGGGAGCCCAGGCTGACCCTGGGCCCCGAAAAGGGGGGGAGGGCGGGGGTAGCGTCGAAGCCCCTCACCCCCCTTTTTGTAGCTAGGGAGCTAGGGCCCCGATCAGCTAAAAAGTGCCCATTAAAGGGGGGAGGGGGGGTAGCTTCGGAAGCCCCCCCCCTTCTCCAAGGGAGGGGGGGGGAGCTTGAAGCTGGGGCCCCCCTTTTAATGAGAAGTCCACCACGTGCGCGCTCTTTCGAAGCTTTGACGCCAACGTTTGTTCCCAACCATCCTGTGGTGTTGGTACTTCGTTCTTAAGAGACAATCCCCGCGTATCCTTCCTCCTCCTCCGCCTGCCTCCTCCCATCCTTGCCTTTACCCTCCGCACCATCGACACATGTCAGCACCCACCTCACACGCTTCGTGGCCTCATAAAGAGCTCCACCGAAGGCTTCAGTGGCAAATTCCACATGCGGTCCCCCGCCCATTTCGTAACATCCCTCACACGCTTCGTTGCCCTATAAGGAGCTCCACCGAAGGCCCCAATGGCAAAGTCCACATTCGGTTCCCCGCCCATCTCGGCACACCCCTCAGACGCCGCGTAGCCCCACGAGGAGCTAGCTTCACCGAAGGCACCAATGGCAAAGTCCACATGCGGTTCCCCACCTATTTCGACACAGCTCCACAGGGAGCTCCTTTGAAGGCCCAGTGGCAAACTCCACATGCGGTTCCCCACCCATTTCGGCACACCCCTCACACTCTTCGTGGCCCCGTCAGAAGCTCCACCGAAGGCCCCACTGGCAAAGACCACATACGGTTCCCGCCCATTTGGGGGCACCGTGGCCCCATAAGGAGCTCCTTTGAAGGCCTCAGTGGCAGGGTCCACATGCGGTGCCCTGCCCATTTGGACATCCCCTCGTACGCTCACTGGCCCCCATAAGGAGCTCCACCCAAGGCCCCAGTAGCAAGGTCCACATGCGATTCCCCTCCCATTCCGGCACACGCCTCTCATGTTTACGGAAGGCCCCAGAAGCAGGGTCCATATGCGGTCCTCCGCCAATTGTGGCCCTCCCCCACACAGTTTTCGCGTCCTCGTTGGGAACTCCACCGAAGGCCCCAGTCGGACGGTTCCCATGCAGTTCCCCGCCAATGGAGAAACACCACGCAAACGCTTCGTGGCCCCATAGGGAGCTTCACGGAAAGCGGTGCCCACAACGCTGTGCACACAGCTGCATCTGGCTGGGTCTTTCGTGAATAGAATGATCATTTCTGCTGGCACGTCCGCGCGCGTGCGAAGTCTCAGGCGGTATGTTGCCATTGCTACAATGGCTCATGGCGGCCGCAAGAGCCAAACTCTGAAGGCAACATAAAGCTACAGAAAATAATCCAAGCGCGCGCAGGAGTGGATATGCAATAAGGGCTAGAAGACAAGCGCGGGAGAGGAGGTGAACCTCGCACCCACACTATTAGCTCACACACCTTCATCACGGCGCTGTGCATAACACGAGGTTCTGCTTGAAAAGACGGTCAGGTTCAATACATCGCTTCAAGGCCAAATTCAAGATTTCAATGTTAACAAAAAAAGCCAACGAAATACCATGAACAGCCACAGACATCATAGAAGTCGCCCGTCGTGATTATTTTGCGATGTCAGCAGTCGGGAGGGTGGGGGGCTAGTACCACGGTGGCGATCGGGCCTCCATGGCAAGTGGACTGGTCGTGGAACATCCAAGAAGAGAGCGTAATTATTTCACTCGGCGAGCAGCGTCGCTGACGTCTCAGTCGTGGACATCCCCTGCAGCGCGTCGCTGTGGAGCTTGGCACACGCCATGACGAGAAACGTCGTGGGGTAAAAAAACCCAAACACGATCGGAAGCAGCTCTTTGACCGTGTTCCTTGCCTTGGGGTCCCCACTGTTTTGGATGCAGGTCAGCGTGATCGCACCCAGGACCAAGTTCAGCCCCCCTGCGACGACGTAGCCGAGATAGAAGAGACGGGCCAGCTGTGGGTCCTGTCGCACCACCGAGACCAGCCCAGCGGATGCCAGCACGACGAGGACTATCGCCAAGAAGGTGCCCGTGATTTGAATGGGCGGACCCACGCCCGGAGGCAGTTCTTCGGGGTCCATGAACTTCTGAATATTATCTGCAATGTCGCCGATCCCCTGGAGGAGGAGCACGTAGATGCACGCGACCACAGTGCAAGTCTTCAGGCAACAACCGTACGTCAGGCAGGTTCCGCCCATCGAACGTTAGCGCAGGCCGCTCGGCCTGCAGCCGTGCAGGTGGGCGGTCGGAAGCAACACTGGGCCCACCCGAGCCGAAATAACAACGAATGTGGCGTCGACGCGTCTTGATACCAGTAGCAGTCGTGAGCACCGAAATGCTGTAGACTGCACCCGCCCGTATTGAGAATGATGACGACGAGTTACCGATATGCGGTCGACGGCGGTAACGATAGACATGCATTGGGCCTATGTGACCATCAACCCTTCCCAAAAACCTCGCAACAAATGGATTACCAATCTTGTCAAACTAAGTTAGCGGGTCATCCGCGAAACCTCGACAGAACGAACACTATCCTGGGTCTCGCCTTTTCGCAAAAAAAGAAAACATTTTCTGACGCGCATCGCTGCATGGAACCCTCTGTGAGAGGAACACTCTCTCGCGTAAGAAACCGCGTTTCACGGGAGTCTGGTGAATAACGCTCCCCGACACGTCGAAAACCGAAGGGGCCTCCCACCCAACCAACATCCCAAGCAGCCAATTGACTGAACCCCTCCCCCCACCCTCCCCTTGCACAAAACCCCCCTTTCACAACTCCCCCTGGCGCAACCTCCACTCGCAACCTCCCCCTCTCGCCAGGCTTCGATGGGACCGTCATCGAGCCGCCTTAGGCGCCTGAGGCCGTGTATGGTCTGAGCATTCTCACCTTTTCTGTCCTCGGGAGCGTCCAAGACGGCCCTCAAAACCGCTCCATGACGGCCCTGAGGCTCCCAAGAGGGGGCCAAGAGGTGTCCAAGACGGAGCCAAGAGAGCCCTCAAAAGGTCACGTAGATGCTTCAAGAGGCTCCCTGGATGGCGTCATGGCTCCCAAGGATCCCAGGAGGCTCCCAAACAGGCCCCAAGAAGCCAGCAAATAAGCCCAAACGCTGTGGCGGGATGGTCAGGAGGCCACTCGATTCAAAACGCTCCGCAACACACAAAATACCACCCAACGTTCACAAGAACTAGACGTTATTGTGCCAACCTTGGTCCTATGAAAAGAACAAAGAAGCCGGTTGTTGTCTCTTGCAGAAGAGACGAATCATCAGCGCTTCCGCTTCCTCCCCCTCCTCCTCCTCCTGGTCCTCCTCCTATGTGTCTCTGTCTCTGTCTCTGTCTCTTTCGCTCTCTCTCTCTCTCTGTCTCTCTCTCTCTCTCTCTCTCCCTCAGCACTCCTGTGCAGCATCTCGCCGAGTATGATGCTGGGCGCGAGCTGTGCCCCATCTCAGTTCCAGCTCCTGCTCCTGAAGCCTGGGGGCCTCACTGGGCCGCTTGCGCAGAATACCAACACTGGGAACCATGTGCAGAATACCGAAACGCCGCAGTCTGAGAAGTGCCACTCAAACGACTCAGGCCTGCGCGCAAGTTCTTTGACCCGTCTCCTCCTCTTGTGGCCATGACGAGAGCGGTTCCAGAGAGAAACGGGGGTCATGTACCTGGGGGGCCCTGGCTGGGTAGTCGAAGCCAATCTGGCGCCAATCTGGCAGGCCCAATCTGGCAAACGGGGGCAATCTGGCGAGGGAGCCAACGCGAATCCAGTCTGGCGAATAACCCAAATCATCCAGTTTGGCCAGGCCAGATTGGCCCTTGGGGCCCAATCCAATCTGACAGTCTGGCCTTCGACTACCCAGTCTGGGGGCCCTGCGCCAGAACCAGTTCTTCATGCCAGGCTGTTCTCCGGCGGCCCTGGGGCCCGCGGAGGCCCACGGGAGGCAGGCCAACGGCGGACCACGGCAGGACCCCTTTTTTCTCATCAGGAGCCGCTTCGTAGGACGAGGAGGATACTCTTCGTACGCACGCTTCGTACGGCGGAACACGCTTTCTCATCAGGACCCGCTTCGTACGGCGGAACACGGCAGGACCCCTTTTCTCATCAGGAGCCGCTTCGTAGGACGAGGAGGATACTATTAAAGGCGATTGGCTGAGCCTGCGTTCCAGGAGTTCCGGAGCATCTAGCGGCCGTCGTTGCTGCAGCCCGCCTGGAGCATGATAACAAGTGTGAAGTCTAGGAATGTGGGGACGTATCAGCATCATCATCAGCATCATCATAATCATCATCATCACCATCACCATCATCATCATAATCATCATCATCATCATCATCATCATCATCAATAACAGCATCATCACATCACCAACAAGATCATTACCATCATAATCATGGTCAGCATCACCACCGCCACGATCATCACCAACAACAGCATTATCGTCATCAGCAGCATCAGCATCCTCATCCTCATCTTCACCCTGCAGCCTCATCATTATCAACACGAACGTAATCCTTATCATCATTACCATCTTCATTATCATCATTATCATCATCATCATCATCAACATCAGCATCCCCATCATCCTCCTCGTCTTCACCAGCATACTCATCATCATAATCATCATACTCATAATCATGTTAATCATCATCGTCATCATCATCATCAATCACCAGCTCCACCATCATCAACATCATCATCATCATCATCATCATCATCATCATCATCATCATCATCATCCTCATCACCATCAACATCATCGTCATCATCGTCGTCACCGTCAACGTCATCGTCATCGTCGTCGTCGTCATCATCATCATCCTCGTCGTTGTCGTCACCAGCATCACCACCAGCACCAGCACCATAATCAGCACCAGCATCAACATCCTCCTCCTCTTCCTCCTCCTCCTCCTCATCATCATCATCACCACTTGCTCCTCCGATCTTCTTCCTGGCAACTTTGTGCGCACCCTCTCCCTTGCCATCGGGTGCGCTCTGCGCACAGGCCTCGAGGCTCGAGATGGTGTCGCTCAGCCGCCCAGTTGTGCCTCGGGGCCCAAAGGGGGGCCAAGCTAGGTTTTCAAGAGGGAGGGCGGGAGAAGGGGAGGGCGAGGGGGACAGGGGAAGGGGGCGAAAAGGCGAATGCGAGGGGAAGGATAGGGAAGAGGGGGGCGGAGGAGCGAGAGGATGGGAGATTGGAGGGAGAGGAACAGGAGACAAGGAGTACGATGATAAGAGGAGGAACAGTAGCAGATGAAGGAGACGGTAATGAGAAGGAGACGACGGAGAGGAGAGCAATGGGGAGGGGGCGAGGGAGACGTGCGGGGGCATGAGAATCAGACGCAGGACGAGGAGGACGAGGAGGACAAGGGGGGGGAGTTGGTGAACGAGGAGACTATGCGTCATGCCTGGCTGGTGCGAGGCGCGCTCCGAACGATCCGACGCGAGCAAGCATGCCCGTGCAGAAGTCTGGGAACCTGGCACAAGCAAGGGTGGCGCTTGCGGCGCCTTGGCCTCGCTGAAGCAGGACGCGGCGGCAGCCGGACTTGCGGCGATCGTAGAGGACGAGGACGATGTCATGCGGAGATTGGCTCAGGATACGTTCCATGACATCCAGATCGTCGTCAGCTCCGCGCGAGAGTGACCCTAGGTAAGAGTGTGACCTTTGGTGCACGACTTTAGGGGGCCGCGGAGGAGCCCAATCCAGGCACGCGGGCCAGTGCTCGGGGGCCTCTGTGGGCCCGCACCAGGGGTCACTCTGGCGAAAGGCCACCCCTGCGCGTCGCCGCAGAAGGCGATGGAGCTCGGCCGCAAATCTGCGCCGGCGCTCGCGCGTCATCGAGTGACTGATGGTGCTTCCAACGCTGGGACGAGCTGCCTCGTAGCCCGTAGCGTGTTGCCCGAGCTCCACAAGTAGGCTGCACACGTGGGTCTGGCGGGCGCCCCAAGATGGCCCCCAGAGGCCCGACGGGAGCCCAAGAGAGCTCCTGAGGTGACCTTCGGAGCCCTCCGGTAACCTCTCACAACAACAGCGTCCTCCCTTCTCCTCCTCATCTACCTCGTGCCGCATTCATCCTCGTGCTCCTCTTCCTCCCCCTCCTCATGGCATGGCATAGGAACATGTGTTACATCATTCAACACATTTTCCCGCCGTTTCTGCGCCCCCGAAGCGCGTCTAAGGCGGTTGTCGCACTGCGTGCTTCGACCCTTCCCTGATCAAGGCAACTCAACAGGCAACCGTTTCTGCCGACGGGAGCCCAAGAGAGCTCCTGTGACCTTCGGAGCCTTCCGGTAACCTCTCACAACAACAGCGTCCTCCCTTCTCCTCCTCATCTACCTCGTGCCGCATTCATCCTCGTGCTCCTCTTCCTCCCCCTCCTCATGGCATGGCATGGGAACATGTGTTACATCATTCAACACATGTTCCCGCCGTTTCTGCGCCCCCGAAGCGCGTCCAAGGCGGTTGTCGCACTGCGTGCTTCGACCCTTCCCTGATCAAGGCAACTCAACAGGCAACCGTTTCTGGATGGGCTGGAGTGGATACGCGGAGCGTCGAGACATTTGATTCCAACACCGAGCTGCCCTCGGCCAGCCCCGGGTTCACGCGAAAGGCTGCCAGATGTCACCCTCCTCCTACTCCTCCTCCAACTCCTCCTCCTCCTCCTCCTCCTCCTCCTCATCATCATCATCATCATCATCAAACTCCTGCTCTTCCTCCTCCGCTTCCCCCTCCTCCTCCTCCTCCTCCTCCTCCTCCTCCTCCACCTCCTCCTCCTTCTTCCCCTCCTCCTCCACCTCCTCCTCCTCCTCGTTCTCCTTCCGCCCTCTTCGATCGTTTCCTGCTCCGACTGCTCCTGCTCCTCCTGTCCTCCTCCTCCTCTTCCTCCTTCTTCCCCTCTTATCACTCCTCCTCCTCCTTCTCCTCCTCATCCTGTTCTTCCTCCTCCTCCTCCTCTTCTTCCTCCTCGTTCTCCTCTATCTTTATTCCTCCTCCTTCACCGTCACCTCCTCCTCCGCATCCACCTCCTCCTCCCCCTCCTCCTCCTCCTCCTCCCCCTCTTCCTCCAAGCCCCATCTCTTCTTCGTCGTCTTCTTCATATCATTATTCCTCCTCCTCGCTTTCGTGTCCAAGACGCCTCGAGGCGCGCCTAGCGGACCTGACCCTCCGAGGAGTCGGGCCTCACCCCCCCCCCGCCCGCCCCGACAGCGGCGTCCTGCGATCACCTCGCCCTCCAGGCTGGACGAGCCGCCAGTGTAGTAGGAGACCGTCTGGTCCCACTGGTTCCCAAGCGCCCATGCCACCTCGCACGGGGGGGCGACAGGGATGGGCAAGCAGCCTTGAAGGACTCGGCGTCACGCGGAGCCTGGGGCCAAGGCAGCCCGCTCCCCAAAGGGTCCCTGCGCCTGGGGAAGCTCACCGGCGACGAACACTTCCGCATCAATGCCTCCGTGGCTGCCAGGTCACCCAATTTTCAAAAGGGAGCGTGAGGGGGGGGGCAGCTCAGGGGGGAACTCATCGAGCTCGAGTCGGCGATGCACTGCCGACATATCGGCGATAGCCCCCCGATTGCGAAACCGCATGTTCCTGGGCGGGGTGGGATATCAGGCTCCTCTCGGCGGGCAGGAGGAGGGAGGGAGGAGGAAGAGGGAGGAGGATGAGGAGGAGGAGGAGGAGAAGGAGGATGGAGAGTGTTTGGGGGTCGGTGCATTCCCTTCTGAGGTTACCCCCCATGTCGCTGCCCGTGACCTCGAGGTCCCGAGGTCTGGAGGCTTGATGCTTTCGAGGCTCTCGGGCGATCTTTCGGCCCCTCTCCTGGAAGCCTGCCGCACGGGATCTTCGAGCAGATGGCGCCGGAGGATCGCGCCGCATCACCAGCTCATCGGCGACGGCGAGTTTGAGAGGGCCAAGCTCCAGATCGCGCCGTACCGCCGAGGCAGCGGCGACTTGGCGCGATCCTCCGACTCCATTTGGAAGGACTGGATCCTTGGGCCCCTGGACATGTCCGAAGGCCACCCCAAGCCACCCGTGGGCCCTTGGGGAAGTCTCCGGGGAGCTCCCAACACCAGGGTTGCGTTCCCGCCAGGATTTCAAGGCGGACCCAGTCGCAGCGGCGGGGCACCAGAAGGGGGACCACAAATGCCGAAAACGTTCCCGAAACTTCCCCTTCCTCCCCGTCCATGAACTTCCTCATCCTCAGCCTCCTCTTCCCATGCTTTTCCTCAACTTTTCATCCCATCCCCTTCCTTTCAACACCTCATCCTCAGATGAGCCTCGATCGCCCAACCAAGCAACTTTGGAGGACCTAAGTCCTCGATGCTCTTTCCCCCTGTTGGGCAAACGGCAGAGAGGAGCCTCCAGGGCCAGGTCCTGTGCCTCGCCGAAGGCCAGCAGCGGGTAGGGGACCAACGATGTGAACAGCGACATGCAACATCCTGCCGATGGGCGTCTTTCAAGGAGGAGCGGTGAGGGAGGAGGAGTCGTTGCGGATTCGTCATGCATGTTCCCGGCAGCATCTCGGCGCCAGGGTGCCCTCGTGGAAGAGTCAGCTCTGGCGCGCGGCGTGCCGACTGGTGCACGCGTCGCGACTGTGGCGGCCTGCGTGACCGGGCTGCCTCCAGATCCCCCCCCCCCACGCCCCACAGAGGCCGCGCACCAGAGGCCACTCCGGCGGGGGGCCACTCGTGCAGATCGGCGGCGCCCACGAGGGGGTGGCGCGAGGTGGCCGGCCTCCTGAGCAGGCGGGGGGGGCTAGGCCGCCCGGGAGCCCTCCTGGCTGCTGGGACGTATTCTCAGACCGAGGGAGCACAGACTGCGTAAACGTAAACGCTCGGAGATCCGCGCGGATTTCTTGGATCTGGGCTGCACCCCCCTCCCTGGCGCGAGGAGCGCGCCAGGGGCGGGGCCGGAGGCGCCGCCAGGAGGGCCCAAGGCAAATCCAAGAACTCCGCGCGGAGCTCCGACTGGTTATGTTTCTGGCGATCTGTTTGCTCCTTGGCAGACGCCACCAGGCCGCCAGGCCCTTCTGAGAAGCCGCCCTCACCTTCAACTGATCCCTTCGTCGCCGACGTCCTCGCTAAAACCTCCCGAGACTGCGGGCAGAACGTTTCTGACCCAGACATGGGAAGGGGTGGAGGGAGCGGCTACAACGCCCGTGTCACAAAAAACACCCCTGCGCGAGAGAACGATGGGCTGCTACTGGCGTCTCCGGCCACAGTCAAAAATCTCGGGGGGGCGCCAGCTGCTGCTGCTGCTGCTGCTGCTGCTCCTACTTATACTTGTTCCTCCTCCGGCTTACCTCCTCCTCCTCCTCATCCTCCTCCTCTTCCTCTGGCTACTCCTCCTCTGGCTCCTCCTCCTTCTCCTCCTCCGCGAAGGAGCAGCAGCAGTAGTCAGGTGAGGTGACAGAAGGGGGGTTGCAAGGGGAGGGGGAAGAGGATGAGGAGGAGGAGGATGAGGAGAAGGAGGAGGAGGAGCCAGAGAAGGAGTAGCCAGAGGAAGGGGAAGAGGAGGAGGCGGAGGAGGAGGAGGAGGAGGAGGAGGAGGAGGAGGAAGACGAGGAGGAGGAGGAGGAGGAAGAGAAGGAGAAGGAGGAGGAGGAGGAGGAGGAGGAGGAGGGGGAGGAGGAGGAGGCGGAGAAGGAGGAGGACGAGGACGAGGACGGGGAGGAGGATGAGGAGGAGGATGAGGAAGAGGAGGAGAAGGAGCATGAGCAGGAGCAGGAGGAGGAGGAGGCTCGTTTTCACCATCTCAGAAGAACGCCCTGGGCGCCGCTAATGCAGCCGACGGGAGGAGACCAGGCGCGTGCGGTCCCCCCTGGGGGGCAGCGCCTCCCGTCCCAACACCACGCCCTGGTGAGACCAGCACACGCACTCAAGCCTAGAGGAAGGAGGTATGGCGGAGGGCAACACGAAGAACGCACGATGGGTCTGGGGGCAGGCTGTCGGACCCCGAGGAGGGCTCCTGTTCGAGCGGAAACCCCCCATGGGACAACACACACCCGTGCCCCGCCCCCCCCCCAGAATTCCACCCCGAGAATCTGGGCGTGGCACAGGTATGAGTGCTGGCTGTCAGCTCATGACGCGGGGCGGGGTCCTACCATGGTGCCGATCAGCGGCGCGATGAGCCCGTCCTTGAAAGCCTCGGCGCCGCGCCACACGCAGCCCAGCCGGCCCGCTCCCCGGCGCCAGGGGAAGATCACCGGCGACGCACCTGCGCTGTCTGAAGGTTACCTAACTTCGAAGGGGAACGTCAGGGGGGGAGCTGAGAGGGGGGAGCCATGGAGGTGGACTCGGCGACACATCGCCGATATGTCGGCCACACGCACCCAATAAACGAATTCGCACACTTCTGGGCGGAGTGGGCTCTCGGTCCCCCATCGGCGATGAGTGGGCGATTCGGGATCGGTGCGTCCCGCCCTGAACCTATCCCCCGCGGCCGAACCGTGGAGGTCACACGACTTGGCGCGCTGCGACGTGCGACGCGCGACGCGCGATCATCTTCGCGCCCCCGCGGGTGACCGTAGGGTTTGGCCTTGTGCATATTCGACGCCTGCCAGAAGTTCGGCGGCGTGTGCTGAGCGCCGGCGGCGGAGGCGGGGGGGCGCCGAAGGTGGTTGCCAGACGCGGACACGGTGTGCTTCTCCTCCTCCTCCTCCTCCCCCCCTCCTCCATCCTCCCCCTCCCCTCCTCCTCCCCTCTCCTCCTCCTCTCCTCCCCCTTCCTCCCCCTCTTCCCTCTCTCCCCTCCCCCTCCCCTCCTCCTCCTCCCCCCTCCTCCTCTCCTCCTCCTCCTCCTCCTCCTCCTCCTCCTCCTCCTCCTCCTCCTCCTCCTCCCCCTCTCTCTATTCCTCTCTCGGCCTGAAGGTTCGTCGGCATGGCCCCGAGTGGGCGTCAGTGCCGCCAGCACCTTGAAAAAAATGTGCCCACGAGGGCCTACGCATCAATCGAACTATGGCGCCTGAGAGGAGCAACTGCCGCACTCGTGCTGAAGGCCCAACAGGCTCGTCCTAAAATGGTGGCCGGCGCCGCCTCGTTCGGCGGCGGAGATCCGCGATTCTACGCCGCCACGCTGGTTCCGGGCAGGCTGTGCTGCCCGGCGGAAGGGGACGAGGAGGGGAGAAGCAGGCAGACGACGACGAACGCCCAGGCGGGAGGCCAGGGCCGGCGGGGCGGGCGGGCAGGCAGAAGACGGGCCAGGCGGAGACAGCAGGCAGGGAGCAGGAGGAAAGGAAAGGGAGGGAAGCAACGAGCAGAAGCGAAGGGAGGGGGAGGAGGGGGAGGAGGACAAGGAGGAGAGAAAGCAGCGGCCGCAAGCAGACAGGCCGGGCCAGGGGCCGGGAGAGAAGAGCCGCCCGCGACGAGGCTGCGGACCCTACGGCGGCGACCTGGGCGGGGTGGCCGCCCGAACCCAGCGCGATGCGGCTTGGTGGGGATTGCCCTCTGCGGGATCCATCCACCGCCCCGCCGGGGAAAGGCCGGGCGGCGCGTGGGGGGGGTCGCCGGCGCGACGTTGGCGAAAGGGCGAGGGGGGCGCCCGCGCTGCCCAGCAAGGGCGGGGGGTGGGTGGGCGGGGGGCGCTAGGCAGCGCAGGGGGCACCTCACACGGCGTCTGCCGTGGAGGCCGCCGTGGCCGCGGCCAGGCGGGCCGCTGCCACCCCCGCCCCTCCAGACAGGGTCTGAAGGTTCGTCGAACGCTGCCATTCCCTCCACATCAGGAGCGTTTGCCCCTGAGGGGCGCTGATCAAGCTAGAGCGCCAGGCGACCCATGGGCCGCCGCCCCTGGAGTCGCCGGCTGTGCGACAAAGGTCGGGGGGGAGGAGAACGCTCAGAACCTCGAGGAGGCAGACGGAGGAAGGACGTGGTAACGGTGAGGCGGAACGATGGGCGGTGTGGCATTGCGCTGAGAGTGCGGCGCAGCCACGCTCGCCAACATGGGTGGCGCAAGCGCCTCTCCGACTCTCCGTAGGGCACTCCGTGGGAAGGGCCTTCGGAAGGTTTTGGCAGTACCGCCTTTTCGGGCTGCCGACCGCCCTGGGCGGGCCACCCAGATCGATTCAAGACAACCCAAGAGACCCCCAGGACGGGCCCGAGACGGCCCAAAAGAACCATAAGACGGCCCGAGAGGTCTCCCCAGAGGGCTCTCGAAGCTCCCGCGAGCGCCCCCAGAGGGGGAATCTCGACCTGACATATCGAGCCTTCCCCGAAAGTTCGCCCCCACGGCCGCCAGCATGCGCCCAGGAAGCCCTCAAGACGGCCAAAAAGTGATCCCAAGACGGCCCGAGAAGCGCCCGAGACGCCCCAGGAGGCTTCCAGCAGAGGACTTCGAGACGCCTCAGAGACACCGATCACCGGAAGATTTTGGCGGTACCGCCTTTTCGGGCTACCGACCGAGGCCGCCAAGATCGCCCCAAGACAGCCCAAGACACACCCAAAGGGCCTGAGACTTTTCTGCTAGGACGATCCTGCACTCCGTCAGGCCTCCTGAGCGGCGGCGGCAGTAGAGAAAAGAACAGCAGGAGAGCGGCAGCGTGCAAATCAGCCCCCCCTGGCCTTAACCATGGGGAGGCTTGGTGGCACGTTGCGCCGCGGAAGGCGTACGAGGAAGGTGGGAGGTGGCTGACTGGTATCTGCAGCTGCGCAAGCAGAAGATTGGATGTGGGAACGTGGGCAATGGCTCGCGTGGCGATAGAGTGAGGCAATCAAGTCATGACTCTCATCCGCAGCAGTCTCGGCCAAAGCCGTGATCCTCTGCCACGCACCGCCGCGGAGCGGGGGAGGGCAGGGGGGCGGAGGAGGGGACGGGCGGTGCGGAAGCGAGAGCGAGTGCAGGAGAGCCTGCGGCGGACGGGAGGGACACCGGGGGACGGGGGGAGGGGATCGGGCGGGGAAGGGGGGCAGGGGCAGGTGCAGGGGGGGAGGGGGGCAGAGCAGAAGCAGGCCCAGGGAAGGGCCCAGGGAGGGGCCCAGGGGGCCAAGGAGGCCTCGGCCCCCGCCCCCGCCCCCGCCCCCCCCATGCTCCCACGCCCGCCGAGCCAGTCGGAATCTCTGGGCCCGCGGCGATCTCGGAGAAGCTGCGGGCGATGTGGGTGGAGCTCTGCGGGTTCAGGAAGGACATGGTGAAGTAGGCCTGCGGCAGCCCGGAGCGAGGCACGGGGGGCCCAGAGAGGGCCACGAATAGCCGGCGATGCCCCGAACGTTCGGCATCCCCGCCCCCGGCCACCTGCCTTCGCACTCATCATGCAGATCGTTTAGCCAATAGCTGGTGGTGTACAGTCGAAACATGGCCACAGGAACGCGGATCAACATCGCGAGCCCGCTCGACGAAGGCCCTTTGCCCCATGGAGGCATGCAGCATGACATCATTCCAAGGTAAAGCACCCACGCACACGAAGAACAACAAAAATACCCCATCCAAAACTACGGATGATCTGAATCCTCGTGCCGGCGGTACGGCATCAGGCGACATGATTAGAGAAAGCAGCGCAATAGACGCGGCCTTTCAATTTTCAGAGGCTCGCGCAGATTTCTTGGATATCGGCGCTGGACCCCCTCCCTGGCGTACAAAGCGGTCCAGGGGCGGCGCTGGAAGCGCCGCCAGGGGGTCCAGCGCCGATTCAATGAATACGCGTGGACCTCAGAAAATTGCAATTTCTGTATCACTTCCCGGGTTGTAGTAGCCAGAAGCAAGAAGCGACGTGGGGAAATGCGGTGGCAGAAAAGGCGGGAGGTCCCCGAGGTAGAGCGACCAGAGGCGGCACAGCGTTCTCCAGTTCAGCAGGCAGAAGAACATGGACGTGAACTGCGGAGGGGCGGCCGGTGGGGGGGGTGGGGCAAACGACGAAGGTCCTCTGAGCAGGAGGGAGAGAGAGGCACTGGGGAAGACGATATGAACATATTGACCTTTTAGTATTGTGGAAAAGTTGATCGACCCACGGACCTGGAAATGGTTTCAGGAACGCGAAGCATGGCTACGATTTCAAGACGCCTGATTGGGCGACAAGCAATTGCAATGCTGAACGTATCGAACGTGATTCACAGCGCTATGAAGTGTGCTGTCCTGTGCTGACATGAGACGTGACATGCCGCAATGTCTTACGTTGTGCTCTATGGTGTAAGAATAAAATCGCCCTTGGCTTCCGAATCCTGACCGAACAGATCTGGATCTTAGGCTCGAGCTGCCTAGCGCATGGTTGGCTCAGACCTGATTGCGGCCGAAACGTGTGGGACGCTCAATCAGCTCGTGCTCGAGCTCTGACTCAATGCCGAAGCGGAACGAGACGACACGGAGGCGCAAGGCGCATGGACGCGCCACGGAATGTGTCTGGGGCGCACGAGGGGATGCGCCGAGGGACGTTTCAGGGGACGCGCCACGGAACGGGTAGGGAAAGCGCAAGGGAACAAACCAGGGACAGGTGGAGGGGCATACGCCGTCCCGCTCTGGGGGGCGAGCCAGGGGGCGCGCCGAAGGAGCATGGGGCATACGTCGCCCCTCTCTGGGGCGTTCGGAACTCCTGTGTTGTCACGTTTGTCCCGCTCTGGAGCGTTAGGGACCCAAGTGTGTTCACGTGTCCAAGCCACCCAGGAAAGGATACCTGACATGTGGTCGTGAAAACACGTGGGTCCAACTCGGGGCAACCAGATTAGATACAGGCCTGGGTGGCCTGGCCACGCAAAAATACCTGACATGTGGTCGTGAAAACACGTGGGTCCAACTCGGGGCAACCAGATTAGATACAGGCCTGGGTGGCCTGGCCACGCAAAACAACCTTGTTCCAGCTCGGGACCACCATGTTAGAACCCCCTCTGGGCAATTGGACAATTTTGGAGGCGCCCGGGACGACTCCCCGACTGGCCCACCCCACCGACCCCCCGACTCCCCGGCTCCCCGATGCCCCGACTCTTGCCGACACCCCGACTCCCCGACTTTCAACTCTGGCCGACTTCCCGACTCCCCGACCCCCCAAGTCTGGTCGACTTCCCGATTCCCTGACTGGCCGACCTCCCGAATCCCCGACTTTGGAATCCCGAAACGGTGCGGTGACATACCGTGCGGTGACCTCGAAATCCAACAAAACCTCACCGCACGGTCCGTCACCACACGGTCTTGGTACCCTGGAGGCCCCTGTCGCCCGAGACATCTTCGGAGAACGACCCGAGTCCCAAAACCGTGCGGTGACCCCGAATCCCCACCGACTGACCGCACGGTGTGGTCACCTTCCCGTTTGGGGGCCCCCGACCGACTCTCGGGCTCCCCGACTCTGGCCGGCGACTCCCCGGCTCCCCGACTCCCCAAACTGGCCGACTCCCCGACTCCTTGATTCTCCCCGACTCCCCGACACACTCCCAAACTGGCCGACTTGACAACTCTCCGAATCCCCGACTCCCTCCCCGACTGGCCGACTGACCCCCCGACCCCCCGACTGGCCGACTCCCCGACTTCCCGTCTCCACGACTTGTCGACTCCCCGACTGGCCGACTCCCCGACTCCCCGTCTCCCCGACTCGCCGACTGGCCAACTCCCCGACTCCCCGACTGGCCGACTTCCCGACTGGCCACCTAGCCGACTGGACGAATCCTCGACTCCCCAAACTCCCCGAAGCCCCGACTCCACAACTAGCCGAAGCCCCAACACCCCGGCTCCACGCCTCCCTGGCTCCGCGGTCCGGCCAATTTCCAAGCTCCACGACTCCCCGCCGACTCCCCGACTCGGCCCCCTGCCCGACTCCACGACTTTGGTCGACTCTGGCTGACACTGGCCGACCCCGCGACAGCCCGACCCCCCGACTCCCTGGCTGGCCGACCCGCCGACTCCCCGAATGGCCGATTCCCCGACTTCCCAACTGGCCCACCCCTTGACTTCCCGATCTCCCGACCCCCCGACTCCCGACTCCCCGACTGGCCGTCTCCCCGACCGCCCGACTCCCCGACTCCCAGACTGGCCGGCCGGCCAACTCCCCGACTTCCCGACTGCCTGACTCCCCACTCCCAGACTGGCCGACCAGCCCGCTCCCCGACTCCCCGACCAGCCGACCCCCCGACTCCCCGACTCCGGCCCGCTCCCCGAGTCCCTTCCCTTGCTCCCCGACTCCCCGACTCTGGCAGACCTGCCGACCGCCCGACTGGCCGACTCCCCGCCTCCGCAACTGGCCGACTCCCCGACTCTCGCCGACTCTCCAAGCTCTGACTGACATCCCAACTCCCGACTCTCCGACTGGCGGACTCCCCAAACTCACCTGCTCTTCGACTGGTCGACTCCGTAATTCTCTGATCCCCCGACTTCCCGACTCTCTGGCCCGCCGTCTCCCGGACCCGGACCCCCCGGCCCCCCGACTCCCCGACTCTCTCGCTTCCCGACTCCCCGGCTCCCCGACTGGCTGACTGGCTGACTGGCTGACTGGCCGACTGTCCAACTCCCCGACGATCGCCGACTCCGCGACTCCCTGCCCCCCCGACTCAGTGACCCGCCGAGTCCCCAACTCCCCGACTGGCCGAGTCCGACTCCCGGGCTTCCGACTTCCCGATTCCCCGACTTCCCCATCCCCCGGCCCAGGCCTCCTGGTGTCTCCTGGGGCTGGCCTGGGGGCTGCTGGGAGCCTCTGGAAGCCTCCTGGAGCGCCCAGGCCCCTCAACTTCTGCAAGAAGAGCGTCTCGCTCGAGACATCCTCGAAAGTCCTGCACGCAGGACGCGCCATCCTCGAGCGGGCACGCAAACCAATAGCATTTCCATGTTTGTTTTGTCATTTAGCTGGGTCCCCAGACCACGTTCTCTATAACATGATTATGCGAAACACGCTCCGCGCCCAGTTTTTTTGTTCCAGGGAAAAAAAGCACCAGACCTCGTGAGCTATCGCGGATCCCACATGGGCCGTCCACTTTCCTCGAGCGGGCACGCGCGAATTTTTGTCTAGCATGTCGATTTGGAATTTACCCGATTTCTCATGGAGGGGAAAGCCGCCGGCCCTCTTCAACGCGCCCCCGGGGGAAAGCCTCTTAAAAACAACTCTGGGCCGATGCCCTTCCCGGGAAACGCGCGCCCGCTGCAGAACAGGAGAACTAATCTGTTATGTGTTCGGGAGACATTGCCCGACCCCCCCTTCATCTTCGGGACCCGAGGCCACGAACCCCTTGCTATAGCTAGGGGTGCGCGCCCCAGAAGCCGCAAGAGAAATGTCCAATGGAAGTGCGACCCCGACGCCACCGTGTTTCATGAAGCACTCAAGACGCGAGCAAACAACCAGCCAACAACCAGCCCAAACCAACTGCCAACAATCTATTTGTCGCCGCGCCGAATGTTCACCACGGCAAACCCACGGCAAACCCTGCGTCCCGCGCCCCAGCAGACGAAGCCAGCAGCGCGACAAACCCCACGGCAATCCCTCCGCGCCCGAGGCGGAATGTGCCCTGGTGGCGGCGGCGCCCTCCCCAAGACGCCAGGCCACGCGTCGGAACAAACGGCGCGGCGACATTAAGACAACGGGCCAATCAGCCGAGTTGCCAGCCAGACAACCGACAAGCCCGCAAACGAACCAGCCGAAGCAAGCGTAGCCACGCAAAAAGTCGGAGGGGGCGCACGCTGCAAAAGCGACGCCCTTCAAATCGGGGACGCCTCACCCATGGCGCCGACAAATCATGAAATACACTCCTACGTGGTAGTTGCCGCATAAGGGGCATGTACTTTCCAGCCGCCCAGGGGCAGGTGTCCCCCAATGACGATCAAATTCGTCGTGTCAGATCACCGCTGCTAGCCCACCCAAGCAAGGGCGGGGAGAAGGAAGAGGGCGGGGGACTCGGAGGCGGCCAGAGGGTCTGAAAACTGTCAGAGGGGGGATGAAGTCACACCTGTTCAACATCGGTTCCCGAACCCCTCCCGGATTCACGCGGTGCTATTTTTCGCCCGATCCGTTCTTGACGATCCCAGGGCCCGAAAACGGCACCCGGAGTCCAGATAAGGTTCAAAACGCCTTCCTGGAAACCCAGGACCTCGAACCCGCCAACCCTTCTGGCTTGCCAGAACCAGCGCTGGGGCACGACCCCCGGCCAGCTCGAAGGGGGGAGCGAGGGCTTAATGAAGGCAGAAGGGTTAGGTCGGGCATGTCCTCCTACAGGCGGATCTTGAAAGACAAATTGAATAATGGCCAAACAAAATCAAACATAGTTAGTCAAGAGACCCCGAACAGTCGTCGCCAGACTACTTGCTTCCTTTTTAGAAAATCCGCCGGCCCCCTTGCGGGGCCACCTGGCTGCGAGGATGAGGATTGCAGCTCCCTGTTCCAGTTGCATTTTCCAGTTTCCACTGTTACAATCCTGGTTTCTGCTTCCTTGTTGTTAAGAGCTGCTGTCCGCGCGAGGGGTGGGGCCCCGAGCAGTTTTTTTTTATATATATATATATGTGTATATATATATATATATATATATCTCCGTGGCCTGAGATTCATCCTCGGGCTATCGTCAGAACAAGAACTCCCGCACGTGGCCGACGCGCGACGGAAGTGCCCGGGGGGGCCGAAAGTGAACGAGGGACGGGCCGCAGGAACCACAGACAACGAGTGGAGGGACACGACCGACAACGAACAGGACCGAAAAAACACGAGGGCCGCGATCACAGTGACAGAGATCTACCTGCTACCGACGGCGCGGGGCATCACGGACAAACCTCTTTGCCGATAAAGACGAGGAACGTAATCCAGTACGTCCACCACTCCGATCGGGGGGAAGGTAGCTGTTGGCAGGGAAAATTAACGCACCTTGAGGTCCATCAGGACGACCGTCTTCGCGAAGGAGGTCGTGCTGAGGGCGGACAGACTCATGACCAGGAGCAGGAGCAGCAGGATCTTTGAGCCAGCAATCGGCGACAGCCTGGCGCGCGACCCACCAGGTCGCACTGCAGGTCGCACTGCCAACACCGTAGCGAACATCATGAGCAGGAGGCTCACGAACACCTCCATCAGGAAGGCCAGCGCGACAGACAACGTCGCGAGCCAACTCGGTCTGAGCAGGGCCGCGAACAGAAGGATGGGCAAGAGGCTCACGACCACCTTCATCGGGAAGATCTTCACGATCAGCAGGAGCAACTTCAAGAGCAGGTCAATTCACTGGATCTCGAAGCTCGGGACGAGCCTCAGGATCGTCGGCAAAACGGCCCTGAATACCGTCAGGACGTGGGTAATCGACGACCGCCCCGAGCTCCTGCAGCACGACGTCCACTTGCAGATCGGCGAGGCCGGCAGGAGTGAAAGGCGCGGCCTCCAGACGGAGCGGCGGGCAGACTGCCGACCCGCCCCGGCTCGCCAGAGCCGCCTCCAAGACGGCAGCGGAGGGCCCGGCCGGCAGCGGCGGAGGCCCACGCGCCGCGCCCGGGGGCCGGCTGTGCTCAGCCCGACTGCTGGGCTCCAGCCGGTCGCCCGCGGCGGCCAAGCACTCATCGGGGACCCGCAGCAGCCGCGCCGCGGCCACCGTTCCCCTCATCTTCCCGCAGTGGGTCCCCGCGACGTCGACCAGCTCCCAGTGGGCCGCCAGGGAGGACCTGATCACCTTCATGCGCGCCGCCAGGGCTGAAGCACGGGAAGGGCCGAGCTCCTCTCGGCGGGCGCGGCGGAGGCGACGAGCGAGGTTGCGGGCGCTGGAGGCCGCCGACGCCTGGCCGCCACACCGCCGCGGCGCATCGCGCGTATACGTGGGCCACTGGCGCACGCCCGCGCTCCGACGGGCGCGCGCCGCACGAGGGCCTCCCGCAGACCAGGCTCGCTGAGCCAAAATGGCTACGGACCACGGCCTGGGAGGGTTCTCAGAATTCGTAGGGGGGCGTGGCTCACGTGTATATATATATATATATATAATATATTATATATATATATATTGTATTCGCGTCCTCGAGGCCAGAATCCTTAGTAAATGACACCACTCGCGTCCCCGAACCCACAAACCCTTGTAAATCCCACCAGCCCTTTGGGCGTGAGTGGTTTAGCGAGCTCTCTCTGTCCTCAACCCCCCTTCTTCCCCTTCGGGGAGGGGTTTACCCCTCCCCCTCCCCCCTCCCCCTGGGCCTGGAGAGGGGGGGCCGCGGGTCGTCAGGGGGGTCAATTTCGACTCCTGGGAGGGCTAAAAAACGACACCCCTCACGAGGATTCTGGCCCCGACGGGGGGGGGCAGAAAAAATGCTCTCCTCTTCTTTGAAGCCAAAATCATTGATTTTACTACGGTTTCGGCCCCATTTTGGCCTTCTGAGGGGGCAGCGCTCCTCTTCCTTCATAGCAAAATCATTGATTTTACCCAGGTTTTGGCCTCATCTTCTCTTTCTCAGGGGCAGCGCTCATTTGCGCTTCTGAGGAGGTCGCAAGAGGCCCCAAGATGGCCCCAAGAGGCCCCCAGGAGCCTCCCAAGAGGCCTCCAAGAGGCCCTCCAGAGCCCCCCAAGAGGCCCCAAGAGGCCTCCAAGAGGCCCCCAAGAGGCCCCCAAGAGGCCCCAAGAGGCCCCAAGAGGCCCCCAAGAGGCCCCCAAGAGGCCCCCAAGAGGCCCCCAAGAGGCCCCAAGAGCCTCCAAGAGGCCCCCAAGAGGCCCCACGAGGAGCCCGAACGACTCACACCAGGACGAGGGGCCCGAACGACTCACACCACGAAGAGCCCGAACGACTCACACCAGAAGGAGGGGCCCGAACGACTCACACCAGGACGAGGCGCCCGAACGACTCACACCACGAGGAGCCCGAACGACTCACACCACGACGAGGGCCCCGAACGACTCACACCACGAGGAGCCCGAACGAGTCACACCAGGAGGAGGGGCCCGAACGACTCACACCAGGACGAGGGGCCCGAACAACTCACACCACGAGAAGCCCGAACGACTCACACCAGGACGAAGAGCCCGAACGACTCACACCACGAAGAGCCCGAACGACTCACACCAGGAAGAAGGGCCCGAACGACTCACACCAGGACGAGAAACCCCAAACGACTCAAACCACGAGGAGCACCACAAGGAGGATGTACAAGGAGGCGGGAGGAAGGAGGAACAGGGGAGATATGCGGGGGCAGGCGGAAACACGCTTGAAAAACACGACTGTCGGCATGCTTCGCAAGAGTTGCTGTTTTGAGATGGGCTGGTGGGGATACGCGAAGCGTAAATAATCATACCGTATTCGCGTCCCTGAAGCCATACATCTTGTGTACATTATGCAATACTCGCGCCCCCGAAACCATAAACCTTCAACAACTAAACATTCGCGTCCCCATGGACACAACACCTTTCTAAATTACACCATGCTTGCGTCCCCGAGGTCACCAACCCTCGCAAATTACTTGCGATTCGCGTCCCCGAGGCCATCAACCCTCGTGAACATGACCGGGTATTTGCGCCCTCCGAGGCCATAAACCCAAGTAAAGTATATAATAGTTGCGTCGCCGAAGCCACAATTCATCGCAAAGTATGCAATAATCGCAACCCCAAAGTCGTGAACCATCGTCCATTACCTAATATTCGCGCCACCGACGCCATAAACCCTCGTGAATTAATATTGGCCCTCGCGTGAAGTGCCGGCATTGCTGCGCGTCCGCGTCCAGACATCCCAACACAGCTCTGGCAAGTCCCACTCTAAGAGAGGGGGGCCGGCGGCATGGGGGCGACGCCCTGAAGAATATCCCTTCTGTAGAGGGACATGCCCGACTGAACAGAAGGGCGGGCGGCGGGGAGAGCGAGGCGGCCGCGACGGCGCACCACGGGGAGGGGGCGGGGGAAGCCCGACGGAGGGCGCGGGCGAGGGACAGGCGGCACGCAGCGAGCTCCGAGCCCGCCGCCCGCTCTCGGCTCGCGGGGGCGGGGGGGGGCGGGGACGGCGACGGCGACGGCGGAGCTCCCAGGAAGGAGGAGGAGCAGGCCTGCCCCAAAGGCGGAGTGCCTTCTCCGAGGCCCTCCGGCCCTGCGAGACGCTTTCTGGAGAAGGCCAGAGGCCTTCCGAACCTCCTGAGACGGCTCGCCCTTTTTCACTGCCCCCCCGGGGCTCGCCGCCGATGACTGCGCACTCGACGACCCCCGCCCTCGAGGGAGGAGGGGGGCGGAGGCCGGGGCGACCGTGAAGTGGACGATGGCGAAGTAGACGGGCACGCGCGGGTTCAGCTCGGTGACGCCGTCGGGGAACACGGCGAACATGGACAGGCCGCTGATGATGCCGCTGAAGATGCCGACGTACGTGTACCTGCGGGGAGGGGCGCCTGCGCCCGGCCCCTCCCGCTCGCTCGGAGGACAGAGGGGGCCCAGCGAGGCATCGGCGGCCCTCCCTGGCACTTTCGCTCGCTGGGCCTCCTGGAGACCGGCCGCCGCCACGCCTGGACCCGCCCCGACCAACGGGTCAACGGGGACCTCTGGAGGAGCCCGGGGACCGATTCTGACCGGAGACGGGTCGGGCGGGAGAGGAGATGTCGTTGTCTCAACTGGCACTCCTCCGATGTCCCATTGCCCTGCCGCGGGCTGAACATGGACCATGCATGGGGCGCGGGTGTCCAAAAGAACGAGGAGGAGGACGAGGAGGAGGAGAAAATGGGCCGTAGCCATTTTGGCTCAAGTGCGAACCGTCACCCTGCGGCTTCGTGCTTGCCCGCAGCCGAGGAGGATGCTCAACGCCTCCGAAGACTACCGAACAGGTCAGTACTTTCGTGGGTCGAAGGATACACCCCTGGCCCGCACAACTTCATCAGGTAAAAACTGTCACTCGAGTTCTAATTCCGCGACGGGAGATCAATCAGCGAACCCCGATCTGGATGACGCACTGGGCAGCAGCGTGGAAATGCAGATGCGGACAACATAATTGGAAAAAACATGTGAATTGTACGACGTGCGGGAGTCATTGGCAAGCATCCGACGGGCAGGTCAACAGCAGCCCGAAAGACAAGCGCCGCGAGAGATCGCAAAGTCAAAAGTCGGACAATACCCCATGAGAAGACGAAAAGGAGGAGAACGGAACGGCTGGTCCCCACTTTGTGAGAATGACAACTTCAGCAGAAGCAGCACCGAATGCAGACTACAAGCCTCTGTCCCCGAAGGCAGACGAGAGAGAGACGAGGATCTACTCCAAGGAGACCAGGTCCAAGTTGAACTTGCTCCAACAAGGGTACCAAATCGCCTGGGCCATGAAGAAGCCAGTCCCGGAGATCACCAGACAGATTTTCGATACTGAGGAGAATGTTAATCTCAGCGAAGTCATTGGAACATCAAGGTGTTTGGACAGAGACGGCGATAGCGAGAATGATGTTCAGAGTCGCAGCGGCAAACAAGGCAGTGGAAGCCCCCAAAGGAGATCTACGAACATGATCGACCCACGAACCCGGAAAGGGGAAAGGAATCCAGAAATGTAAGACGTGACAGCGTTGTCATGACACCTGGTTTAGCGACGGGCAATTGCAATGCTGAGTGTTATCGATCTTGATGCACCGTGCCAAGGGCTGTGCTGTGCTGCGCCGTGCTGAATCCCACCAGCCCTTTGGGCGTGAGTGGTTTAGCGAGCTCTCTCTGTCCTCACCCCCCCTTCTTCCCCTTCGGGCAGGGGTTTACCCCTCCCCCTACCCCCTCCCCCTGGGCCTGGAGAGGGCGTTCCGCGGGTGGTCAGGGGGGTCAATTTCGACTCCTGGGAGGGCTAAAAAACGACACCCCTCACGAGGATTCTGGCCCCGACGGGGGGAGGGAGAAAAAAAACCCTCTTCTTCTTGGAAGCCAAAATCATTGATTTTACTACGGTTTCGGCCCCATTTTGGCCTTCTGAGGGGGCCGCGCTCCTCTTCCTTCATAGCAAAATCATTGATTTTACGAAGGTTTTGGGCTCATTTTGTCCTTCTCAGGGGGCAGCGCTCATTTACGCTTCTGAGGAGGTCGCAAGAGGCCCCAAGGTGGCCCCAAGAGACCCCCAGGAGGCTCCCAAGAGGCCTCCAAAAGGCCCCCAAGAGGCTCCCAAGAGGCCCCAAGATGGGCCCAAGAGGCCCCCAGGAGGCCCCCCAGAGGCCCCCAAGAGGCCCCCAAGAGGCCCCAAGAGGCTCCAAGAGGCCCCCAAGAGGCCCCACGAGGAGCCCGAACGACTCACACCAGGACGAGGGGCCCGAACGACTCACACCACGAAGAGCCCGAACGACTCACACCACAAGGAGGGGCCCGAACGACTCACACCAGGACGAGGCGCCCGAACGACTCACACCACGAGGAGCCCGAACGACTCACACCACGACGAGGGCCCCGAACGACTCACACCACGAGGAGCCCGAACGAGTCACACCAGGAGGAGGGGCCCGAACGACTCACACCAGGACGAGGGGCCCGAACAACTCACACCACGAGAAGCCCGAACGACTCACACCAGGACGAAGAGCCCGAACGACTCACACCACGAAGAGCCCGAACGACTCACACCAGGAAGAAGGGCCCGAACGACTCACACCAGGACGAGAAACCCCAAACGACTCAAACCACGAGGAGCGCTTTCTCTCCCTCCTCCTCCGCCTCGTCCTTCTCCCGCTCCCACCACAAGGAGGATGTACAAGGAGGCGGGAGGAAGGAGGAACAGGGGAGATATGCGGGGGCAGGCGGAAACACGCCTGAAAAACACGAATGTCGGCATGCTTCGCAAGAGTTGCTGTTTTGAGATGGGCTGGTGGGGATACGCGAAGCGTAAAGAATTGCTATGTCCCATGCCGCGATTGTGCTCTATAGCATTGTGATAGAGTCCTCTTGTGTATCCCAGTCCTGCCCGAACTGATCTGGATCTTAAGCTCCAGCTGCCTGAGCATATAGCAGCTGCCCCAGAGCTGATGGACAGGGGGACACGCCAGGGGGATGCGCCGCGGAACGTCCCAAGGGACGCGCCGGGGGACGTGCTAAGGGACGTGCCGTGGGGACGCACCGCGGGACGTGCCAAGAGGACCCGCTACGGAACGTGCGAATGGACGTGCCACGGGACGTGCCAAGAGACGCGACGCGAGACGTGCCAAGGGGCCTCGCCACGGGACGCGCCACGGAATGTGCCAGGGAACGTGCCAGGCGACGCGCCAGGGAACGTGCCAGGGAACGCGTCAGGGAACGTGCCACGGGACGTCCCTGACCCAGGGGCAAGCTCCCTTGTAATTTACGCTGCGTCCGCGCTCCCCGGGCCACGACCCTTCGCACATTACTCTGCGTCCGCGCTCCCAAGGCCACGATCCCTCGTAAACTACGCTGCGTCCGCTCTGAACTGCGATATGCCATGCCGCGAGTGTGCTCTGTAGCGTTGTGGATCGAGTCCTCATTGGCATTCGAGTCCTGACCGAACTGATCTGGATCTTAAGCTCGAGCAGCCTGAGCACATAGTAGCCGCCCCAGGGCAGTTGAAGGGGAAACGTGGAGGACGTTCAATCAACTCGACCACAAAATCCGACTCAGCTCCGAAAAGGAACGACACGACACGGGGCACAGGCCCACAGACGCGCCACAGGATGTGCAATGGGCGCAGTAGGGGATGCGCCAGAGGACGTGTCAGGGGACGCAACAGAGGACCTGCCCTGGACGTGTCAGGGACCTGCCACGGGACGTGCTAAAGCGCGTGCCATGGGGCGGCCAGAGGATGTCATGCCAAGAGACGTTGCACGGGGCCCGCCACGGAACGGGCAGGTGAAACGCCTGGGGACGAGCAGGAAACGCGACAGCGGACGAGCCAGGGAACGTGACACGCCGAGTGGCGTGCTAGGGGACGTGCCAGGGCACGTCACTCCTGAACGTCGCAAGGGGCGCGACAGGGGGCGCGCCAGGGCGCCAGGGGACGCTCCACGGACGAGCGGGGTTGGACTGCGGCGCACTCTACTGCGACACGCGTGTCGCTCGAGAACTTCTCAACAAATCCTCATGTTGGATATCTGGCTGGGCGACCTGGACACGTGAAAGCAAGCGTCTCGCTCGAGGCGTTCTCCACACCTCCTCATGCTAGACATCTGCCTGAGCGACCTGGACACGTGAAACCAAGCGAGCGAGCGTTCCGCTCAACACCTCCTCGACACATCCTCATGCTAGCCATCCGCCTGGGCAACCTGCACACGCGAAAACGAGCGGTTCGCTCGAGGCATCCTCGACACATCCGCGTGTTAGACATCCGCTTGGGCGACCTGGGCACGTGAACACACGCGTTTCGGTCAGCACAACTTCAACACATCCTCATGCTAGCCATCCGCCTGGGGGACCTGGACACGTGAAACCAAGCGTCTCGCTCGAGGCATCCTCAACACATCTTCACATTAGCCATCCGCCTAGGCGACCTGGACACGTGAAACCAAGCGTTTCGCACGAGAACGTCTCAACACGTCATCATGCTAGACATCCGCCTGGGCGGCCTGCACACTTGAAAACAAGCGTCTCGCTCAAAACCTTATCAACATATCCTCATGCTAGACGTCCGCCTTGGCGACTTGGACACGTGAAAACCAGCGTTTCGCTCAACACATTCTCGACACCTCCTCATGCTAGACATCCGCCTGGGCGACCTGGGCACGCGAAACCAAGCGTCTCGCTCAACACACTCTCAACACATCATCATGCTAGACATCCGCCTGGGCGACTTGGACACGCGAAAACGAGCGGCTCGCTCGAGAAATCCTTTGAACATCTTCATGTTCGACATCCGCCTGGGAACCCTGGACACGTGAACACAAACGTTTCGGTCAACACATCCTCAACACATCCTCATGCTAGACATCCGCCTGGGGAACCTGGACGCGCAAACACAAGCGTCCCTGTCGAGACATCCTCAACACATCCTCATGTTAGACATCCGCTTGAGCGGCGTGCACACAAGACAACAAGCGTCTCGCTCGAGACTTTCTCGACACATCCCCATGATAGACATCCGCCTGGGCGACCTGAACACATGAACACAAGCGTCTCCCTCCAGACATCCCCAACACGTCCTCATGTAAGACATCCGCCTGGGCGACCTGGACACGTGAAAACAACAAGCGTTTCGCTCAACACATCCTCGACACATCCGCATGCTAAGCATCCACTTGAACCACCTGGACACGCGAAAGCAAGCATCTCCCTTGAGACATCCTCAACAAATTCTCATGTTAGACATCCGCCTTGGTGACCAGGACACGTTAAAACACGGATTTCGCTCAACGCATCCTCATGCTAGACATCCGCCCGGGGGACATGGGCACGCGAAACCAAGCGTCTCGCTCAACACATCCT